CCCCACTCCCTTCTAGCACTGATGATGTTACCTAGATGGGTCACGAAACGTCTGCAAGAAAACCAAGGTCAGAGAGCACCAAGGATCCCCTCATTTCAGCCCTGAGCTACAAATATTATCCTTTGTTGAAACGTTCTTTCCATTCACAACATTTCAGAGGATACTTACTGTAAGGAGAAAAATACGGCACAGGTGGACAAGATCACCATGGGCAACAGACTGTAGCCCAGCACACTTGCGACGCACCCGTGGGAAACCCCCACAACGCTCATCAGATTCAACAAAGCATGGATCGCTAGGCAGCCGATCACACTGGTGCCGTACACGTAGTCAAAATGGACTTTTCCCGCCTGCAGAAACGAGCAAAGACAAGAGCAAGGCCGTTGGGTTAGAGAAGAGAGGCTGTCCTATTTTTCAACTTACGACGACAACTGAGCCCCAAATTTCTGTGATTAAGTGAGACGTTTGCAAGGGAACCCCGTCTTAGGCCCTTTCTTTCTGGCGTTGTTCAGTGAATCACTGCAGCTGATCAACAGCTGTTAAGTGAATCTGGCTTCCCCACTGAGGTCGCAAAAAGGGGATCGCGTGACCCCCCCCCCGGGACACTGCAACTGTCATAAATATGAGTCGGTTGCCAGGCATCCTAATTTTGAGCACGTGGCCCTGAGGATGCTGCAATGGTCATCGGTCGGTTTTTTTCAGTGCCGTTGTACTGTGAATGGTCACTAAGTGACCTGTTGTAAGGAGTCCCCTGTTTTTGCCTTCCCAGGCTCCTAGAGAGGCTCTGGAGCCTGGGGAGAGCAAAAAACAGGACTACCGGGCCCAATGTGCCATCACGTGCCAAAAGTGGGGGGAGCGTGGGGGAATCGTCCGCGCATGTGCGGGGGGCAGGGCGCATAGAATTATGGGTGTGGGCACACGCGTGTGTGACCGGCCCCACACTCCCCCCCCTGCTTTTGGCACACGATGGCAAAAAGGTTAACCATCACTGTTCTAGAGTCTCAACATCTTTTTTTTTACATCGTGGCGAACCAAAGCTGGATGCAATATTCCAAGGGTGGCCTTACCAAGGCATTCTAAAGTGGAAGGAATCCCCGGGAAAGACTTATTAAAAATCTACACATTTTTTTTTAAAGTATCTCAGGCAGGCTATATTATTGGAGTCCGTGATTGACAAGATAGGTTCGCTTAGAGTGGAGGAGTTTAGCCTACCAAGAGCCACATCGACCCCAGGGCCAAGCAGAAGACGAAAGGCCCAGCCAGGTCTGTCTCATTCATAATGGTGGCTTCAGCCGTTTCATGGGGTTCAGCACGGTTAATGTTTTTTGCCAAATGTGATGGAAGTTGATTCCCAGCTCTGCAACGGAAAACAGAAAAAGCTTCATTAGTTAAGTTTCATCAAGGACGTCGGGAAACAAAAGAAAAGAATCAGTTGGCCGTGGTGTTCTAATGACTCATAAGATAATTGAACATCTTAATTTGGTCTCCCGCTGTAGAAAGTCAGCACACGCCACCCTCCTAGGGAATGAAATATTTTGGGGAATATTAAAAAGGTAGGATAGAATATTTCCCCTAAAGGAGAAATGGGGAAAAATATTAAGGGAGGCAAAAACCAGCCCCAGTCTCCCTACCCCAAGCAGAAACTTTTAGAGATTTGGTAATCCACTCAGAAAGAATGGGTCAGACGGAAATTCCAGATAAGCAACACGATTAGGCAAGCCAAAGGTTGACAAGATTAGCTGAGATAAACACCTAGGATTTGCGTTTCCCCTTTGCCTATAGAGCCAGCCATGACCCCTACATGACCCCTTAGGAATCAAGAAGGTATTTAAAAAAAAACCCCACCCATTGTCAACTCCATTTTTGTTCTGCCCCAGCTACGGACCCCAAATAACGCAGCACACACAAAGTCTGTACAAACCTTAGTTTACTAAATAAACCAGTATTTTACAACAACGGCTGTTAATTAACTGCATTAACAGCCGCCAAGAATTCAAAGAATAATAACCGAAAGCTTACTATGGTTGGCAGAATGCCCAGAAGCAATTTGCAGGAAGTTGATAAGATAAGCAAGACAAGACACAAAGGTATGCGAACTAAGTTGTTCCCTGCAAATTGCTCCAGTCGGCATTCCTCCTTAAATAGGCTAAGGGAGTGGCCAATTAACCCCAAGCCTTACTCTCGAGGAGACCTCCTCCTGAGGCGCCACTCCTGCCTTTTGGCAGCTCTGCGTGCCCGTGCATCGAGGAGAGGGTCCTCCTCTTCTTCCTCTTCACTTAAGGGAGCTTCTGGAGCTTCTGAAGGCCCTGGCTGAATCCCTGTCTCTGGCACCACATCTTCTCCAGCCTCCTCACTGTCTGACTCGAGTGCCAGCTGCACAGGCTGCTGGTGCAGCACCACACCAGCCTCCTCGCTGTCTGAATCAGCTACTAGCTGCATAGGCCGCGTACAGGCCACAACAGTTTTGTCAGCTGCCCCAGAATCACATGCTGTTGGTTTTTTTTCCTTCCGACAGAACTAAGAAGGGTGGGATTCTAAATTATGTGATTGTGGGACAGTTTACGAAATGGAGTTGCTCCTCAATAAACTTTCTTCCTTAAGCAACCTCCATTTTATTCCCAGCTTGGTCCTGGACCTGGATTTTACTTCCAATACAACTAAAGAGAGGTCGGATTCTAAATTATCAACGTGAAATCCATGTCAAATAAAGACAGGGAAAACTGTGCAGAAACAATAAACTATACTATAGGATTACTATAACTGAACAATCATGTCGTATCAGCAAACTGGACAACTGTGGGATATCAGCAAAGAGTTTGGTCTAGTGGTTAAGGCACCGGTATAGAAAGCGGGAGACTGTGAGTTCAAGTCCCGTTTTAGCCGTGAAAGCCAATGAGTAGCTTTGGCCAATCACTAGGAGACAGTGAGTTCTAGTCCCGCCTTAGCTATGAAAAGCCAGCGGAGTGATTTTGGGCCAATCACCAGGAGATGGTGAGTTATAGTCCCACCTTAGCTATGAAAGCCAGCAGAGTGAGTGTGGGCCAATCACCAGGAGACCGTGAGTTCTAGTCCCACCTTAGCTATGAAAGCCAGTAGAAAGAAGAAGAAGATGATGATGATTGGGTGATTGACAGTAAATTTCAAGGAGAGCCCAAAGGAAAGATGAAACTATAACAGAAGCTAAAGCAAATATCCAGTGTATGGAACTTGAAAAATTATGAATATCTGTTCTTCCCACCAAGCAACTGAATATGCAGTGAGATTCTTGATGGCTTATTCATCGCTTATAAATCCCTTCAACAGAATGAAGAAAAAGAAGGACAAAGGCCTGTTAAAATATAAATCAATCCCAGATTTCCCATGAACAATTTTATCTTTATACCCAAGATAAATTAATATTAAGTTAACCAAGAATACTTTCTAGGGATCACTACAACGATTTAAAAGGAATTACATAGTTCGGCACGCTTTGTAAATCCAATTAATATTCCTTTTGCTGCACCTGACCACATATGCTATTAATTTTCTTCAAGGGGGTTGTTTTTAGGTTTCGGCTTAAAGGACTAAACGATATTAATCCTATTTTCTCTTCTAAGGGATTTGTAGAAATAAAAATGGTGCCGATCTTATAAACTTATAAACCAAGTAGTACAGTTTCTATATCTTTTTACTTGTCAGTAACAACATTTAAAGAAAGCTACTCTGAAGTCAATCAGTGTATGATTGCACTCTTAAGTACAAGTATGTTGTTACCCAGGCCCAAGTAGGTACTATTAGACGCAATCAGTTCAAAAACAAACAGACCTTATTATAACAGCTGAGAATTAGCTCATTCTCAGCGTCGTCCAAACTAATTCAAAACAAATTCTTCGTAACACAAATTCTTCAGCCTGATCACCAACCTTGGTCTAATTAGGCAAGCTGCCAAAGGCTTCTCTTGGCAAAAGTTCAGAAGCAGAAGACGCAGACAAGAAATAAATGCAGCAAGACAAGAAACAAATCTATCAACGTTGCTTTCCGGCAAAGAGGCCAAGAGCCGTTGCTGGTCTTTTAAGCCTTATGGGAGGGGCCAATCATCTCCTGGCCTTACTCCTGAGTCGTCCTTTTTGCTTTAGCTGCTCTTGCCTTCTGGCAGCTCTTTTCATGCGTGCACTAGGAACAGGCTCCTCCTGTTCCTCTGCCTCTCTGCTGTCAGCCTCTGGAGGCTCCGGAGTCCGCACATCACTCCCAGATGGCCCTGGCCCCATCTCTGCCTCCGACGCAGAGCCCTCATCCTTCCCCAACCTCCAGGACTGGCCCCTGTTCTTCCTCAGCCTCATCGCTGTCTGACTCCGCTGCCAGCTCCACAGGCTGCTGGCAAACCACAACAAGGTATTCCTCCACTTACGAACACAACTGAGCCCGACCAGAGGTGGGTTTCAAAGATTTTAAGCCTGGTAGACCAGGACCTCTGCTAAATCCTAAAGAATTGTCACATGACCATCAAACCACACCCAGAAAATAAGCCACACCCACAGAACCGGTAGTAAAAAAAATTAGAACCTGGTTGAGGTTCCCGGGAACATTTTCGAGTTTTGGAATAACTGACCCTTAAAAATAGAGCCTATGAAAATTTATTATGAAATATGTAAACAAATGATAAGAAGCATTTTGTTCATTATAGGCATCTTAGCATGATGCCTGATTATGCCGTATAAATACAGAGGGAAAGGCAACGTGATGGAATCTGAATGCAAAATTTATTGAAATGCTGTCATCTAGAGGCAATAAAGTGCATGATGCATGGGCCATAAATATGATTTCATGTCTTTATTTCCTATGCAAATAGGGGTGCTGTCATTTCAAACATGCGTCCGTGGTTACAAATGCAAGACAACAAATTAAAATGGATTTCCCCCCCCCCCCAACTCTTCTGGTGTTTTTTATTTGTTTATTTATTTTGATTTGGCACCTTCGGACTGAACATGATTTGAAACGCCTTTTACCTTGAAAGTTGAACCCTGTTAAGATCAAGCTAGTTATAACTTCATTGTGACTTGTCTCAAAAAGAAAGGTGTAAAAGTGTAGAAGATCTTTCGGTGAGCCTGTGGCAGTGGTGAGTTGCTCCCGGTTCGCACCGGTTCACAAGAACCGGTAGTAAAAATTTGTAGTATTTCCGAGAACCGGTAATAACATTGGCTGGCCATGCCCCCAAACCGGTCCCCGGCGCAGTCGCCGCTCGCTTACCCCGCCCACCTCATCAGAGGCTTTTTTTTTTTTTTTATTGCAAAAGTTTTACAATTACATTTTCACCCCTTTTTTTCACCCCCCCCACCTCCCTCCCCAAACTTCCCATCCTCCCTAACCCTCCCTAACCCTCCCCCCCCAGACTTCCCTATTATGTACTCATAACTAATAACACTAATATATAAGCTTGAACCCATCCCTCCCCCTGTATAATTTTTCCACTTTGTCTCTTTAAAATATTTCTAATACATTATTTTCAAGTAAAAGCTATTTGATACTTTCTAGTTTGGTATTTGTTCTGAACATATTTTATCCATCTTTTCCATTCCCATTCATAAGTCTCTTGTGAACAGTCTTTTAAATATGCTGAAATCTTCGCCATCTCTGCAAAACTAGCCATCTTCAAAGTCCATTCCTCGATAGTAGGCAAAGCTTCATTCTTCCAATATTTACCTATCAACAATCTTGCTGCTGTTATCATATACAATATCAGTTTTATTTCACCCCGTGTAAAACCCTTAACTATACCCAATAAAAACAGTTGTGGAGAAAATTGAATTTTTTTCTTTAAAACATTCTGCATGACCCACCAAATTTTTATCCAAAAAGCCTTAACTTTCCTGCAGGTCCACCAAACATGATAATACGTAGCATCTAAACATTCACATCTCCAACATTTTGGCTGAACATTAGGGTACATACATGACAACTTTTTAGGATCTAAATGCCATCTATAAAACATTTTATAAAAATTTTCCCTCAGGTTCTGCGACTGTGTAAATTTAACATTCTGAACCCAAATTTTTTCCCATGTTTCCAACATTACTGGTTCTTCAAAATTTTGTGCCCACTTAATCATACAATCTTTAACTAATTCAGTTTCTGAGTCCCTTTCTAGCAAAACATTATAAAGCCTTTTGATATGCATTGGACCTGCTTTTTTTTTTTTCTTTTTTTCTTTTACTTTTCAAAGCATTTTTTCTACAACCTCTTTGGCCGAAGAGGTGGTAAAAAAAAAAAAAAAAAGCCTCTGACGATCCCAGCTGAATTGCCTGATCGGCAGAGGCTTTTCAAAGCATTGTTTTCTGCAACCTCTTAAGGCAAGTCAGAACTTGTGCATTCTGCAGAAGTGAATTTTATTCTCAGGATTTGGGTATGGCATGGCCAGTCTAGGGAAAAGAAGGACTAAGGGTGACATGATAATAGTATTCCAGTATTTGAGGGGCTGCCACAAAGAAGACAAAGGTTGGTGATGAGGCCGAAGGACTGTTTATGAAGGATTTGTTTTGGACTTAATTTGGACTAAGCTGTTCTAAAATATGTTTGTTTAGGACTGATTGTGTCTCATAATAACTACTTGGGCCTAGGTCACAACAGGAGCCTACGTCAGAACAAGACCCATGGTTTGGTTTCAAAAGTGTGAGCCACCATCTGCCACAAACAAAACACTAGAAAGGGTGACGGCAAATCTCAAAATCTCAGCGGCGTCCAAAAAAGGATGTGGAGAGAGGGAGTCTCTCAGCAGGCAACATCGCTTGCAACCTTTCCCGCTGGCTTCCCCATTTATATACTGGGGAAGCCACCGCAGAGAAGATTGCAAATGGCTGTTGTGGTTCGCCAGCAGCCTGCAGAGCTGGAAGCGGAGTCGCACAGTGAGGAGGCTGGGGGGGGGGCATGGGCCAGTCCTGGAGTTTGGGGAAGGCTCGGATGAGGGCTCTGTGTCAGAGATGGAGCCAGGGACATCGGGGAGTGAGGTGCGGACTCCGGAGCCTCCAGAGGCTGACAACAGAGAGGCAGACGAACAGGAGGAACCTGTTCCTAGTGCAAGCATACGTAGAGCTGCCAGAAGGCAAGAGTAACTAAAGCAAAAAGGACGACTCGGGAGTAAGGCCAGGAGATGATTCGCCCCTCCCAGAAGGCTTAAAAGAGCAGCAACGGCTCTTGGGATCTTTGTAGGAAAGCAACGTTGCTACATTTGTTTCTTGTCAGCGTCTCTTGCTTCTGAACTTTTGCCAAGACAAGCCTTTGGCAGGGTGCCAAAGAAGACAAAGGTTGGTGATAAGGCCAAAGGACTTTTCTGAAGAGCTTGTTTTGGACTTAATTTGGACTAAGCTGAGAATGAAGTAATTCTCAGCTGTTCTAATAAAATATGTTTGTTTAGGACTGATTGTGTCTGGTAATAACTACTTGGCCCTCGCTCACAACAGCAGGGGAGGAATATATTGAGAAAAAGTGGAAGATAAGTAAATTATTGCTTAGTCTCGAATCTGTGAGAAGTATTCATCAGCCAGAACCTACAAATGGCATAATTATTTCGGTTTTGTACCTTCAAGCAACGGTGGCTCTTCATCGAAACTATCGGAATAAGTCTGGTTGGATGGAAAGGGAGAAGCATCTGTGGGTTGGAAGATCTGACCTTCAAGCGGTTGAGAAGAATCGGATTGCGGCCAAGGGCCTGGTTGGAATCTAAGACAAAGAAAGCATTCAAAACAGGGGCTGCTAGAATGAAGAGACCCTCGTGGGAAGGTGAAGATTCTTCCCTCCCTCCTTTCCTTCCTTCCTTCCTTCCTTCCTTCCTTCCTTCCTTCCTTCCTTCCTTCCTATTCTCTTCTTCCTTCCTTCTTTCCTTCCCCCATTCCCCTTCCTCTCTTCCCTCCTATTCTCATCTTCCTTCCTTCCTTTCTTCCTTCCTTCCTTTCTTCCTTCCTTTCTTCATTCCTTCCTTCCTTCCTTCCTTTCTTCATTCTTCCATCTCCTTTTCTTCCTATCTCCTTTCTTTCCCCATCTCCCTCCCTCCTTCCTTCCCTCCTTCCCTCCTCCTCTTTCTTTCTTCCTTCTTTCCTTCCTTCCTTCCTTCCTTCCTTTTCTCTTCTGTTGTGGCCCACCAGCAGATTCAGATAGTGAGGAGGTTGGGGAGGAACATGGGCCAGTCCTGGAGTCTGGGGAAGGCTCTGATGAGGGTTCTGCAGAGATCGGAGGCAGAGAGGAGGCCAAGGCTGTATGCTAGTTATCAGCTGCCTTTGGAGTAGGACATCAGTGAGGCAGATGAACAGCTGGAGCCTGTTCCCCATGTGCGCATGCGCAGAGTTGCCCAACGAAGGGAACAGCTAAAGAACAAGGGTCGACTTGGGAGTAAAGCCACAGGTGGACAATAAATGCCACCCCCCCAGAGGGAATAAAAGAGGAGCGAAAGAGGAGTGGAGTTTGCAGGAGACAATTAGTTTGCTTAATTGGTTCGTGACTTTCCGAGACTCCTTGCCAAGCTTTGAAGATATTGGCCTGGCAGCTCGCCAAGCTAGATAAGGTCTGTGATTGTAAATTCTCCCTTGAAAGACTACTGGATGTGAATGAGAGGAATTCACAGTAACTTAATAAAAAGGAGTTTTTGTCGGGACCAGGATTCTGCTTCATGCTCTTGTGAAGCCTAGGACAAAACAGACTCTTTCTTCCTTCTCCCATCTCCTTTCTTTCTTTCTTTCTTTCCTTCCTTCCTTCCTTCCTTCCTTCCTTCCTTCCTTCCTTCCTTCCTTCATTCAATCATTCATTCCCTCCTTCTCCTGCACTAACTCACCAGCAGAGATGAGGCACTAGTGAGGTGGAAGAAGGTAAATGGGGTAACCAGCCGTTTACTTGATTTCTTCCTTTAAATAAGTACCATAAAGTGTTCGATTGTGCAAATAACTAGGTTTAATTACGTTGGTTACACAAATATACTATATATACCGTGTTTTCCCGAAAATAAGACCTTGGCTTATATTTTTTTGAACCCTGAAATAAGCGCTTGGCCTTATTGCCATGCGCTCAAAAGTCCAATTGGGCTTATTATCAGGGAGGTCTTATTTTGGGGAAAACAGGGTATTAAATATTCAGATTCAATGCCACGATAAAATGAAATAATGTATAGTCTCACTTTTTTCCAGAGTCTTCAGGCCGGCCAGAGCTTTCCTGTTCACCGTCAGCAACATAGTTTGATTGGTAAAAATCTATATCGAACTGCAGAGAGTCGGACATCCTACGAAGGTTTTTAAAAAAATGTTTGTAAGCACTAACCGCTTAAGTGCAGTGATGGGATTCAAATAATTTAACAACCGGACTAAACCGGCCTAAACCGGCTGAGTCCCACCACTGCTTAAGTGTTTTACCCAGGTAAACGTTTACAGAGCAGTGAAAATTACCTATTCAAATGTATTTCTGTGTTGCTCTAGAAATAAAAGAATGAATTTATACTTTATTCTAATCAGACTAATATGCTTCAATCTCCTGCCCTCATTTATTAAAAACTATATCTTATAGAACAATTTGGCCATGGGGCAATTTTATTTCTTACTAATTAGCAAATTGTGTTTCAAATCTAAGCAGACTAATCTGCTTCAATCTTACCCTTTCGTTTATTAAAAATGTTTCATGCAACAATCATTCCGTGCAGCAATTTTACTTCTTCTTTCCTAATTAACGAAAATGTGTTCCCAAATATCAAACAAACAAACAAACAAACAAAAATCCTGATTTATTTTTAATAAGTATAGTAAATTAGGGATTTTTTAAATGGGAAATATGACATTTCCTATGAATTATGCACAAATATAATTAGGAGCTGAAGTGTCACCATTCCTAAAAGCACCTCTGGATAATATTTTAAAATTTAATCATGCTTTGAAGTGCCATTAATATTTCTTGGAAGTTCCGAATCAAAACAGACACAAGCTATCCACAAGCTGTTCTTCCTCATTTTAAGACGTGGAAAAGCTACGAACAGCTGTGATTTATGAAACAACCAGCACTTTTAAAAATTAAAAATTAAGGGTATTTAAAGAACATACCTTATAATTCAGTTTACAAACAGCAAAATCCAAACAACTGTTTCCCTATATTTAACCCGGGTGATCCTGAGCTATTTATAAGATCCTAAATTTGGCCTCCCAACAGATATATGACGGAAAGAAAAGCATTTGGTGCCAGAGGCAACAAGTTGAAAAAGATTTGACTTGGCAACGACACTAATAATTGAAAGAGAAAAAAGATGCCACATAATTTTTCAAAGATCGGTCATTTTTTCTCTGGAATCTAAAGTCCCCGTTATCTAAAGTTGATAGAAGAAGACACCGACAGATATTTTTAAATTTACCCAAAAGAGAGAATATTTGATGATGTCCTAGGCGCCAAGCCCCAAAAAGTTGTATTTATAAAAACCCATGAAATAATTCTGTCTGTAGTCAAGAAAAAACCCATCGAAAGCTCTTAAAAAAGAGACGATTATAAATCGGTTTAACGTGGATTAAGGAGGCCTGCTTTGTAAACCTCCGTTTTAGTTTTAAGATGAGTGATGATTCTTAATTATTCCTCAGAGCTAATGTCCCAAAAGTTTATTTTGCTTTCTTTTGCTTTTTCTCAGGAGTTCCTTCATAGGTATAATAACGCATCTCTTTTGTAAATCCAAAGTAAGAAAATTGTCCATTTCATTTTTCTGTGATGGAATGGAGTAGAGTAGAGTAGAGTAGAGTAGAGTAGAGTAGAATAGAATAGAATAGAATAGAATAGAATAGAATAGAATAGAATAGAATAGAATAGAATAGAATAGAATAGAATAGAATAGAATAGAATAGAATTCCTTATTGGCCAAGTGTGATTGGACACACAAGGAATTTGTCTTTGGTGCATACGCTCTCAGTGTACATAAAAGACAAGATACATTCGTTAAGAATCATAAGGTACAACACTTAATCAGAATATCAGGAGGAAAAAGAAATGAATCAGAAACGAGAGAAAAGGCCAACCATCTTCAAATGTGGATCAATAGTGCATCCCTATATTCGTCAAGAATCATAAGATACAACACTTGGTGATAGTCATAGGTTACTAATAAGCAGTCAAATCATACTAGGAAACAAAAAATCCACATATCCAAGTCATTTGTTGGGTTTATTATTTGCAAATTAAATTCAGGGGTTGCATAAAAGTCAATGTCCTGAGATATTCTAGGTAAAGGTAAAAGTTCCCCTTGCACATATGTGCTAGTCATTCCCAACTCTAAGGGGTGGTGCTCATCTCCCTTTCAAAGCCAAAGAGCCAGCGCTGTCCGAAGATGTCTCCGTGGTCATGTGGCCGGCATGACTCAACGCCAAAGGCGCACGGAACGCTGTTCCCTTCCCACCAAAGGTGGTCCCTATTTTTCTACTTGCATTTTTTACCTGCTTTCGAACTGCTAGGTTGGCAGAAGCTGGGACAAGTCACGGGAGCTCACTCCGTTACGCGGCACTCAGGATTCGAACCGCTGAACTGCCAACCTTTCGATCGACAAGCTCAGGGTCTTAGCCAGTGAGCCACCTCGTCCCTCTACCACAATGCAAAAAAAATGGATAATTGTGCGTACCCGTTCCGCAATTCTTCCATATTATTTTGTTCAGACCGGAGAATGTTTATATGTAATTACGTGAGTTTCTGAATTACTGAAATATATAATGGGCTTTATTAGCAATCATTTTAAATGCAGGCAGGCTGTATGGTTCTATATCCAATTGACCTTTCAGAAAAATTGTTAAAATGATAAACAAAGATTGTTTCGTTAACATCTCTGGCTATTCCGCAGTGCTGAAAACTAATAACGCTAATTGTAGATGCTCAAAAACAAAACCAGGCGCAGGGTACATTCCCAAAATCTATCCGCTACTACTTGCTATCATACAAGTAGTCCTCGATATACGACCGCAATTGAGCCCAATATGTCTGCTGTTAAGTGGAAACATTTGTTAAGGGAGTTTTGCCCCATCTTGTGACTTTTCTTGCCACAGTTGTTAAGTGAATCACTGCAGTTGATAAGTTAGTCCTACGGTTGTTAAGTGAATCTGGCTTCCCTGTTGACTTTGGTTGACGGAACGTCGCAAAAAGGGATCATAAGACCGCAGGACACTGCAACCACCATACCCAAAGGAAGGTTACTGCAAAATCCCCATTTCCTCCCAATCAGCTGGGACTCGGGAGGCAGAGAATAGGTGAGGGTGGGGCCAGTCAGAGGTGGTATTTACCGGTTCTCTGAACTACTGAAAATTTCCGCTACCGGTTCTCCAGAACCGGTCAGAACCTGCTGAATTACCACCTCTGATCTGCTGAACAAAACTCCGCATTGGAGACAGGAAAGGCATCCGGCCAGTAAACAGACTGGTAGCTCCATTCGGTTGCCCAGACTCCATCCCGCAAGGGATTATGGAGTCGTTAAATGAAGATGATAAATATGAGTCAGTTGCCAAGCATCTAAATTTTGATCCTGTGACTGTGAGGTCATGTCTATGAAAAACAGTCGTAAGTCACATTTTTCGGTGCCGTTGTAACTTCGAACGGTCCCTAAACGAATTGTCATAAGTCGAAAATCACGGCATTTTGCTGCATGTTTTCTCCTTCATCCCGCATATCGCAACCGTATCACTTTTCTTCAGCCACGCCATGCCAATAACAGATTACAGTCATGAATAAACCATGATTTCAATTACCTCCCCAGAAACTATCGCTAACCGTAGAATTCAAATTGAGCTAATGCGTTGAACGTGGCAAGTTTTCCACATCCGCTGGGAAGATTCATAACCTTGGCTACGAAGCCAGCTGCGCAGCCTTGACACAACGACGGTCACCCGATGGATGGGCAAGATTGATGGGCCACCTTCGAACGTCTTGGAGAAACCGCAGAATTTAATCATCATCTTCACACACTCACCCGCCAAAGGGGGGAGAAAGAAACGTTTCATCTTTAGCATCGATCTTCATCCGTCACAGATTTCCAGGAAGGAAAAAGTTTATTCTGAATATTGTTTAAAAGTGTGTAGAGATTGTCAAATCATCCAGGCCACGGTTTTCACAAAAGTGCTTTTTGTGGACTTTCCGGGTTTTTCTTTGAAGACGTTTCGCTTCTCATTGCAAAAAGCTTCTTCAGTTCTGACTGGATGGTGGGGAATGGAAGGATTTATATTCTATCCTTGCAGACAGCTGGTCATTTGCATTCCTTTTAGAGAATCATTGAAGCCACTTGGAGGAGTGGGGCGGTGGCCTAGAGGTAGAGCTCTCGCCTCAGAATCAGGAGGCTGTGAGTTCGATTCTAGGTAGGGGCAGATATTTCTCTATCTGGGCACATTGGGAATCTATCTGCTGAATATAACTCCGGATTGGTGACAGGAAGGGCATCCAGCCTGTAAACACTCGGCTCCATTCAGACTCCACCCCGCAAGGAATTATGGGGTCATTAAATGATGATTATTGAGGCCACTTGGATGTTTATTTGTGTCCTCAAGATCACCTGAGTAGTGCTCCAGGTTCTTTTAGTCTGCAATTTTTTTTCTGGAAATCCATTCTTACTCCCACACTATTTGAAGGGGTGAAATCCAGCAGGTTCTGACAGGTTCTGGAGAACCGGTAGGGGAAATTTTGAGTAGTTCGGAGAGCCGGTAAATGCCACCTCTGGCTGGCCGCAGTGGGGTGGGAATGGGGAGTTTGCAGTATCTTTCCTCCAGGAGTGGGGAGGGAATGGGGATTTTGCAGTATCCTTCCCCTGGAGTGGGGAGGGAATGGAGATGTTGCAGTATCCTTCCCCTGGAGTGGGTAGGGAATGGAGATTTTGATATATCCTTCCTCTGGAGCGGGGTGGGAATGGAGATTTTACAGTATCCTTCCCCTGGAATGGGGAGGGAATGGGGATTTTGCAATATCCTTTCCCCTGGAGTGGGGAGGGAATGGGGATTTTGCAGTATCCTTCCCCTGGAGTGGTGTGGGAATGGAGATTTTGCAAGATTTTTTATTTTTTATTTTTATTTTATTTCAAATTTATATACCGCACCTTCTCTCGAAAGACTCAGGGCGGTGTACAGCCAGATAAAAACATACAATACAAACATTAAAAAAACAATTAAAAGGATATATATTTATTTGGCCCCAATTTAAGATAACAAACCAATTAAAAATTAAAAATATGTTAAAAAATATCCTTCCCCTGCCACGCCCACCAAGCCATGCCCATAGAACTGGTAGTAAAAAAAATTGAATTTCACCACTGATGTTCATCCCAAAGTGTATAACTACAATTATAGATTCTCAGTCCTCCTTTGGTTGCCTCAAAGATGCTTTTTCAGGAGGCAATGGGACTTTCTTGTTTTTTCTTTGAAGATGTTTCGCTTCTCATTCCGAGAAGCTTCTTCAGTTCTGACTGGATGGTGAGGAATGGAAGGATTTATATTCCTTGCAGACAGCTGGTCATTTGCATCCTTTTAGGATGCAATTGAATATTGTTTGTTCGCTTCCATGTTTGCGGTTCCTCAAATACTTAAATTATTAAAATTTTATTTGTTCGCTAGCTTAGCATCCTTCACCTTTTCCTGCCAAGAATTCAAGAGGGCACAGCAGTCCCAATTCCCCCACCCCTCCCAATACAGGCCGTCCTCGAACTTACGGCCGCAATTGAGCCCCAAATTCTGGTCGCTAAGCGAGACATTTGCTAAGCGCGTTTTGCCCCATTTCGCGACCTTTCTGGCCACCGTTGTTAAGTGAATCACCACCGTTGTTAAATTAATAACACGGTTGTTTGAGTGAATCTGGCTTCCCCTCATGGATTTTGTTCATCAGAAGGTCGCAAAAGGGGATCACGTCGTGACCCCGGGATCTTGTGACTGTCATAAATGTGAGTCAGTTGCCTAGCGTCTGAATTTGGATCACGTGACCGGGGGGGGGAATCATATAAAGTGTAAAAAAAAACGGTCACAAGTCACTTTTTTCAGTGCCGTCGCAACTCTGAACGGTCACTAAACGAACCATTGGAAGGCAAGGACTACATATCCCAGCCACCCAGCCACTGAAGTCCCCTAGGCCAGCTGCAGCGCCACAACTTTGCATTAAACTACGACTCCCATAAACCATTGCTGTTTCCCCCCACTCTCTCTCTCCCTCTCTCTCTCCCACGCTGAGGCTGCCGGGAGCTGTAGTAGCTTCCTCCTCCTCTCCCTGGCGGCTAGGCCAATGGAACGCTTTTCCCGGCTCTGTGCTCTAACGCGCCTGCGCGTTAGATGCTTTCTCGACTTCCAGCTGCTTTATAGACTTACAAAAAGTAGAGAGTGATGATATCTTTTTTTTTTCTCCCAGGTTGGCACTTCCGAGCCTTCTTTTCCCCCCATAACCTTCCTATGAGTTTCTTAAAAGAGTTTTTCCCAGGAGAGATAAATGATTTGCAAGGCACAGCTGCGACTACATAACCCATCTCAAGGGCAAGCAGCTGCAGGGTGTGTGTGTGTGGATGTGTGCAATGGAGGAGGGAAGCAATTAGTAGAGAGAGAGAGAGAGAGAGAGCAAGGGGGGAATTGCTTTGCAAAGCCAAAATTCCCCCCCCCTTTTTTTTTTCTCCCACGCGTGCAATTGCACCCCGTTGCAATTGTGCAACCTCGGTGCATTGCAACCTTGCAAACCCGGTTTGCTCTTTGCAAAGTCAGGGCGTGCATCTCTCTGATTCTTTTTCTATTTTCCTCCCAGGTGGAGTGGAGGGGACCGGCTTGTTTCTGCACTGGACACGCGTGTTTGCAAGGGCTGCAGCAAGGGCTTCGACCCGACCGGATCGTGGCGAGGCGCCGAAGTGATCTCTGCAGAGGTTTGCATGATTTTCCGGATCCAGCGAAGCGCCAACAACCGCTCTGTGCAGGGAGTCCTCGACTTGCGACGCGATGCTTCGCTTAGTGACCGTCCGAAGTTTGCAACGGGGGTGGAGCAAAAAAAAAGGGGGGGGAACTTAGGACCCCCTAAGCCTTAACCCTAACCGTTTTTTCCCCGGGTCCTAAGTGCATTTTTATGGTCTTATTAATTGCACCATCCCAGGGTCCAAATTTCAGAATGTTTGGCAAAATGACTCGCACTTACGACGGTCGCAGTGTCCCGGGGTCGCGTCTCATTCACCCTTTTTGCGACCTTTGGACAAGCCAAGTCCGCGGGGAAAGCAGATATTCTTTTAACAACCAGGTTCCTCACTTAACAAAGGCGGTGATTCGCTTAACGACGACAGCTAGAAAGGTCGTAAAGGGGGGCAAAACTCTGACTTGGAACCAATGTTTCACCTTAACAACAGAAGAGTTGGGCTCCGTTGCGGTCGTAAGACGAGGACTTCCTGTACGGCTACGTCGTAAGAATGTGCCTCGGTCTCCTGTTGTTGTTGTTATTATATATTCTAATATTATATCATATATATAATATATATAGTATATGTAATATGTAATGTGTTTTTCTATCGAGATACCTGGTCTACCCCAGCATGTGGGAGGGAGCATACTGCATCCCCTTCGCCTTTCAGCTCCAATCCAAGAGCCCTCAAGCAGTGGCAGCGAAATATAAATTTGATATAATATTTTATATATATATTTGCTGATAAAGAAATAAAGGGAGACTAGTATAGATCTATTTCAAGCTATTTAGCTCTTATCAGCTAGCCATACCCTTACTCGGATTCGAACTTAGGCCAAATAAGGGTCTGGCTAGCTGATGAGAGCTAAATAGCTTGAAATAAATCTATACTAGTCTCCCTTTATTTCTTTATCAGCAAAATATAAATTTGATATAAAATGGTTTGTCGTCATGCGACTGCTTGAGGGATCCTGGATAGGAGCTAAAAGGCGAAAGGGAGCAGAATGCCCCCTCCCACATGTTAGACCAGATGTCTCGATAGAAAAACAATATATATATATATATATAATTTCTTTTCTGAGGTTTTCGCGGGTGTTTGTATGTAGGTCTTTGGTTATTCGGGTTCTCCCCCGCGTAAAATTGGAGGTTTCTTGGCAAAGTTTTGACGAAGTCTCATTCGTCATCTTCAGGCTGGTGTTTTCGGCTTCGTGCTTCTAGGAGCAATGTGTGTGATCGCAGCTGTTTCTTCCTTTTAACTGCCAGTGGGGGTGTGAACTGATTGGGTGGTAGCTTGGCCAGTGGGGGTGTTCTGATTGGGCGGAGGTGTGTGTGTGTGTGTGTGTGTGTGTGTGTATGTATATATTGTATGTAGGTCTTTGGTTATTCGGGTTTTCTCCCACGTAAAATTGGAAGTATCTTGGCGACGTTTCGACGAAGTCTCATTCGTCATCTTCAGGCTGGTGTTTTCGGCTTCGTGCTTCTAGGAGCAATGTGTGATCGCAGCTCCTAGAAGCACGAAGCCGAAAACACCAGCCTGAAGATGACGAATGAGACTTTGTTGAAATGTCGCCAAGACAGTTCCAATTTTACGTGGGAGAAAACCCAAATAACCAAAGACCTACATACAAACACCCGCGAAAACCTCAGAAAACATATATATTGTATTATATATATATATATATATTATAATAATATAATATTATTATTATTTAAAAGTGTGGAATTATTTTTATAGGGCCACCATCAGTGAGAGATTGGACAGCATTACTTGGTCTGTTGTGTGGATGTTTGGGTGGTTTAGGGGTGGGGAATTTGTGGTGGGTGGGAGTGTGTTTGGGGATTGTTATGTGTGTTGGGCCTGGTCTTTGAGTGTTAAGTGAATTTCATTGTATGGGTATACTGTGTATACACATACAGTGACAATAAAGTTATTATTATTATTATTTAAAACACAGTTCTTAACAGTCAACATTGGTTTGCCTTAAATGCAAACTTTGTTGTGGGAGCAAAGAGGCTTTGGAAAGTCAGCATTATAAAAAGAGTAAAACTTTCTTTTAATAAACATTGATGCAGTATGTCTGGAAATGACTTAAGTACTATTAGGAAAAAAAGAAAAAAACTGAAAAAACAAACACAGAACAGAAATTAACGGGAGACAAAAAGAAAGATGTCTCACTTAGCAACGGCTAATTGGGCTCAATTGTGGCCGTAAATCGAGGATCACCTCCTGTATTGGATGGGGTGGCGGTGGAATTGGGACTGTGTCCACTTGCTGGCAATTGAAACAGTTATCTATTCTTCTTTTAAGGCAATAAAAGAGAAGGAAAAGGAGTGGAAAAGTCCGAAGCCACGGAAACCAAGAGCGTAAAAAGAAGAGGAAATTTAAATTTCAGCTAAAATTTAATTTACAGCGACCACGTTCGCGACACGCCTCCGTATCTCTCCATCACTGCAAGTCACTCTTGTGTCTGTCGTGCCATGCCTTTCAACTCGCTCTCCGGGAAGTGTCTATCTCCCAGAAAATAAATATATATATCTATATACAGCAAATTTAGGGAAAGAAAAATTGGAGCAACTGATGTATATTTGTGCACGAAAAACGAAGCTGACTTTTTTGCAGGATTTATCCAGCCTTTCCACCAGTATGAAGAGGAAATGTTCTTTTTTAAGAATACTTACCACTGTTTTTTGGGGGAATTCGGACTAAAACTTCCTGCGGTTATTAGAGAAATGAATATATCTGTAGAAGCGTTATTCTGAATAATATATTGGCTTCTGTGAACGTTTCCTTTGTTCAGCCTGGATCTTGGAATTAATCTGGAAGGATGCCTTCATTCTTCCAAAGGGCATTTTATATCTCCGTCAGGTGTCCGGTGTACCACAATGCTATTTTTCTTTCGTATCTTTCTCTTCGGACCTTAAAACCTTCTCTTCATCGTGCTGCTCCATCAAGGAAGTTTTGCTCCAGGGCGAACAAGGTGATTGAAATGTGTTACTTGCTTCAGCTTTTCTTTTTTTTTTAAGCAATCTAACTTTTACAGCTTATCTCAAAACAGGTGGGAATCCAGAAGTACATTGACTCTGAATCAAAGTAATTCTTCCTTATTTGGATATAAAAACTTTGCTTTTTTTTTTGTTCCTTAACAGAATTTGGTATGCTGAGATAGATTTGTGAGGAGGTTGGGGCTCTCTGAGTTGGGCTGTTTTCTTCCCAATATTTCATGACCCAACTAGGTAATAGGTGTTGAAAAGTTTAATTCCAAAGAGCAGGAAATATAAATTATTTTGATCCAAATCAGAATATAAAAAACGTTTTGGGGAAAGTACTCTTGTCATGCAACAGTTTTTAAACGGCTTTTAACTCATTTGTGTTTTTTAATCTCTTTTTAGGATACGGTGGATATGTCGTCGTTCCCTGCAGAAAATATTAGAAATTTTAGCATAATAGCCCATGTGGATCACGGAAAGAGTACGTTAGCTGATCGGCTGCTGGAAATAACAGGTGCGGTATTTTTTTATAAAATGTGTGCCTCTCTATTTGTCTATTTGGTTATGCGTTGTCATGCCAAGTTTCTTTTTATTTGCTACGAAAATTCCACGAGGAAAATTGTTTCAAATGCTTCAAGATCCCCATGTTTAAAACATCATGTTTCTCCCTGAAAGTGACTCTTAAAATTAGTTTATTGACAACTTGGGGGCTTCATCTCCCAGAATTCCCGGCATGACAGTCTTCCATGGCTGGCTAGGGAATTCTGGGAGTTGAAGTCCACAATTCTTAAAAGCTGCCAAGTTTGGAGATCCCTGGCGTATTCATTTAGAATCAAGAAACTAGGAAGCGTTGAGATCTGTTTTATTTAGACCTGGTAAAATTAGAAGTGTTGCATTTTCAGTGTTATTGTTCTGAGACTACAACAGACTAGCATTATAGGAAAAAAAATGTTTACCATCTATATTCACCGCTAAGCCAAATAGTTTGCAAAATACACCCCCCAAAAGATTGGCTTCTATGCAAGTATTTATTTTATTTATTTATTTATTTTGATTTATATGCTGCCCTTCTCTGGAGACTCAGGGCGGCTTACAATGCGTTAAGCAATAGCCTTCATACTTTTGTATATTTTATACAAAGTCAGCTTATTGCCCCCACAAACTGGATCCTCATTTTACCCAGCTTAGAAAGGATGGAAGGCTGAGTCAACCTTGAGCCTGGTGAGAATTGAACTCGCAGTAATTGCAGGCAGCTGGAAGCTAAATACTACCTTTTAACAGTAGCATTAGTCTGCTGCGCCACTCAGGCTCAGTAAATAAATTTTAAATAAATTAAAGTAGATACCTTAATGAACGCAGGTGATTTGCTTAATGACCACAAGGGGAAGCAGAGTCGTAAATCTCGTGGTCGCATGATGTCTTGGTTAGCAACCAAGGTTCTTTGCTTAACGGCCTTAGGGAAAAATGAATTTTGAAATCCATTGTATTTGCATGATGTCTTGTTTAATTGAGTCACTGATCTCAATTAATACCTGTATGTTAATCCATTTTGTTTGGTTTTGAAAGTCAACACGGAAAATGGAATTTGGATCCCTGTATTGAGGGCTAACAAGAAGTTGGGTGTCCCTCTACTCATGGAAGGCTCTTCAGTCTTGTGGGGTCTTGGATGGGTGAAGGGGAAGAGAGTTTTGCCAATTGTCTTTGTGCCACTGCCCAAATCTGACCTCAGAGGGGAGAGGGGACTCCCTTGGATGACTGAGGTCAGAAGAGTAACTTTGGGCATCACTGCGGCTTCATTGGGTGGACACTTGAGTGGACCAAGGATTCTTCCCTGGTGTTGTGGCCTGTTGGCCACCAGCCCCTCCAGCAGCCGAATCGGCGGAGGAGAAGGAGGAGGTGTGGGAGTCAGGATCAGCAACAAGGCAACCTGAGAGTCCGAGGGGGAAGAGGGAACGGAGCTGGCCGAGAGAGAGAGAGACAGAGGCGGAGCCTGGGCTGTCCGTCAGCCCTCAGATGGAGAGTCAACAGCCCCCAGGTCTGGAGGTGGCTGATGAGGAAGAGGAGGAACAGCTGAGTCCAGTGCCTGACACGTGGATGCGCAGAAGGCAGAGGAGAGGAGAGCAGTGGAAATCTATGGGCCGGTCCTTGAATATGAATAATAATCAAGGGCTATCTCTGATCCTCTAGGAGCAATTGCCAAAACAGACCATAATAAGCAGGTGCTGGATAAATTGCAAGTGGAGCGCGAAAGGGGCATCACGGTGAAAGCTCAGACGGCTTCCCTCGTTTATAACCACGAAGGAACAAATTACCTCTTAAATCTCATCGATACACCTGTAAGTGCATTGTTGGTTACGACTGGGAAGACTTACCGCAAAGCTGAAAGCCAAAAGTCGGTGGCTGCCATCCAGCTCTTGGGTTGTTAGGCTCGCGCTGGGCTATCACCTCCTGATGTCTTAACCATAAGCAATCCTTCTGCCTGTGGTTGAGGTTAGATGAATCCCCATTAATGTCAAGCAGGCGTGAAATGCAGCATCTAATTAATCACCAAACTTAATCCCGCTCCCCACGAATGCAGCTACAGGGAGTCCTCAACGTACGACCACAAGGGATATGTCGTTAAGTGAAAAAAAAATTGTGAATCTGTCCCGTTTTACCATTTTCCTTGCCACGTTTCTTAAGCCGATGTTAAATTAGTAACACAGTTGTTAAGTAAATCCAGCTTCCCCCTTGAAAGGCGTGGGAGTCAGGATCAGCATCAAGGCAACCTGAGAGCTCCGAGGGGGAAGAGGGAATGGAGTTGGCAGAGAGAGAGAGAGAGACGGAGGCGGAGCCTGGGCCGTCCATCAGCCTTCAGATGGAGAGTCAACAGCCCCCAGGTCCGGAGGTGGCTGATGAGGAAGAGGAGGAACAGCTGGGTCCAGTGCCTGACGCACAGATGCACAGAAGGCAGAGGAGAGGAGAGCAGTGGAAATCTATGGGCCGGTCCTCGGGATGGAAGAGCCACCACTGCTAGCGAAGCCCCACCTTAGCTCTGGGGATAAAGTGCAGGGGGCGAAGATGAATAGGTGTGGCAGACAACTATTCATCTCCCCGGCGGACGAAGTTGTTAGCCTGTGTTGAGAGAGCAACTTTTTGCCGGGGCTTCTGGCGTTCCTAATAAAGGAAGCGTTGCTTCAACTGTAGAGGGTTTGAGGAGCTGGGTCAGAACAGTTACCTATGAGAAGACAAGAGGGGTATTCAGTAACGAATTAAAATGGGTTTGAGACTCTTCTGATGAATAACCAGTGGGCCACGTGAGAACTTCCCAGCAATCTGTTGATGCCCTTCATCAGATGTTTCTTCCCTTCTGCTCAGGGCCACGTGGATTTTAATTATGAAGTGTCACGGTCGTTGTCGGCTTGCCAAGGAGTCCTGTTGGTTGTGGATGCAAACCAGGTAGGCTTTCAAAATTAATTAATTAATTAATTAATAATTAATTTTGCTTCTGAAGGGACGAAAGGTTTCCCGTTCCAAATAAAGGCTATGAACAACTGGCTCACCAAACAAATCATCGTCTTCTTTTAATGACCCCATAAGCCCTTGTGGGGTAGAGTCTAGGGCAACTGAATGGAGCTGAGTGTTTACTGGCCGGATGCCCTTCCCTGTCGCCAATGCGGAGTTTTGTTCGGCAGATATATCCTCTTTGTGCCCAGAGAGAGAAATATCTGCCTCTACCTAGGATCGAACTCGCAGCCTCCTGATTGCGAGGCGAGAGCATTTCAGCAGTGGAATAGGATTATCTTGAAACTCAAAAAAAAAAAAAAAGTGGTGTTATTAGCCATCAAATCTCCAAAATACACTTTTCCCAAAATGTTTCCACAATTTTGGCCACTACTGTAGGGTTAAAATCAGTGGTGAAATGTAAAATTAGTTACTACCGGTTATGTGGGCGTGGCTTGGGGGTAATCTGACTGGGTGGGCATGGCCAACTTTTTTTTTTTTTAACTTTTAAAAGCATTTTTTCTACAACCTCTTCGGCCGAAAAAATGCTTTTAAAAGTAAAAAAAGAAAAAGCCTCTGATGATCAGGCAACAACAGCTGGGATCGTCAGAGGCTTTTAAAGGCATTTTTTTTTTCTACAACCTCTTCGGCCAAAGAGGTTGTAGGAAAAAAAAATGCTTTTAAAAGCCTCTGACGATCCCAGCTGAGCCGCACGATCATCAGAGGTGTTTTTTTTTTACTTTTAAAAGCATTTTTTCAGCTGAAGAAGTTGTAGAAAAAATGCTTTTAAAATTTTAAAAAAACAGCCTCTGATGATCAGGCAACTCAGCTGGGATCGTCAGAGGCTTTTAAAGGCATTTTTTTTTTCTACAACCTCTTCGGCCAAAGAGGTTGTAGGGAAAAAAAATGCTTTTAAAAGCCTCTGACGATCCCAGCTGAGCCGCACAATCATCAGAGGTGTTTTTTTTTTACTTTTAAAAGCATTTTTTCAGCTGAAGAAGTTGTAGAAAAAATGCTTTTAAAATTAAAAAAAAACAGCCTCTGATGATCAGGCAACTCAGCTGGGATTGTCAGAGGCTTTTAAAGGCATTTTTTTTCTACAACCTCTTCAGCCGAAGAGATTGTAGGAAAAAAAATGCTTTTAAAAGCCTCTGACGATCCCAAGCTGAGCCGCACGATCATCAGAGGCGTTTTTTTTTTTTACTTTTAAAAGCATTTTTTCGGCTGAAGAGGTTGTAGAAAAAATGCTTTTAAAATTAAAAAAAATGCCTCTGATGATCGCGCTGTTCAGCTGGGCAAGAGGGGGGTGCACGGATTTTTGCTACCGGTTCTCTGAACCACCCGCCACCATCACTACCGGATCGGGCGATCCGGTCCGAACCGGGAGCATTTCACCCCTGGTTAAAACGCAACCAAATAAGTCAGAGACAGCTCCTGTTTTATTGGGGTTTAGGAAATCTGTAGAGATTGTTCTCCTTCTTCAACTTTCTAATTGCCAATTGAGTTTAGTATTGATTTTTAATTTAAATGTAAACAAAACTTTAAAAACAAACAAAAAAAACCCATTAGCCTTCTTGGAACTGCAATGTTGGAGCCTAAATGAAAAATATAAAATAGCAGATTGGGAGGAGAGGATTGTGTTGGCACTTAAAAGATGGACCAATTAACTTCAAACAGGTATTTTTTAAGATGGGATGAACTTCGGTTTTCGAAACAGCCTCCTGGGCTGGGAATTTAATCACTACAAGTGTTGTGTTTGTTGCGGGAGTGGTAAAGATTTATCAGGCTCTAAACCAAATTAGCAATAAAAACGTTACTTGCTGTATTTTTAGCCTTTACAGTTAATCCTTTGTTCCAGGAGCACGAGCAGAAAAATGTACGTTGGCCTCTCTTGTTATATCAACAGATTTCTTTGAAGCTTTCTCTTCTTCTTAAGCAGCGATTTTTGCAAACGACATAAAACATTTCTGCAGATTGTTCGAAATTCATGCATTGTTGTTTTTTGGTTTTTTGGGGGGTTTGGTTTTAGGGTATCCAGGCTCAAACTGTAGCCAATTTTTACCTGGCATATGAAGCACAGCTCGCAATCATCCCCGTTATAAATAAGGTAAGATTTCCGCGTTCTCCGCAGCGTCACTTAATTTTAGATATTTTGCAAATCCTCGGCTTACGACTACAAACTGAGCTCAAGATTTCTGTGGTTAAGCGAGACCGTTCTTAAGTGAGTTTTGCCCCCATTTTACGACTTTCCGTGCCACATTTGTTAAGTCACTGCAGTCGATAAGGTCTAGAACTCAACGTCTCCTGGTGATTGGCCCAAACTCACCCAGTCGGCTTTTACGGATAAGGTGGGACTAGAACTCACCGTCTCCTGGTGATTGGTCCAAACTTACCCAGTCGGCTTTTACGGATAAGGTGGGACTAGAACTCACCGTCTCCTGGTGATTGGCCCAAACTCAGCCAGTCGGCTTTTACGGATAAGGTGGGACTAGAACTCACCGTCTCCTGGTGATTGGCCCAAACTCACCCAGTCGGCTTTTACGGATAAGGTGGGACTAGAACTCACTGTCTCCTGGTGATTGGGCCAAACTCACCCAGTTGGCTTTTATGGATAAGGTGGGACTAGAACTCACCGTCTCCTGGTGATTGGCCCAAACTCACCCAGTCGGCTTTTACAGATAAGGTGGGACTAGAACTCACCGTCTCCTGGTGATTGGCCCAAACTCACCCAGTCGGCTTTTACGGATAAGGTGGGACTAGAACTCACCGTCTCCTGGTGATTGGCCCAAACTCACCCAGTTGGCTTTTATGGATAAAGTGGGACTAGAACTCACCGTCTCCTGGTGATTGGCCCAAACTCACCCAGTCGGCTTTTACGGATAAGGTGGGACTAGAACTCACTGTCTCCTGGTGATTGGGCCAAACTCACCCAGTTGGCTTTTATGGATAAGGTGGGACTAGAACTCACCGTCTCCTGGTGATTGGCCCAAACTCACCCAGTCGGCTTTTACAGATAAGGTGGGACTAGAACTCACCGTCTCCTGGTGATTGGCCCAAACTCACCCAGTCGGCTTTTACGGATAAGGTGGGACTAGAACTCACCGTCTCCTGGTGATTGGCCCAAACTCACCCAGTTGGCTTTTATGGATAAAGTGGGACTAGAACTCACCGTCTCCTGGTGATTGGCCCAAACTCACCCAGTCGGCTTTTACAGATAAGGTGGGACTAGAACTCACCGTCTCCTGGTGATTGGCCCAAACTCACCCAGTCGGCTTTTACGGATAAGGTGGGACTAGAACTCACCGTCTCCTGGTGATTGGCCCAAACTCACCCAGTCGGCTTTTACGGATAAGGTGGGACTAGAACTCACCGTCTCCTGGTGATTGGCCCAAACTCACCCAGTCGGCTTTTACGGATAAGGTGGGACTAGAACTCACGATCTCCTAATTTATAGCCTGGTGCCTTAACCAAACTGGATTTTCTTTTTAAAATGGGGACTTATTTTAGGCACAGTCTAAGATTACACTTTTATTTGTCGAGCTACTTCACATATTTCTTCCAAATAATCCTCTTTGCCTTAAAAGGTCCAGATGTTTATTCAGATTATTAGTTTTTTAAAAAATTAACAATAGTAAATGCACAAAGATCATCCCCACTCCCAATATCAAAGAATATGTTATCTTTTCTCATTTTGTGGCAATGGAATTCCAGCTTTGCTTTGTGGTAGGAACTGGTATAGGAACTGGTATATTAATTTGAATTAATATAATAGTATCGTTATTTTGCAGATTGACCTCAAGAATGCAAATCCAGAGATGGTTGAAAATCAAATTGAGAATACCTTTGATATCCTCAAAGAAGATTGCATTAGAGTAAGGCACCCTTCTTCGCTTTACAAATACCTGTGCATCTTTTTTTAAATATGTACAGTAGAAATGGTTTAGCTGGATAAGCAGAATAATTTTCTGAGCCATGCACTGCTAGATCAGTCCATTCAGAAGCAAATGGCTTGAAATTCCATTAAATGTAGTTCATTGTAAACGTGTATATGACCGCAGGCATTGTCATCGGCCCCGATACTGAAGAGTGATACGCACACAGTTGTGTTATATGCAGAGATTTTCCTGAGATGGTACTGAAGGCTGATAATTTGCTGCGGTGATGGACGGTCACTTTTGACAATAGAGATCATTTCATTGTTTGAGTTTGGCAGCTGAATCTAGCTAATTTTGTCCCTTCCTTCCTTCCTTCCTTCCTTTTTTCCTTCCTTCCTTCCTTATCTACTTCCCTATCTACCTTTCTTCCTTCCTTCCTTCCCTACTTCCCTATCTATCTTTCTTTCTTCCCTCGCTCTCTCCATTGCTTCCTTCCTTCCCTCTCTCCCTTCCTTCCCTCCCTCCTTCCTTCATTCCTTCCCTCTCTCCCTTCCCTACATTCCTTTCTTCCTTTCTAAATTCTTCTGTACCTAATGACATTTGGCCAAATAAAGTCCTCTTCTCTTCTCTTCTCTTCTCTTCTCTTCTCTTCTCTTCTCTTCTCTTCTCTTCTCTTCCCTTCTCTTCCCTTCCCTTCCCTTCCCTTCCCTTCCCTTCCCTTCCCTTCTCTTCTCTTCTCTTCTCTTCTCCTCTCCTCTCCTCTCCTCTCCTCTCCTCTCCTCTCCTCTCCTCTCCTCGCTTCTTCTCTTCTCTTCCACTCTACTCCACTCTCATTCCATTCCATTCCACTCTCTTCCCTTCCCTTCCCTTCCTTTTCTTTCCCTTCCCTTCCCTTCCCTTCCCTTCCCTTCCCTTCCCTTCCCTTCCCGTCCCTTCCACTCCACTTCACTCCCATTCCATTCCATTCCACTCTCTTCCTTTCCCTTCCCTTCCCTTCCCTTCCTCTCCCTTCCACTCCCATTCCATTCCACTCTCTTCCCTTCCCTTCCCTTCCCTTCCCTTCCCTTCCTCTCCCTTCCACTCCCATTCCATTCCACTCTCTTCCCTTCCCTTCCCTTCCCTTCCCTTCCCTTCCCTTCCCTTCCCTTCCCTTCCCTTCCCTTCTACTCCACTCCACTCCCCTCCCCTTCCATTCTATTCTTTCTTTCTTCCAACCTTCCTTTCCCTTCTTCCTTCTTCTTTCATTCTCTCTCTCTCTCAAAACTCTCCTCGTTAATTTTAACTCCTGGTTTCTTTTTCTCTCTCTTTTTTTCCCCCTCTTTCAATCTCTCCAGTTGACCGTAGGAAAGCTAAAGGTTTTGAAAGAAGCTAGTTTTACAGCTCTAGCTACCTATGTTACCTGTATGTTTATATTTCTCTTACTTTTGTTGGGAAGGGAGTGGCTGTGACCTGTACGCCATTCCTTGGGCAAGAATTTTTCAGATACAGGTAATCCTCGACTTAACAACACTTCGTTTAGTGACCATTCAAAGTTAACGAAGGCATTGAAAAACGTGGCTTATGATCGTTTTCCAAATTGACAACCTGTGCTGCATCCGTACGATTAAGTGATCAAAAATTCAGACATTTGGCAACAACTACCTCATATTTATGACGGTCCCAGGGTCACATGGTCCCTTTTTGCGACCTTCCAACACGCAAAGCCAATGGGGGAAGCCAGATTCACTTAACAACCGGGTTACTAACTCACTTACCAACGGCACTTAACAACTGCAACAAGGAAGGTCGTAACCCGCTTAGCAAATGTCTCACTTAACGACAGACATTTTGGTCGTAAGTCGAGGACTGCCTGTATAAGGAATAATATAATGGAAGCAGTGCCTTGGGAAAGTTTGGGTGCATCCCTGAAATGAGGCCAAATTATCTTATTTTTTTTTTTTTAAATCTTGTTTCAGATTTCGGCTAAACTGGGAACAAATGTTGAAAGAATACTTCAGGCGGTGATTGAAAGGATTCCACCGTAAGTTGGTTTTTCTGTCATATTTTTTTTTTTTCCCTCAGAGTTGTCACTTCGGACCTTTGAATACATAGCAGGTCGTCCTCAACTTACAACGTGACAGTTCCAGGCTTACAACGCCACTGAAAAAAGTGACTTAGGACACTGTTGCCGATAATTCCTCTTTTGTTCTGACCCAAAGATGACAAACCCTCTCTATTTAAATCAATGATTCCTTTATTAGGAGTGCCGGCAACCCCTGCAAAAAGTTTCTAATGAGTACAGCCGGCTGGAAGATGAATAGCTGTCTGCTACACCTATTCATCTCCGCCCCTGCCTTTTATCCCCAGAGCTAGGGTGGGGCTTCGCTAGCAGCAGTGGCTCTTCCATCCCGAGGACCGGCCCATAGATTTCCACTGCTCTCCTCTCCTCTGCCTTCTGTGCATCTATGCATCAGGCACTGGACCCAGCTGTTCCTCCTCTTCCTCATCAGCCACCTCCAGATTTGTTGACTCTCCATCTGAGGACAGCCCAGGCTCCGCCCCTCCCTCCCTCCCTCCCTCTCTCTCTCTCTCTCTCTCTCCCTCCCTCCCTCCCTCCCTCTCTCTCTGAGTCAACCTTGAGCCTGGTGAGATTTGAACTTGCTTAGGACCTGGTTACCTACGGGACCGCCTTCTACCACCAATAGCCTCCCACCGGCCGGTACGCGGTCATAGAGAGGGACTCCTCCAGATGCTGTCAGCCAAACAATGTCGACTGGCGGCCCCCAGGGGGAGAGCCTTCTCTGTGGGGGCACCCACTATCTGGAACGAGCTCCCCCCGGAGATATGGAGGATCCCGGATCTGCGCACCTTCCGCCGCGCTCTCAAGACCTTTTTATTCCACCAGGCGGGCTTGGCCTAATCTTTTCCCTCTTTTTAATATGTAAATTTTAATCTGCTTTTAAATTATTGGGGTGTTTTAATTTGTCTGGGCCAAAATGGTTTAATTCAATTTTATCTGGTTTTTAAATTTTTTGTATCTATGTATTTTATTGTTTGGCTGTTCACCCCCCTGAATCCTTCGGGAGTAGGGCGGTATATAAATCAAATAAACTAAACTAAAACTAAACTAAACTAATTGCAGGCAGCTAAGTGCTGCTTAACAGCACTTTAGTCTGCTGTGCCACCAAGGCTCTTGGCTACCTGTATACGTTGTTGTTTTTAAATGCTGTTGTAATCGGATCTTTCCTTTGGGGGCGGGAGGAGGGGGAAACCCTCGATTCCGAGCGATAATTTTCTACAGGTTTTTTTTTTTTTTTTTTTTTACGTCTGTCGGTCTTTGTGGAACAGGCCAGTGGTTAATCTCCATGAGCCTTTGAGAGCCTTGGTGTTCGATTCCACCTTTGACACTTACCGAGGGGTGATCGCCAACATCGCGCTGTTCGGTGGAGAAATCCACAAAGGCGACAAGATCACTACGGCTCACACTAAGAAGATTTACGAAGTGAATGAAGTAGGAATTCTGACACCCGACCAGCGACCGACCGATAAACTGTAAGTTTTGGAAAGCCAAAAAAAGAGGGAAGTGTTGTGGCCCGTAGTAGCTGATTCCGACAGCGAGGAGGCTGGTGTGGTGCTGCGCCAGCAGCCTGTGCAGCCGGCGCTCGAGTCGGACAATGAGGAGGCTGGAGAAGATGTGGTGCCAGAGGCCGGGATTCAGCCAGGGCCTTCAGAACCTCCAGAAGCTCCCATAAGTGAAGAGGAAGAAGAGGAGGAGCCTCTTCTCGATGCATGGGCGCGCAGAGCTGCCAAAAGGCAGGAGTGGCTCCTCAGGAGGAGGTCTCCTCGAGAGTAAGGCTTGGGGCTGATTGGCCACTCCCTTAGCCTATTTAAGGAGGAATGCCGACTGAAGCAATTTGCAGGGAACAACTTGGTTCACATACCTTTGTGTCTTATCTTGCTTATCTTATCAGCTTCCTGCAAATTGCTTCTGGGCATTCTGCCAACCATAGTAAGCTTTCATTTATTATTCTTTGAATTCTTGGCGGCTCTTAATGCAATTAATTAACAGCCGTTGTTGTAAAAGACTGGTTTATTCAGTAAACTAAGATTTGAACGGACTTTGTGTGTGCTGCTGGGGTCTGTAGGTGGGGCAGAACAGGAAGGGAGGGAGAGAGAGAAGGAGGGAGGGAGGGAGAGAGAATGAGAATGAATATTATGGAAGTATATCTTGTAAATGTTTATAAACTTCTTTTTTTTTTAATAAAGTTTTTTTTTTTATTTTTTAAGACAAGCAAACATTTAGTACATCATTCATTTCTTCCATATGACATTTCGGTGTTATTTTCAAAGATTTCTTCTTTTCTCTATCTCTTCCATCTTCAATTTCACTAAGTCTTCATGTAATGTAAAACTTTCATTTAGATACGCCGGCCAAGTGGGGTATATGATTGCTGGAATGAGAGAGATTATGGATGCCCAAATAGGAGATACGATCTACTTGCATAATCAACCGGTGGAACCGTTTCCTGGGTTTAAATCCGCAAAACCCATGGTCTTTGCAGGTGAGGGGGGTACCGGTCAAAGGATTTGGGGCGGAGGGAGTGTTTTAAGTCAGTGCTGACTCCTAGTGGCTGCCTGGACTAGTTCTGGCAGTTTTCTTGGCACACATTTTTAGCAGTGGTTTAGAAAAGAGGGAGGGAGATGGAGGGAGGGAGATGGAGGGAGGGAGGAAGAGAGAGAACGAGAGAGAGACTGGCCCAATGTCACCCAAGGCAGTAGAAGAATTCTTAGCCTCCAGGTTTCTGTTACCCACCTTCTCCTCCCAGGAAAGATCCAGTGGCCAATGTTTTACAGCTCTTTATCACATCTGTATCTGTGTTTGTGTGTATTTGTTCATGTGTGTTTGTGTGTGTGCGTGAAAGAGAGGGAGAGGGAGAGAGAGAGAGAGATGGAGTGTTTAAATTTCAATTAACATTTCAAAATGTTAATATTGTACACTGTCCAGAGTCCCTTTCTCTGCCAGGACATGAGCAGTTCTTAAATAAGATAGATAGATAAATAGATAGATAGATAGATAGATAGATAGATAGATAGATAGATAGATGAATGGGGAGAGGCATAGATGTAGATGGATAGGGATAGATGAGAGAGAGAGAGAGAGAGAGAGAGAGAGAGAGAGAGAGAGAGAGAGATGAGAAAGAGGGATGGATAGAGAAGAGATGGAGAGAGGCGTAGATGAATAAAGATAGATGGATAGAGATAGATTAGCTGTAGAGAGATAGAGAGATGGTAGGTAGGTAGGTAGGTAGGTAGGTAGGTAGGTAGGTAGGTAGGTAGAGATAGATAGATAGATAGATAGATAGATAGATAGATAGATAGATAGATAGATAGATAGATAGATAGATAGATATGAGAGAGAGATATGAGAGAGATATGAGAAAGAGGGATGGATAGAGAGAGAAGAGATGGAGAGAGGCGTAGATGAATAGATGTAGATGGCTAGAGATAGATGGATAGTGATAGATTAGCTATAGAGAGATAGAGAGCTAGAGAGATGGTAGGTAGGCAGGCTGGTAGAGAGAATAGAATAGAGAGCTAGAGAGATGATAGGTAGGTTGATAGAGAGAGAGAGAGAGATGATAGGTAGATAGATGATAGATAGATAGATAGATAGATAGATAGATAGATAGATAGATAGATAGATAGATATGAAGGGAAGGAGAGAGGGAGAAATAGATGAATAGAGAGAGATGGATGGATGGACGGATGGACGACAGATCTCCTGGTAAACTCATTTTTTAAAAAATTATTTGAATTTCTTCTGCCACTGGAGAAATGGCCAAAATGCCTCTTCCAGGAATTTCCCATTCAACTGCAATCTCTATGCAGCAGAAATATCTTGACGGGACCTTCACCGGGAGGTCATTGACGTGGCCCCCTAAATGTGCTTGAAAACACGTACCTGCGTGCAGGTTTGCTTACAGGTGTTGGGAGCGGAACCTGGGAACAAGTCCGCCCCTTAGGCATGAATTCCAGTCGGATGACTTTGGGCCAGTCCCTATCACCCTAGGACGGGTGTCTGCAACCTGCAGCTCCAGAGCCGCATGTGGCTCTTTCGTCCCCCTGTCCGCTGAACACACCCCTGGCTGGCCCCGCCCCTCATCCGCCCCTCCCAGTCACTAAGGTAACACAAGGAGGCACATAACCTCGGTAAGCGTGGCTGGGGGGGGGAGGTCATGTGACTGGGTGGGAGTGAGTGATGTCGAGTTGGCCATGCCCAACCATGTTTTGTGGCTCCCGGTGATTTCTTTTCTGTGGGAAACGGGTTTGTTAAGGATATTGTTGTTGTGTTACCAACCAGCAGAGTGTAGAGCACAGAGAAACGTTGCCGAGAGCAATGAATAAGAGATGTGCAAACTGGTTTATCAAAAGTTTACTTTATAGTGGAAAAAACAATCTCATAGTCTTTTAAATCAAGCCCAGTCTTTGCCAGTTAAATCAGTCCAGCGATACAAAAACTCTTCTTACCGTACAAACAGTAGTCGGTTAGAATAACAAACTCACTCTGGTTCACCAACCACGATGATAGCAGATCCATCCAACCGATGACAGCACAATGGATAGCAACTCCACACACAATGGTAGCATATCATTAACTGAATACGTTACAGTATCTTTCTTAAATACGTTTACAACTAGTGATTATCTAATTACAGCATGACTCAGCATTACAATGAATCAGCAGGAAAACTTTAAAGTCACACAATACATATTCATATTAAAGTCACAGAACACAGATATTGGCTGGACAACTCGTTAGGCTCAAACCATATCCTAACAGGGTCCAAATGGCTCTTTGAGTGTTTAAGGTTGCAGACCCCTGTCCTAGGAAGAAGAAGAAGGAGGGGGAGGAGGAGGAGGAGACCGTGGCCCACCATTCCAGAAAGTCTACCAGTATTAAATGGATGGAATGACAATGTAGGATCACCTAAAGCAGAGGTGATCCAATCTTCGTCGCGTGAAGACCTCTGGAGGATCTTCAGCTCCCAGAATTCCCCAGCCAGCCATGGCTTGATGTCCAGAGGTCTTCCAAGTTGGTTGGACATTCGAGATCTTCAGGACATTTTTTCTGGCTAAAAAGCCACCTTCTGTCTCGACAGGAGTGTTTCCGACGGACCAGTCCGAATATTCTAACTTGAAAGGAGCTTTGGAGAAACTGACCCTCAATGACTCCAGCGTGACTATTCAGCGTGATAACAGCCTGGCTTTGGGAGCTGGGTGGAGGTGAGTTACCCCTGCGTCCGTTGCTAAGTGATCCACTCGCTTAGCGACCGTTCAGAGTTACAAACGGCGCTGAAAAGCGTGACGTAGGGCCGTCGTCCGCACCTAATGGCCGTTAAAAGCCTCTCCGTGGTCACCCGGTCGAAATTCAGGCAAGCGACTCGTACTTATGACGGTGGCATGACCCGACGACATGGGATCTCTTTTTACGACCTTCTGACAAACAGTGTTTTTGGGGGGAAGCCAGATTCGCTTCACAACCCGTAGCGACAGACATGATTCGCTTAACAACGATGGCAAGGAAGGTCGTAAAACGGGTCAAAAGTCATTGAACAAATGTCTCACTTAGCAACAGAAATTTCAGGCTCCATTACGGTCATAGGTCGAGGACTACCTGTAACATAAGTTACCATATATTTCATCCTGAAAACTGTCTTAATGGATTTTCCTCTCTGAGATAAGGAACCCGATTACGTTTAAGTCAGTTAAATTTTAAGTAACGGTAGTCCTCAACTTACAACAGTTCATTTAGTGACTGTTTGAAGTTACAATGGCACTGTAAAAAAACCTGACTTGCGGCTGTTTTTCACCTTTACGACCGTCGCAGCCTCCCCATGGTCAGGTGATCAAAATTCAAACACTTGGCCACTGACTCACGTTTACGACCGTTGTCCCGGGGTCACCTGATTCATTTTTGTAACCTTCTGGCAATGGGGGAAGCCAGATTCACTTAACGACCAGGTTACTCGCTTAACAATTGCTTTGACTCACTTAACAACTGTGGCAAGAAAAATCGTAAAACGAGACAGAATTCACCGGACAAATTTTTCACTTAGCAACATAAATTTCGGACTCAATTGTGGTCACAAGTCAAGGACTGCCTGTCACTAGATTTTTGTCTGCCAGCAACTAAGATTTGCAAATAGGTAATATAAGGGGTCCTGGCCATAGCTCTACTAATTGAGAAAATCTCTTTGTGGTTTTTTAAATCTTTTTTACATCTTTATGTGGCCTTTAGAAATCTCTCTTTAGTATTAATATTGTTTATAGAGCAGGGGTTGGGCTACAAAAAATTTAGCAAGGGGTTCTCTGCCCGGTTGTTGGGTGGGCGTGGCCATAGTGGGTGTGGCCTAGTCAGCCTCCTGCACCATGGCCGGGGGGGGCATTTTCGTCCTCCCCGGGCTCCGGAGGCTTTTCTTGAGCCTCCGGGAGGGCGAAAATGGCCTCCCCAGGCTCCGGAGGCCTATACAGTATATAAATGTATATATACTGTATATGTTTCCGGCCTTCCTGATTTTCTGGTAGGACTGTTTTTCACCCTCCTCGAGCCTCCGCGTGCACCCTGCTCTTACCTGCATCCGAAATGCGTGGAGACTCCTGGGAGGGGAGGGGAGGGGAGGGGTGGGCGGGGCCAGCCAGGAGTGGGACTTGCAGGTTCTCCGAACTGGACAGAATCTTAGCTGAAACCCCCAGCTGTTATAGAGGTATACCGTATTTTTCGGAGTATAAGACGCACCTATCTTTTTTGGTGAGGAAAAGAAGAAAAAGAAAACTGCCTCTGCGCAATTTCGCCTCATTGCAGCAAACAGCCCTGCTTTTACTTTCATTTTCGTTTTCAGCATAGCTTGATTAGCACCAGGAGAAAAAAAAAATCTGCTCCCAGCAATTTACCTCTTTGCAGCAAGCAGCAAAGCCCTGCGCTAAACAGCTGAGAGCAAATCAGCTGAGAGTCGGGAGGCCAATCCAATCAACTTGTGCTAATTAGGCTGTGCTGAAGCTGAAAGGAGCTGTTTTTTCTTGCTGTTTGCTTGCAAGGAGGTAAATTGCTGGGAGGCAGAGGCCAAAGGGTGGGGGCCAAAGGGGGGGCAGGGCAACATTCGGTGTATAAGATGCACCTAAATTTTCACCCCCTTTTAGGGGGGAAAATGGTGAGTCTTATACTCTGAAAAATACGGTAAGTGTTTTCATGTAGTATTGTACTAGCATTCCTAATTATTACTCATCATTTATAGTTTATAATTTTCGGTGGAATTATTGAAATGAAGTGTAATTTTCCCTGTTTGTATTTTATAACTGGTGTAACGGCTAAAATCCGTTAACGGTGTAACGGCTAAAATTAGTGAAATGTAAAATTTGGAACACGTTTTCTTTCATTTGGCTTGGAAATCGAAGAATGTTCAGTTTAGCAAATTGCAGGTTGGTACCCTTAAAAATGTCAATTGAAATGTTGAATCTACAGGTTGGGGTTCCTTGGCCTTTTACACATGGAAGTTTTTAATCAGCGCTTGGAACAAGAACACAACGCCTCCGTCATTTTGACAGCGCCCACTGTTCCATACAAGGCCATCCTTTCTTCCCCAAAATTGATAAAGGTGATGATTTTTTTTTTAAAAAAAGTCTCAAATTATCAGTCCTTGAGGAGTAGATTGAGTGTAATTCTTAAGTTTCCATAATTTAGTTTAATTCTCCAGGACTTCCGTCATGAAGCTCGCAAATAAGACATTTTCCTCTTGAGCAGTGATGGCTAACCTTTTTGCCGTCGCGTGCCTAAACTGTGGGGAGCACGGGGGTCGTGCGCACGTGTGCCCACACCCATAATTCAATGTGCCATGCCCCCCATGCATGCACACGCGACTCCCGCTTTTGGCACGCGATGGCATGGTGGGCCCAGTAGGCCCGTATTTCGTCCTCCCTGGGCTCCAGAAGCTTTCTGTTTTGGCCCGTCAGTGGCCTGTGCAGTTAGTAGCTGATTCCGACAGTGAGGAGGCTGGTGTGGTGCTGCGCAAGCAGCCTGTGCAGCTGGCGCTTGAGTCAGACAATGAGGAGGCTGGAGAAGATGTGGTGCCAGAGGCGGAGATTCAAAAGCTCCCTTAAGTGAAGAGGAAGAAGAGGAGGAGCCTCTTCTCGATGCACGAGTGCGCAGAGCTGTTAAAAGGCAGGAGTGGCTCTTCAGGAGGAGGTCTCCTCGAGAGTAAGGCTTGGGGCTAATTGGCCACTCCCTTAGCCTATTTAAGGAAGGATGAATGGAGCTGAGTTTTACTGGCCGGATGCCCTTCCTGTCACCAGTGCGGAGTTTTGTTCGGCAGATATATTCTCATTGTGTGAGAGAAATATCTGCCTCTACCTAGGATCAATCTCACAGCCTCCTGATTGCGAGGCGAGAGTTCTGCCTCTGTGCTGCCACCGCACCACTCTAGGTTTTCCTACTTCATTTGCTTAAAAATTATATGTTCTCTGTTTCCACTTCAGGTTATATGGGTGGCTCACAATTATTTGGACAGGTAGGCCTCGACTTAGTTCATTTAGTGACCATTCGAAGTTACTCCACTGAAAAAAGTTTTTCAGAGTTACAATCTTAGCAGTTCATATTTATGATTCGTATTTATGACGGTTGCAGTCTCCCAGGATCGTGTGATCAGAATTTGGACACTTGGCAAACTGGCTCGTATTTATGACGGTTGCGGTATCCTGTCATAACAGGGAAGCGGGGAAGCCAGATTCACTGAACAACAATCACCTGTGGGGATTCATTTCGGTCTGTCTCGCTTTGCAAACAGAATATTTTGGGCTCCGGTTTGGTCGTAAGCCGAGGACTACCCTTGTATATGTTTTTTTAAAAAAACAAATCATTTAAAGATTTTTTCTTTTAGCTTTAAAAATACCCTCTTTTCCTCTTCTTTTTTCCTGTTTTGCAGGAACATAAAAAAGAGGAAATCACGATTGTGAATCCCGCAGAGTTTCCGGATCATTCCGTGGTGAAAGAATACTTGGAGCCGATAGTTTTAGGGACTATTGTGACCCCTAAAGAATACATTGGAGAAATATTCGCTCTTTGCCAGGTTGGTGCGTGAGGTGGAGAGCGTTGTGGCATGGAGGGTGTAATCTCTGACACGCTCCGCGGTTGATTAATAAATCGTTATCGAGCTGAGGGGCATGAGGGATTCCAATTGTGTGCAGCCATTTGTCTGGCTTTGCGGTAGAAACCCCTGAATTTTAAATCAGGGGCGCTCAACCAGCGACGCATGTCGTCATCGGCCCAGCGCAGGCTGGTTAAAAATTGAAGCCTTTTAAAACTTATTGTCAATGATCGTAATGGCCTCCCTTCAATCATGTCAATGCTTTGCGGAGAATATATGGGGGGTGGGCAGTCTTTCAGAAGTGGGCGTCACATAATGTAACAACTGATTCGGCCAGCACCAAAAATGTATGTGCATGCCATCCTCACATGCGCGCAGCTTCAAAAACATGGCGATATAGGACAGGATAGCGCCGGGGCAGGTTTGTGGGCCCACCCGCTGGTTGCAACTACCGATTCGCCCCGAACCGGCAGCAACCTATCACTGGGGTCTTTGTTTCTAGAAGGACGAGACCAGGGACTTGGATAAGACGGTGCGGTTTGACAATAGCACTTAGACGTAATAAAATAGCAATAGTACTTAGATGTAATATATACCTGAAGAAATGTCTTTAAGGAAAAAGACAGAAAGTCCAGTCAGAAGTTGAGAAGCTAAACGACTTTGAGGAAAAACAAAAAGTCCAGTCAGAACTAAAGAAGCTTCTTGGATGAGAAGCGAAACGTCTTCAAGGAAAAAGACAGAAAGTCCAGTCAGAAGTGAAGAAGCTTCAAGGATGAGAAGCGAAACATTTTTGAGGAAAAACAAAGAAAGTCCAGTCAGAACTGAGGAAGCTTCTTGGATGAGAAGCGAAACATCTTCAAGGAAAAAGACAGAAAGTCCAGTCAGAGCCGAAGAGGCTTCTTGGTGAAACGTCTTCAAGGAAAATAACAAAGTCCAGTTGTCTTTTGAAAAAAAAACACACACACTTTTGGGACAACCATGACCTGGACGACTGAGAATCTCCGTAGACCAGAAACCTGACTGCATCGCTTGCTACGTTAATGAGTCCTATTTGGAGAAGGGCAGTATAGAAATTTAAACAAATAAAATAAATAAAATAAATTTCCCAGCTGGTTTTTATTTTTTTTATATATAAATTTTATTAATTTTCTGTGGTTCACATTTGTTAGTCCTTAATAAACAGCGTGTTGCCTGGATATTTAATTTGCTTAACAATACAGATTACGTTTTTAATCTCTACCCCTTTTTCCCAACCACTAGCAAAATAAGTTCCATGTTTTAATAATATTCTGTGTCTTCTTTCGGTTTGATTTTTAATGTAAGCCGGCTGGCTTTTTTTATTTATAACATCCATCCAACATTGAGCCAAAGTTTCTCATGTTCGGTGTTCATCTCAGACTGTTGTGTGATTTTGTCAGACACGAAGAGCGGTTCAGAAGGACATGGTGTACATGGATGACCAGAGAGTCATGATGATTTATCTCTTCCCGCTGAACGAAGTCGTGGTGGATTTCTTCGATGTGTTGAAATCCTTGTCCTCTGGTTACGCCAGGTAAGTTAACTTGGTTATATCGTGGTTTGATGAGACGTCCCACGCTTGTATAATTTTGAAGCTGGAAGATCCAAGGCTATTATTATTGATTAAGTTTTTAAGGGACGGCGGTGGCGAAAGACGCGGAGCTTGTTGATCGAAAGGTCGGCAGTTCGGCGGTTCGAATCCCTAGTGCCGCGTAATGGGGTGAGCTCCCGTGACTTGTCCCAGCTTCTGCCAACCTAGCAGTTCAAAAGCAGGTAAAAAATGCAAGTAGAAAAATAGGGACCACCTTTGGTGGGAAGGGAACAGCGTTCCGTGCGCCTTTGGCGTTGAGTCATGCCGGCCACATGACCACGGAGATGTCTTCGGACAGCGCTGGCTCTTCGGCTTTGAAACGGAGATGAGCACCGCCCCCTAGAGTCAGGAACGACTAGCACATATGTGCCAGGGGAACCTTTACCTTTGTTTATTAACTTTTTGAAAACGAGATTTTTACTTGAGGCTCGGCTAATGCAGGATATTCAAGCGCATTGAAGGCCGCGAGGAGTTTCGATACGTGTCCATACCCTCATAGTCCTCGACTTACAACAGTTCACTTAGTGACGGTTCAAAGTTGATAAAAGTGACATATGACCGTTTTTTCACACTTAACGACCGTTGAAGCCTCTCCATGGTCACCTGATCAAAATTCAGATACTTGGCGAACGACTCGTATTTACGACGGTCCCCGGGGGGGGGAGTTGGTGTCACGCGATCCTCTTTTGTGACCTCCTGTCACGCAGAATCCATGGGGAAACCAGTCACTAAGTGAACAGAGTGGTCACTAAGTGAACTGTTGTAAGTCGAGGACTACCTGTATTCGTCAGAAACTGTACCTTTTCAGAACGCTCGTATATGATGTTAGTTGAACGGACCCTCTTCTGTTTTCAGCTTTGACTATGAAGACGCAGGATACCAGCCTGCAGAGCTCGTCAAAATGGATATTTTTTTAAATGGAAAATCTGTGGAAGAGCTGATAACGATTGTACCTAGGTAAGCATGCACATTCATTTTTAAAAATCCAATCAATCAATCAAAATGGACCTTGGAGGACTTCTAGTCCAATCCCGTGCTCAAACTGGAGACCCTGTACCATTGTTCTGCCCCAGCTACGAACCCCAAAGAACGCAGCACACACAAAGTCCGTTCAAACTTTAGTTTACTGAATAAACCAGTCTTTTACAACAACGGCTGTTAATTAATTGCATTAACAGCTGCCAAGAATTCAAAGAATAATACTGAAAGCTTACTGTGGTTGGCAGAATGCCCAGAAGCAATTTGCAGGAAGCTGATAAGCAAGACAAGACAGGAAGGTATGTGAACGGAGTTGTTCCCTGCAAATTGCTTCAGTCGGCGTTCCTCCTTAAATAGGCTAAGGGAGTGGCCAATTAGCCCCAAGCCTTACTCTCGAGGAGACCTCCTCCCGAGGCGCCACTCCTGCCTTTTGGCAGCTCTGCGCTCCCGTGCATTGAGAAGAGGCTCCTCCTCTTCTTCCTCTTCACTTAAGGGAGCTTCTGGAGGTTCTGAAGGCCCTGGCTGAATCCCAGCCTCTGGCACCACATCTTCTCCAGCCTCCTCATTGTCCGACTCGAGTTCCAGCTGCACAGGCTGCTGGCGCAGCACCACACCAGCCTCCTCACTGTTGGAATCAGCTACTAGCTGCACAGGCCGCATACGGGCCACAACAACCGTAGAATCTCCTATACCCGTGATGGCAAACCTATGGCACGCGTGTCTGTGGGCAACAGACTCGTATTTATGACGGTTGCTGTGTCCCAGGGTTGCGGGATCCCCTTTTGCGACCTTCCGATGAGCCAAAAATGGGGAATCCAGATTTGCGTAACAACTGTGGGACGAATTTAACAAATGCAATTTGTAACTCTGGCAAGAAAAGTCGTAAAAACGGAGCAAAAACTCACTTAAGAAATTTGTCAAGGTTCCAAGCAATACATCCCCAAACGACGAGAAACTCCGAGGCAGGCACAATCCTCAAATTTCTCACTTTACAACATACATTTGGGGGGGGCTCAGTTGAGGTCATTAAGTCGAGGTCTACCTGCAGTCACTTCCTACAATCTACCCTACGGATATACCCTGGAGGATTGTAGGAAGTAATTGCAGGTTGTCCTCGACTTACTAAATCTGTTAAGTGAGTTAGGGATGAGAGTAGTAAAGTCTGGCAAGATTCTGTCTATTGGGTGTAAGCAAATCAAAGAACGGAATCCGGGAGGGAATTTTTTTGACATCGTTCTTGGGCTTAGCTTACCCCGTTCCTGATGTCCACCATTGATGTCCTCTTGGAAAAGACCCAGGACTGACCCGTTCTTACTTCTTTCTCAGAGAGAAAGCCTACTCTGTTGGTAAATCCATGTGCGAGCGATTAAGAGACCTCATCCCAAGGCAAATGTTTGAAATTGCTATCCAGGCAGGTCTCGGCAACAAAATAATTGCAAGAGAAACGTAAGTCGTTATGCTTAACTTGGTTTTAAAAGATAACTCTACAGCTTTTGTTTTCTTTTCCGTTCTTTTCACAATTTTTTTAAATGTCTACTTACAACAGCTCGCTTAGTGACGACGGCACTGAAAAAAAGAATTTATGACCATTTTTCACACTTACGACCACTGCAGCATCCCCGTGGTCACGTGATTTTTACCCTCGAATGCTTGACAACTGTCTCACACTTATGACGGGGTCATGCGATCCCCTTTTGCGACCTTCTGAAAAGCAAAGTCAAGGGGGGGGAGCCAGATTCGCTTAACAACCGTGTTACTCATTTAACAACTGCAGTGATTCACTTAGCAAAGGCGACATGAAAAGTCATAAAATGGGGCAAAACTCAGTTAACCAATGTCTCACTTAGCATCATGAATTTTGGACTCAATTTTGGTCGTAAGTCGAGGGCTGCCTCTATAAAAAGTGGGTGTTTTAGATTGGGAATTAATTAATTAAATTTGGCCTTTAAAGAAATGGGTCCCTCCAAAAAGTAAGCGGAGTATATAGTTAGTCCTCAACTTACAACACTTCATTTAGTGACTGATTATATTATATATAATACTGTATATCCAATTATATGAACGGCACGGGAGCCTAGAGGTCGAGCTCTCGACTCACAATCAGGAAGCTGCGAGTTCGATCCTAGGTAGTTGCAGATATTTCTCTCTCTGGGCACAATGAATAATTAATTGTCTACTGTGAACTCCATGTAGGCGTCAGGAAGGGCATCCGGACTGTAAACGCTCAGCTCCATTTAGTCGCCCCAATTCCAACTTGATGCAACGGGTTGTTAAAAGAAAAAGAAAAATCCAATTATATTGTATTCCAGTAGCATGAAAAGGGAAACTTTTAAATAAACTAGAAAACAAGAGTAGAGGAAAGATTTAATTTTTAAGTGAAGTAGCTGCTCAGTGCCAAAGAGCATTATCAATTTGATTTGATTTCTTAAGACTTCTCTATTGCAAAAAGATTTAAAAGCACATCATTAGCAGTTATTCGCTGCTTCAGAACTTCAGATTGTGGAATATTTTGTATTATCTTTTTAAAATGCAACTTGGTTTACTTTATTTTCCAGGGTGAAAGCTTTTAGAAAAGATGTTCTGGCAAAATGTGTAAGTATCGTCGTTGTTTTTTCCCCTGTTTTCATGAGACTTAGTATTTCATTTTTTTTTTTTTTCGTAATGTAAATTAGCCACTTTTTTTTTCTAAGTAAGATTTTATCCATTTCATTTAAAAGTTGGAACCTGGGTTAAATTCACCTGGGTTAAATTCACTCCAAAACACCTGGAGTGTTTGATACAATTCTCAGTTTTTAACTTGCTTTTTATGATTTAGGATATGATTTGGGGGGGGGGAGTATCAACATTGACTTCTGGTTGCTATTGTCAATTATTAATCTTGGAATTTATTTTATTTATTTATTTTTATTTCGAATTTGTATACCGCACCTTCTCCCAAGGTACTCAGGGCGGTGTACAGCCAGATAAAAATATACAATACAAACATTAAAAACAATTAAAAGAATATATATTAAGTTGGCCTCAGTTTAAAATGACAAACCAATTAAAAATTTAAAATTTAAAAATATATTAACCAGGAATGAGGTGCTCTCTGAGCTTGGTTGTTTCCTTGTAGACATTTCATTACCCAACTAGGTAACATCATGAGTTTGAAGGGAGTGGGGTGTGTGGAGAGGAGGAGGAGGAAACAATTATGGGGTCCTTGGTGCTCTCCAAGCTTCCTTTGCTTGCAGACTTTTAATTACCCAACTAGGTAACATTATCAGTGTTAGGAGGGAGTGGGGTTTGCAGAGAAGGAGTGGTGGAGGAGTGTGGGGTCCTTGGTGCTCTCTGAGCTTGTTTTCTTGAAGACGTTTCATGACCCAAACTAGGTAACATCTTCAGCGCTAGAACAGAGTGGGGTTTCCTTCTTGTGTTCTCTTCTAGCACTGATTTTGTAACCTAGCTGGGTCATGAAACATCTGCAAGAAAACTGCCCAGCTCAGAGAGCACCAAGAACCCCACAATCGTTGTCATCCCCGTTCTCCTCCTCCCCATAAACTCCACTCCTTTCTAGCACTGATGATGTTACTTAGCTGGCTCATCTGCAAGAAAGCCACCGAGCTCAGAGGACTCCCTCATTCCAACCCTGAGTTACAAATATTCTCCTCGATCGGTATTAACCCGGAAACATTCTTTTTTGTTGTTGTTGTTGTTAAAACAGTACGGAGGCGACATTACAAGGAAAATGAAGCTTTTGAAGAGGCAAGCCGAAGGGAAGAAGAAGATGCGGAGAATCGGGAACGTAGAAGTGCCAAAGGACGCTTTTATCAGAGTTCTCAAGAAGCAGCTTGACCGATAGCTTACAGGGGTTGCTTCCAGCTGTTTGCAAAGTCAAGCGGAGGAGAACCGTTTGAGCCAGCCGTTTACAAACCGGGGATTATCCTGAATATGGATCTCATCTGCTCGCGTGCAGATTTGACACCATTCTAATGGTCCCGTTCAATAAAGCAGCAAAACGGATGACCTAAAAATCTAAAATATAATTAAACATCTGAGAGTATTAGGGCTAATTTTTGATGCCATTTCTCAGAACTGTGCCTTGTGCCTTTGAGGTTCCTATTTGTCTTTTTCCATATTTGATTACATTCCGGGTCTTGACATCCGCAAGCCCTTGGCTACGCTAGATAAATAAATCTGGGTACAAGTACAGTTATCCTCAATTTACGACTACAATCAGCATCTTTTAACGACCCCATAATCCCTTGCATCGGGGTGGAGTCTGGGCAACTGAATGGAGCTGAGTGTTTACTGGCTGGATGCATTTCCTGTTGCCAATGAGGAGTTTTGTTCGGCAGATATATTCTCGTTGTGCCCAGAGAGAGAAATATCTGCCTCTACCTAGGATCGAACTCATAGCCTCCTGATTGTGAGGCGAGAGGCTCCACTTCTAGGCCACTGCACCACTCAATTTACGACTACAATGGGAGTCCAAAATTTCTCTTGCAAAGTGTGAGACATTTGTTCAGGGAGTTTTGTCCCATTTTACGACATTTTTCTTGGCACAGGTGTTAAGTGAATCGCCAGAGGCCTTAAGTTAGTAACATAGTTGTTAAGTGAATCCGGCTTTCCCGTTGACTTTTGACGTGACCTCAGGAGGCTGCAACCGTCATAAATATGAGCCAAGTTACCAAGTGTCCCAGTTTTCGTCACATGAACATGGGGAATGCTGCAACGGTCGTAGGTGTGAAAAACGGGTCATAAGTCACTTTTTTCAGCGCTTGTTAAAAGGGTTTTTCAAAGTTTTTTGTAACTTTGAATGGTCACTAAATGAACTCCTGTAAGTTGAGGACTTCGGATCTTTGGTGTGAGCTGGCTTAGCCTTTTTCCAAACTCCTTAAATCTTAATGTGGAATATAAATTGAATGATCCGCTTTATAGAATATAAATACTTCTGATCCATCGGGATGCTGTTTGTATAAATTTAAGAATCCGCAACAACAATATACTAAAACTAGAGTTTGTTTTCCCAGCAGAGGAGAAACACAAAACAGCATTTTTCAAACGTAGCCACATCTTAAAAGTGACTCAAGTAATGTCTGTATTTCTCAATTCTGGGAAATTTCCAAATGTGTCGACTTCAACTCCAGAATTCCTTGTGCTGCCTGGGGATTTCTGGGCATTGAAGTCCACAAGTCTTAAAAAGTTGCCAAGGTTGAGAAACAACGGTTTAAACAATGGAATTAGTTCAGGGGAGGAGATATGATTACTGTATTTTTCAGAGTATAAGATGCTCCGGACTATAAGACTGTTGTGGCCAGCCAGCGGCCTGGGCGCATCGTGGCTGATCCCGACGACAAGGAGGCTGGTGTGGTGTCGTGCCAGCAGCCTGCGCAGCCGGCGCTCGCGTTGGACAGCGAGGAGGCTGAAGAGGATGTGGTGCCAGAGGCAGAGACTCAGCCAGGGCCTTCAGATTCTCCAGAAGCTCCTTCAAGTGGAGAGAGCGAAGTGGAGGAGCCTCTCCTCAATGCTCGAGCACGCAGGGCTGTCAAAAGGCAGGAGTGGCTACTCAGGAGGAGGAGGTCTCCTCGAGAGTAAGGCTTGGGCTAATTGGCCACTCCCTTAGCTTATTTAAGTCACACAGAGTTAGTAATTGTTGCTGGAAACATTTAATTATTACGCAGAGCATTTTGGAGAGTGAGTTTATCACATCTTGGTTTCTGGGCTGGTTGCCAACCTTTGTTGGACTTTGTTTATTCTTTGTACTTTATAGCAGGCTGATAAGGACATCTGCACTGAAAGCCTGCATTTTGAAAGGGGTCTGTTTGTAATAAACGGAGTTTTTGGAGCTTGGTGTGTGTCACACTCCTTGGGATCCGGAGTTGGGGCAGAACAAAGACGCACCTACCTTTTTTGGGGAGGAAAACAAGGGGGAAAAAATCTGCCTCTGCCTCCCAGCAATTTGCCTCCTTGCAGCAAACAGCCCGTTTCAATTTCAGCTTCAGCACAGCCTGATTTAGCACAAGCAGCTGATTGTCGGTTGGATCGGCCTCCCGAAGATCAGCTGTTTCAGGCTGCAGGGATTGCCATAGGTTATTGCCACCTCCACACACGCTCTATTTTCCAGCGGATGGACGGGGCTACATTCGGTGTATAAGACATACCAAAATTTTCACCCACTTTTGGGGGGGCGGGGAGTGCGTTTTATACTCTGAAAAATACAGTATTTTTAAATTCACACAGATTTCTTCCTGCTTTCTCCACTCTTTAATTTCCACAACTTTTTGAAGAATTGGGTGGAAAAGATCAAGAATAAGACTTTCACCCAAAGCCCTCCAGAAATTGGGAGGCTGAATCCTCCGCGGTTTCTTCAGCCTTATCCCAAAGGCGAGAAACCAAATCCAGAAAACTCCCGTCAACAGCGAAGGAGGGAATCCCCTCCAGAAAGTTCCCATTTTTCTTTAAATCCACAAAACGCTTGAAAAACGCAGGGCAACCATAGATGAGAGTAATATGCCTCTTTACTTTTTGCTAAATTCATAAGGAGCATGGGTTTAGGAGATTTTAACAGTTGCACTAGCGTTCAAAATATACACATTTCATTGCCCATTTCTGGCAAGAATAACATTGCAAAATGTTCAAATGTTCTCTAACGCACCCCTCCCCATCCTTCATATGAGTGTTGTGGCAGAAATAAATATCCATTTAAGATATATTTAAGATGGAAAGAAAAGAGAGAAAGAAGGAAAGAGGAGGGGAGGAGAGGGAGGGAGGGAGAAAAAGTGTCAGCACTTCAAACTACATTCGTTCCAGTGCTGACATGAGGAGAAGAGGGGGCAGCTGGCAAGAGGACGCTTGACTTTTCACCTACTTATTTTCCCTGAAGATAATATCCCCTAGGAGATGGGTTGGGAGGGAGGACATTCCTGGGAGCTGAAGTAGTAGATATGGGGAGAGTGATTTGGAAGATGGCCAATGAGACGCAGAGAATTGGGGAACGGAAAGAGAAGGTTTGGGGTCAGGAAGTCAGTGTTGGGTACAACATAATTGGGGACAGATTGTCGTGCTTAATAAATGAAAGATTTCATCAAAGACTATTTGTTTGGAAATGCAATTTATTTGAGACGCCATCGAAACCTGACAAAAAGAAAGGGAGGGGAAAAGTGAAAGAGAAAGAAAAAGTGGAGGAAGGGAGGGAGAAAAAAGGGGGAAAATGAAAGGGAGGGAGGGAGAAAAAAAGAGGGGGAAAGTGAAAGAGAAAGGGAAGGGAGGGAGGAAAAGGGGAAAAGGGAGATAAAGGAAAGGGAGAGGAAGGAAGGAAAAGACAAGGGAGAAAGGAAAGGAAGAAAAAAGGAAAAAAGGGAGGAAAGGAAGGAAAAGAAGGGAGAGAAAAGAAAAAAAAAGATGAGAAAGAAGAAAAGGATGGATGGATGATGGATGGATGGATGGATGGATGGATGGATGGATGGAGCAGAACACAGGCTGTCTCTTCAGAAACTTTCCAAAAAAGTACGATTGCTTACAAGACAGATACTCCGCTCATACTCTTCCCTCACCCTATTCCCAGGGAGGATGGGGTAGGTTTGAAGTCAACGAATTGCTGAGACGTGGGTGTAAAAACATCTGATTGTAAAGTCTCTGCTTCTCCGTTACAATCCAGAGGCCAAGATCTAAAGCAGCAAAGAAGTGTTCCTATTCCAGTCACCGAGGCAGAAAAAAAGTCCAGATGGCCATAATAAGGTTATTGAAGCCCCCCTTCCAAAGCCCCCTTCCCGCGTAATAATAATAAAAAAGATGGAAGGGAAATCTACTGGTGCAGCTCAGTGGTGGGTTGCTACCGGTTTGGCCCGGTTCGGGTGAATCGGTAGCGGCAGGAGGCTCCACCACCGGACGCTTTGGCTCATGCACACAATCATCGCGCGCAAGTGCATGTGTGCCAACGAGCGAACCGGTAGCGACGGGTATTGAAACCGGGCCCTGGTGTAGCTTTCCTCGGGGTCTTTTTATATATATATATATATATACTCCAGAAACCCCCTGGCAGTAGGTTTGAGCTTCACCTCTTTCCCCTGACCGGTTGCATCGTTTCGGACCCTGTAAATATGCAAAAGTGGGGGGGGGAGACAAAAAAAGGCTTTCGACAGCATTAAAAGGAATGTTACAGACGCATTTTGGACCGCGAAGAAAACGAACCACAAACCCGGGTTTCAAAAGCTGCTCGGTTTTAGCCAATGTTCACCAGTGTGTCTAGCAGTAGGGGGGTCCCCAAAACACACTGCCAGGTTCCACCCCGCAATGACGCCGGTGTGATTCTGTCCATCAATTTTGCTCTTTCATGCTACGTAGAGGTTCCACCAGCTTGTTGTGCACGTGCATTAAACCTTGAAGATTAAAAAAAAAAAAACACACAAATCTGCATTGGTCATATTGCTAGTTAACATCACATTCCGTTCGTAATACAGGTAAATCCTCAATTTAGGCCCGTTTTTCTTTCTCACCTGGCTCTAGATCCTCTCTATGCATCTAGGGAGGGCAAAAACAGCCTTCCCCACTCCCTCGGAGGCCTGAAACGGCCCATTTTCCAACTCCTGGTGGGACAGGAAGTGACATTTTTTGCTGTCCCCACCCTCCAAAGCCTCTCTAGGAGACTCTGAAATACTGTCAACCCTAGTTCTTCTTTCCTCTAGATCCGTGATGACGAACCTATGACACGCATGCCACAGTTTGCGTACAGAGTCCTCTCTGCAGACAGCCGAGTCGTCACCCAGCTCAACTCCACCGCGCATGCATGTCTTCCGCCGGCCAGCTGATTTTTGGGATGGGGGCAGGGCGCAAGTGGGAGACGCGCACACATGCGCGGGGCGGGGGGAGTACGGGGGGTGCAGCACACACCCTCACACACCCGTAGCCCGTTTTTGGTGGCTGCAAGTGTTTCAAGTAGTTTTAATCAAAATGCCCAGTTCCTCCACGAGGATGAAGCTCACCTTTAAAATACTTCACCGTTTTAACTCGGAGTTCTAAAGTGGCGTCTTCGTCGCACACGAAGATAGTGTGGGGGTGTTGCTGGAAGGCGGAAACGGTCCACATGTGGTTGACCCCTTCTTCGATTGCCTTGTATAAGGCGAAGGCTTTGTGTGCCCCCGTGATCAGGATCATGACCTGGGAGACCAAGCGTGAATGGAGTACAGTCAAGCTAGCACCTATGAAAGCAGCCCCCTCCATTGCCTCAGAAGATATACTGCACTACGGATGTCCCACCGTGGCAATTTTTAAGACCTGTGGACTTCCAACTCCCAGAATTCTGGGAATTGAAGTCCACAAGTCACAAAGGGCCATCTTGTTCCCCACCTCCGACATAAAGATTTACTCATGGCATTTGTAATACACTAGAGTGGTGGGGTGGCCTAGAGGGCGGAGCTCTCGCCTCACAATCAGGAGGCTGCGAGTTCGATCCTAGGTAGAGGCAGATATTTCTCTCTCTGGGCACAATGGGAATATATCTGCCGAACAAAACTCCACACTGGCAACAGGAAAAGCATCCGGCCATTAAAACACTCTGCTAGCTCCATTCAGTTGCCCAGACTCCACCTCGGTAAGAGATTATGGGGTCATTAAAAGATTTGTAGTACACTAATTCTAAAGGAAGTGATTTATATAGCACTCCAGTTTTCAGATACATTTTAAAAAATGCAAGTATAAAGATGTATGTTCTTACTTCCCGGGCGTCCATGACCGTTCCCACGCCAACTGTTAAAGCCATAGTTGGAACTTTAGATAAATTGCCATCAAAGTATTTGGCATTCGCCAGAATGGTGTCCATGGCCAGCGTTTTCAATCTTGTTCTCGACACCAAACTGGATCCGGGTTCGTTGAAAGCGATATGACCAGTCTGGGCCAATGCCTTGGAAAGACCACAAACGACAAAAACCACACTCTTGGCCGTGAACACTTTGATACAGGGAGTCCTCGACTTACGACCACAACGGAGCCCAAAATGTAGGTCGCTAAGGGAGACATTTAAGTGAGTTTTGCCCCATTTTACGACCTTCCTTGCCGCCGTTGTTAAGTGAACTGCTGTGGTTGATAAGTTAGTAACCCACTTAGTCTCACTTAGCAACAGAGATTTTGGGCTCCATTGCGATCGTAATTCTACCTGTATTCACAGCTTACAAAGTTGATGGCGCAACTCAACTTTATAAATTTGTTCTGAGTCATCTGCTGAACAAAACTCCGTATCGGTGACAGGAAGGGCAGTCGGCCAGTAAAACACTCTGCTAGCGCCATTCAGTTGTCCAGACTCCACCCCGCAAGAGATTATGGGGTCGTTAAAAGAGGATAATGATGACTGACGGTTTCCGTTTTTGCTTCATCGCCCAAAAAAACCTCACCTCCAACAAACAGCTCTATCCCTCCAGCTTCTTCTATTTTCTTTTCAAAGGCGTCACACTCGGCTTTCAGATCCGGCGTGTTCCCGTCAAGAATATGAGCGTTGTTTGGATCTATATCAATATGCTTAAAAAAGTTATTCCACATATAAGAATGGTAGCTCTCTGGATGACTCCTCGGAAGCCCTGCAACCAAAGCAGAGCGGTTTTAATTCCAGGATCTCAAAAGAAAATTGGAAAGGAGATGAAATGGATTGAAGCGTGCAACTCTGTCCAATGTTGAATTAACACCTGTATTTTGGGGGAGGATTTGGGTTTGGCTAGTCTAGGGAACGTGGTGGTTCAGTGACTAAGACGCTGTGTTTGTCGATCGAAAGGTCGGCAGTTCAGCGGTTTTCGAGTGCCGCGTAACGGGGTGAGCTCCCGTTACTTGTCCCAGCTTCTGCCAACCTAGCAGTTCGAAAGCAGATTAAAAAAATGCAAGTAGAAAAATAGGGACCACCTTTGGTGGGAAGGGAACAGCGTTCCGTGTGCCTTTGGCGTTGAGTCATGCCGGCCACATGACCACGGAGACGTCTTCGGACAGCGCTGGCTCTTCGGCTTTGAAACGGAGATGAGCACCGCCCACTAGAGTCGGGAACGATCAGCACATATGTGCGAGGGGAACCTTTACCTTTACCTTAGTCTAAGGCAGGAATCAGCAACCTGCAGCTCTGGAGCCACATGTGGCTCTTTTACCCCTCTGCTGCGGCTCCGTCACTCAAAATATGTGTCACAATGTGCAACATCCGCCAGCACGCAATTTATTGAGCTTTTCAACCTCCGGTAGGCCAACCATGGATAAATCCCAGAAAAGTTTCAGAAGAAAACGGAACGCTTAATTCAACTACATAGGCTAGTTTTGTGGCCGCTCAAGAAACAGTCAGGCACGGGAAGGGTTTTGTGGCTCCCGGTGTTTTCTTTTCTGTGGGAAATGGATCCAAACGGCTCTTTGAGTGTTTTAAAGGTTGCAGACCCCTGATCTAGGGAAAAGAAGGACTAAGGGTGACATAATAGCAGTATTCCAGTATTTGAAAGGCTGCCACAAAAAGGAGGGTGTCAATTTATTTTCCAAAGCAAAAAATAACAATGGGTGGAAACAAATCAAGGAGAGAAGCAACCTGGAATTAAGGAGAAACTTCCTAACAGTGAGGACAATTAACCAGTGGGACTGCTTGCCTCCAGAAGTTGTGGGTACTGTTAGGAAATGAGTATTACCTACCTTGTTGGGTTGGCAATATATTAACCATCAATATAGCTTTAAGACTGCTGTATTGCATCATACTGTGTCCCGATTGGTTAGCTCTGTAGCCAATCTCCTTAAGAGGGAGCTAGAAACATGGTTTGTTTTTCTTTGCTCTCTGATATCTCTGTATGCTTCTGTTTGCAAATCCGGAAGAACTGTTTATTGTGAATGACGACGACGACTGGTAAGAAGACTTTGTTATTGGATTATCCCTGGACTGTCATTTTGCTATCTCCTGCTTTATATGTGTATGACCTGCACTGTTTATTGGACTGTGCCTTACTATTTCCTGAAAGTAAACACAACTCAGTGTATCTGTGTGTTGGCTGTGTTTATTCGTAACTACTCTCGATCGCTTTTATGTGCACACCCTTGCTACTGAAGGGTTACTCTGCGAATTCCTTAACAGGTACTTCATCACTGGAGAGTTTTTAAGAAGAGACTGGACAGCCATCTGTCTGAAATGATATGGGGACTCCTGCTTGAGTAGGGGGTTGGATTAGAAGACCTCCAAGGTCCCCTCCAGCTCTATTCCGATTGTGATTTGTAAATCGGAGCCCCTGCCACAAATACAGACGTGCTTAAAATAACAACAACAACTTACCTACGTATTCATCCATGTTGAACGTCTTCACATATTTAAAAGAGAGGTCTCCCTTTTTGTGATAGTCTATCAGCTTCTGATAGCATCCTAAGGGTGTGCTTCCTGCATCAAGCAAAGGGTTTCATTATCTCATGCGCTAAGGAAAAATATCTTGTAATTCGAATTGCAAAAGATGAGTGTTCTGTCCCCCTTCCCCACACAGGCAAACACACAACCAGGCACGCCTGCCAAGATTTTATTAAGCAATCAGACTAGAAACCCTTTCAGGCTGGTGCCTGAATCAATGCATGATTGATTGATTGATTGATTGATTGATTGATTTTTTAATTATTTTTTAAATTTCTATACGCCCTTCTCCTTTTGGACTCAGGGCGGTGAACAGCCAAAATAAAACATTTGTACACAAAAGTTAAAATAGGTTTAAAATAATTAAATAAGGTTGGCCCAAAATTTAAAACATTTCAACATTTAATTCCTAAACTGACTCAGATTTTACTCAAGGTGGAAAAGCACGAGCTGAGCGAAATCTAGCCACCCCAATAAACCATTAATTCTCATTATTTACAAGAGCAAAAATATAGAACACAGAGAGACAGACAGAGAAGAAAATGAATTACCTGTCGGTAAGCCAAGGGTGAAATATCGGCTTCGGTTAGGCTTGAACTGAACGATGCGGTTACAGATGTATTTTGCAGCCCATTCGCTCGCCAAATCGTAATTTTCTAGGATTACAAGCCTCATCCTGTTGGAAACAGCTCCCACGAAGCAACGCCCAACCGAAGCTGTGGGAGAACCCGGAGCAAGATGTTTATTCAAGCAAGCATCTTTTGTGCGTCCTTCTCAACAACACAATCTTGAGTGGGGCCGCACTTCGACGATGCCAGACAAAAACTGTGTTGCGCAATGGCAACGCGCAAGATTTTGGAAGTTCGTCTACCCTGGAAGCTGTTCTGTCCCCGTTCCACTCACGCACCCCCACAGACAGCCCGGAGTTAATAAGCCACACGACAAAACTCTTTGATGATAAAGCTGGCAGCAACCCAGTGGCTAGCTGCCAATTCAGACTTTACTCACACAAAACAAAGATTAGACTGCCAGCATTCCAATAAAACAGGCAGAGTTTTCAACAATACAAGGATTAATCCAAATGCAGTCCAATAAAGCAGGCAAAGTCCAGTAACACAGAGATCATGGATTATTTCTAGTTTTTGCTCGTCACAAACTGAACCGGCCACCACACCCACATTTATACCCTGTGGGGTGTGGTCCAGTGACTCAGCTAATCTCTGGCACGCCTTCCCCTCTGCTGCGCACGCTTCTCCCTGCGCCTCTGGCGAGGGTCCAGCCAGCACTTATCTCTTTCGTCGCTGTCCACCTGTGGCTGCGGGGACGTGCTTGGCTCTGAGCCTATCTTTTGGCCTTCGGTGTCCTCCGGAGGCATTGCCAGAGAGGAGGGTCCTGGAGAGGGAGGCCTTGCCAACTCCTCTTCCTCACTCTCAGAGTCTGCATATGTCGATAGCCCAGGCTCAGGCAACGGAGCCACAACAGAAGCACTTTCTGAATGGCATGGTAGAAGACCCTATACAGGTCGTCCTCAACTTACGACGGCAATGGAGCCCAACATTTATGCCGCTAATAAGTAAAGACAGTTGTAGGAATTTTGCTCCGTTTTTACAAATTTTTCTTCCCGCCGTTAAGCAAATCACAAGCTGCTGTTAAGTGAATCGGGCTTGCCCACTGACGTTGCTCGTCAGGCGGTCACAAAAGGAGATCCTATGACCCCGCCAGGACACGGCGACCCGTCATAAATATGAGACCGTTGCCAAGAGTCTGAATTTTGATCCCATGCTCAAGAAGGTGCTCCAATGGTCGTAAGTGTGAAAAATGGTCATGTCCCTTTTTTTTAAGGGCTCCTTGTAACTCTGAACAGTCATTAAATAAACTGTTGTAATTCAAGGACTTACTAACTTAATAGCTGCAGTAAATCACTTAGCAACTACGGCAAGAAAACACTGTAAAAATGGGACAAAATTCACTCAGCAAATGATATTCACTTAGCAACATAAATTTTGGGCTCAATTGCGGTCGTTAAAGTCAAGGACTGCCCGTATTCTCCCAAATTATGAAACTAGGTGTCTGAATGTTAATTTTTTTTTTCTAGAACAAAACAGAAGCTTCATATGGATGGGGTGTGAATTTCCTTCCTCTTTTTAAAGTTCAGGAATAAATAAGCACGTTTCAAATGCTGCGGCTTCTGTTCACGGAATAGAAACATACCGGAAGGGATACAGCCTTCGAACGAGGTTCTTGTTGAAAAACACAAATATCTTGGAATCTACATCAAAAAAAAAATATGGCACCCCATGCAGGAAACGTTAATTAATCCAGATTAACAGAATTGGAAGGGACCTTGGAGGTCAACCCCCTGCCCAAGCAGAACCTACACCATTTCTGACAGATGGCAATCCAGTCTCTTCTTGAAAGCCTCCAGGGATGAAGCTCCCACAACTTCTGAAGGCAACTTCTGTTCCATCGGTTGATGGTTCTCACTGTCGGAAAATTCCTCCTTATTTCCAGGTTGAATCTCTCCTTGATCAGTTTCCGTCCATTATTCCCTTGTCTGGCCTTCGGGTGCCTTGGAAAATAGCCTGACCCCCTTCCTCCTCTCTGGGGCAGCCCCTCAAATATTGGAAGATGCTATCATGTCTCCCCTGGTCCTTCTCTTCACTAGACTAGCCAGGCCCAGTTCCTGCCAAGTTCATCCATTATGATGCAATCCTATGGAACAATAGCAATAGAAATCTTTATTTGTTCTGACTGTATATTAAGGCAGGCAGATTGATTCGAATCTACTGCACAACAACGATCTGCACAAGCCGGATTTTTTCTCCTGCAAGGACTCCTAAATTCACATTTTAAAAAATGGCAAATAAAGTATTTATTTATTTATTTATTTATTTATTATTGCGATTTATATGCCCGCCTTTCTCCCTAGGGACTCAAGGCGGCTTACAATATGACAAATTCCAATACAAATCACAATCAAATAAAATTAAAATCAGCAACCCTATTAAAAAACAGTTTAAAATTAGGCGATGTTATGGATTCAGGTAATGAAAATTTGGAGACTTCGGAGCGAGACTGAGCCAGAAAGCAAAGTCTTGATGCGCGACTATTGTCATTTTATTATATGGCACGATCGAGTGGGTTATTATTCCCTAAACTTTCAGATTTTTCTTCTAAGAAAAACCCACGCCGGAGTAGATTTCAATCAGCGCACCTTCTCAAGAGCCTCGTAAATTTGAATCCCAAAATCTTCTGGTTTTCTATCGCAACCTGTAAGCGTATGAAAAAATAAAGATCTAAAGATGCCTTCCAGAGTGATAATCCTGGAGGCCTCACCCCAATTCCTGCTTATTAAGAAAAAAAAGATATATGAAACGATAAAACTCATTTAGGATGAGGGATTCCAATCCACGAGTCGTTTCTGCGTTCCCAATGCACCTGGATCCTGACTGGGGATCATGGGAGTTGTAGTGCAACACTTCAGGGATGTCTATGGAGATTCTTAGTCGTCCTGGTCATAGTTGTCCCTAGGGGTGTGTGTTTTTATTTTTCAAGAGGCAACTTGGACTTCCTGGTTTTTCTTTTGAAGACGTTTCACTTCTCATCCAAGAAGCTTCCTCAGTTCTGACTTGGATGGTGGGGAATGGAAGGATTTATATTCCTTGCAGACAGCTGGTCATTTGCACCCTTTTAGAGGGTCTCTGAAGCACTTGGAGGTTTATCTGTGTCCTCAGGGTCACCCAAGTGGGGCTAATGGTTCCTGTAGTCTGCAATTTTTTTCCTCTGGAAATCCGTTCCTACTCCCACGCCATTCCAAGGGTCTTCACCCCAAATTGAATAGCTAAACGCCTGTCAGTCACCCAGGACATGGTTGTCCCAAAGGTGCATTTTTTTTCAAGAGACAACTGGACCTTCTTGGGTGGTTGGTTTTTTTGAAGACGTTTCGCTTCTCATCCTAGAAGCTTCCTCAGTTCTGTAGTCTATAGCTAAACATCTATGGAGATTCTGACTTATCATGGTTGCCCCAAAGGTGCTGTTTTTTTCCAAGAGGCAACTGGACTTTTTTGGGGTGTTTTTTTTTGAAGACGTTTCACTTCTCATCCGAGAAGCTTCCTCCGCTTCTTGACAACACTATAGGGAGGTGCCCCTTTCTTTTCTTTTTTTTTTTAGAAAGTTGCTCCAGCAAAATTCAGGTTGAGCCCAGACGTTGCTCTCTTCCAGAAGGGGAGGAGGGCAAGGCAATGCGATGTGCAATGCAAAGGAAACCCACCCACCCCACCCACTCACCAAGCCCCCGGCCAGGATTTCCAAGCTTCTCCGCCCGTCCACCGCTTGCAATAAGGATGCTTGTAAAAGCCCAGTCACGCACCCCCTCACCCCACCAAAAAAAGAAAAGAAAACCCCGCAGCCCCGCCGCCTCTCGGAGCTCACCTGCCCGGGGAATCCTGCAAGGGAGGGCGGGGCCAAGGCTTCCGGGATGAGCCCCGCCCACTTCAGCTCCCGTGGCTTTGCATCCGCCCCGGGCAGGGCGAAGGGGCTGCGCTCCGCGAGGGAGGGAAAGAAGGAGAGCCGAAGGAGCCAGCGCGCGTGCGCAGGACGGGGCGGGTCTCTAGGAGCCTTTGCCTTGGCTTTTGGGGGGCGGTTGCGGGGCTCCTTTGGGAGGGAGGGAGGGAGGGAGGGGGGGGGAATGAGAAAGAAGGAAAGGGTAGGAAAAACAGAAGAAGGAGGGAAGGGAAAGACAGGAAGGGAAAGAAGGAAAAAAGAGGAAGGAGGAAAAATGGAAGGAAAGAAAAGAGAGGAAGAGAGGAAAAGGTGGGGAGGAGAAATGGAAGGAAGGAAGGAAAAGGGAAGGAGGAAAAATAGACGGAAGGAAGGAAAAGATAGGAAGAGAAAGGAAAAGAGGAGGAGGAGAAAGGAAAAGGTGGGGAGGAGAAATGGAAGGAAGGAAGAAAAAGGGAAGGAAGGAAGAGGAAAATATAGGAAGGAAGGAGGAAAAATAGAAGAAAAGTAGATTAAGGAAGGAAAAGTTAAGGGGAGAGGAAGGAAAAGATAGGAAGAGAAAGGAAAAGATGGGGAGGAGAAATGGAAGGAAGGAAGGAAAAGATAGGAAGAGAAAGGAAAAGGTGAGGAGGAGAAATGGAAGGAAGGAAGGAAAAGGGAAGGAGGAAAAATAGATGGAAGGAAGGAAAAGATAGGAAGAGAAAGGAAAAGGTCGGGAGGAGAAATGGAAGGAAGGAAGGAAAAGGGAAGGAGGAAAATGGAAGGAAGAAAGGTAGGAAGGGAAAAGGAAGGGAGGAGGAAAAATAGAAGAAAAGTAGATTAAGGAAGGAAATGTTGGGGGAGAGGAAGGAAAAGGTAGGAAGAGAAAGAAGGAAAAGGTAGGAAGGAAGAAAATTAAAGGAAAAGGGAGGGAGGGAGGAGAAAAGACTGAAGGAAAGAAGGGAGAAAGGATAGATAGATAGATAGATAGATGGATGGATGGATGGATGGATGGATGGATGGATGGATGGATGGATGGATGGATAAAGGAAAGACTGAGAAGGAAGGAAGGAAATTGCCTATGCAATTAAGGTCCCCATAAAGATTTGTATTCATGTATAGCTGTTGGTGATCCCAATTAGGTCCTTAGTTCTCCTCCATGTAACTTCTTCAAAGAAGACCAAGAGTTTACATACTTTACCAGCAAAGCTGGATGGGGAATTCTGGGAGTTGAAGTCCGCCAGGCTTAAAAGTGGCCAAATTTGGGGACCACCCCTGGCCTACCACGAAGGTTGCCACCTGCCAATCAAAATTGCTAGTGATTGACAGCCTGCTTTCAATTTTCTCCCAAATGTCATCCCGGTTTGTTGCTCATTTGCCCTGCATTTGCTCGGTCTAACTTGGGCTGCGAGCGCTTCCCTTTCATCGCCGGCAGGGGGCGAGCGTGAGGCCGCCGGCATACGCGCGGCTCTTTCCTCGTGTTATATTTCCTTGTGGGATGGGGGGGGGGAGAGAGAGAGAGGGTGTGGCGCAGGAAGCGGAAGTCCCGCCGCAAGCCAGCGAGAGCCGCCGGCGCTAGAGCGGCCATGCGCTCGGTGAGCTACGTCCGCCGGGTGGCTCTCGACTTCGGCGGCAGCCTCTTCCCGCGCGCCGTCTCCCTGGGCGACGCCGACAACGACGCGGTGGGTCCCCGGGAGGTGGGGGGAGGGGGGCAGAGGGGGACCAAGCAGAGGCTTCTCTGGCCGGTCTCTCTTTTTATCTCTATGGTCTGTCTATGTCTGTCTATAGTCTCACTCTATGGTCTGTCTATATCTATCTATATCATATCTATATCTTATCTATTTATCTCTATCTGTATCATATCTTATCTATCTCTGTCTATCTATATCATATCTCTCTCTCTCTCTCTCTCTATATATATATATATATATCTGTATACATATATCTATCTATATCTATCTATCTGTATATATCTATATCATATCTATATATCTATATCTATATCTATCTGTATCTGTATCATATCTTATCTATCTCTGTCTATATATATCATATCTATCTCTGTATATATCTATATATCTATATATATCATATTTATCTCTCTCTCTCTCTCTATATATATATATATATCTGTATACATATCATATCTATCTATATCTATCTATCTGTATATATCTATATCATATCTATATATCTATATCTATCTGTATCTGTATCATATCTTATCTATCTCTGTCTATATATATCTATCTATATCTATCTATATCATATCTATCTCTCTATATATCTATATATCTATATATATCATATTTATCTCTCTCTCTCTCTCTCTATATATATATATATATATATATATATATATCTGTATACATATCATATCTATCTATATCTATCTGTATATATCTATATCATATCTATATATATCATATCTATATCTATCTGTATCTATATATCTCTATCATATCTATCTCTATCTCTGTCTATCTATATCATATCTATATCTTATCTATCTCTATCTGTATCTATCTGTATCTGTATCATATCTTATCTATTTATCTCTTATCTGTATATATATCATATCTATCTCTATATCAATCTATCTATATCTATTTATCTCTATCTATATATATCTATCTATCTCTCTATCTATCTGTATACATATCATATCTATATCTATCTATCTGTATATATCTATATCATATCTATATATCTATATCTATATCATATCTATATCTATCTCTATCTATATATCTATATCATATCTATCTATCTTTATCTATCCCATCCATCCATCCATCCATATATATAGTCTCTCTGTATGGTCTATCTATCTGTCTCTGTATATCTATACCTATTTTTGTATATCATCCACCGCATCAATATTTCCATCTACCTTCTGCCTTTATACATCTATCGGTATCATTGTACTTGATGACAAAATAAATAAATAAAAATAATTCCTCTATATTTCTATATCTCAGTTATCGATATCATCTGTCTTTCTATATCAATATCTACATCTCTAGAATCTTTCTATGTTTATATATCAACTATCTATTTCTATATCTTGATATATCTCTCAGTATTTAGATCTCTGATATATATATATATATATATATTTATATGTGTGTATGTATAATATCTATTATCTATCGTCTTTATATATATTGTTAAAGGCATTGTAGCTCATTCAGTGTCACGTAATTGGAGATTTGCAATTAAGAAATAATGGAGGGGGGAACGGGCTGAAGAATTAAAAAAAAATTGAATTAAATTTTGAATTAAAAAAAATTATTAATGTTTTCTTTTTTCTCTCTCTCTCTGTCTCCAGCTGAACGAACTAGTGGTAGGAGATACCAATGGGAAACTGTTTGTATACAAGAATGATGAAAGTCAGCCCTGGACTTTACGTTCCTGTCAAGGAATGGTGAGTAGAAGCGAAATCAACCGTTAATGCTATTTACAATCTGATACTTCCGTCGCAGATTACTCTAAGTAAATGCCCTGCATTTTTAGGGGTTTTTTTAACCCTTTGCTTCAGCCCAAACCATAATTTCTTGCTGAAATTAATGAATAAAGACAGCCTCTGGCCCTAGACTACGAGTCAGCAACCCGCAGCTCTGGAGCCACATGTGGCTCCTTCATCCCTCTGCTGTGGCTCCCTGTCACTCAAAATATTACAACTGCCAATGTGTGATATTCGCCGGCACACGATTTATTCAGCTTTTCGACCCTTCGGATAAATCCAAGAAAAGAAAAGTTTCAGAAGAAAACAGAATGTTTAATTCAACTACATAGGCTAGTTCTGTGGCCGCTCAGGAAATAGTCGGGCACGGGAAGGGTTTTGTGGCTCCCGGTGTTTTCTTTTCTGTGGGAAATGGTTCTTTGAGTGTTTAAGGTTGCAGACCCCCACCCTAGATCTAAAGTTTAAAAGATGTGAGAGGGAAGGGAAGGGAAGGTAGGGGTGAGCCATTTTTCAAAAGATAATGCCACTTCCTAACCATCAAGGAGAAACAGAAATATCAGTGCAGAAAGAAGACACACCCAGAGGGAGCGAATTTTTTAGCAGGGCTTGGTGGAAGGCTCCGGGTTCGCTCGGCTCATGTCTGTGGCATCCTGATGGAAAAGGATGCTGGCTAGAGTTGTTCAGAAATTGCCAAATTGGAGAAGAGTCACGTTTAAAAACTAGAGAGCGATTCTGCTGCAAAGACGTCGGGCTTATTTTGAGGCCATCCTTCTACGCCAGGGGTCGGCAACCTGTAGCTCTGGAGCCGCATGTGGCTTTCATCCCTCTGCTGCAGCTCCCTGTCGCTGGTCAGCTCCACAATTGATAGGGCTTTCGGTTAGGACAGGTAGAGGAAAAAGGATGCCGCGCTACGAGGAGACTCTATGGTGGGGCAACCGGACTTCCGGTCGGCTCCAGAATTGAAGGGGGGACTTCCGGTTAGGACCTTTGTGGCTTTGTGTTTAAGGTTGCCGACCTCTGTTCTAGGCTCACCTGTATGGCCTTTACCAACCATACTCCTTGGATTTTTTCAATATACCATATTGATTCGCTTAACCTCTTCTTCATCCTTGTTTTCCTGTTGTTCTTTATTTTTGGGGCAAGAGGGAGCATGCCTGCAAATCAAATCAATGCTTTCCTTTTTCAGCTCACCTGCGTTGGTGTTGGAGACGTCTGCAATAAGAAGAAGGTAACTTTTCTTTTTTAAATTATGTGTGTGCGTGTGTCTTTGTGCTATGTAGCAGGGTATCAAACATTTCCAAGCTCTCTTTCCAGCTGTGGGGAGAGCAACAAGGTAAATAATATGCTAATAAATCTTTTGATTCCATTGTTAAAAGTCGTTTTGTCAGCCGCAACCTGGCCTCCGCTTTAATCATGGTTGCACCTAGCTCAGATGTCAGCAACCTTCGGCTCTGGAGCCGCATGTGGCTCTTTCACCCCTCTGCTGTGGCTCCGTCGCTCAAACTATGCGTCACGACCGCCAATGTGCGACACCCGCCGGCACGCAATTTATTGAGCTTCTCAACCCCCCAGTAGGCCAACCATGGGTAAATCGAAGAAAAGTTTCAGAAGAAAACAACATTTAATTCAACTACATAGGCTAGTTTTGTGGCCACTCAAGAAATAGTCGGGCACGGGAAAGGTTTTGTGGCTCCCGGTGTTTTCTTTTCTGTGGGAAACGGGTCTTTGAGTGTTTAAGGTTGCCGACCTCTGATTTAGCTGAAGGTTAGGTTGCAATTGGGACACCCTGGGGAAATTGTCAAGCTGCTCTAGAAAACTTAAACACTGGGTGGATTTGTTGCTGCAGAATCAGGATATGAAAAACAAATGGGAGTCGAGAATTCTTTTTCTGGTTTGCTTTCTGAATTAAAAACTCCGCTTACTCGCCCAGCGCCGAATCTAGCTGGCTTCCCCTTACTTATTCAGGCTTTTCTTTTGCCAGAATTTGGTTGTCGCGGTGAGTGCGGAAGGTTGGTTTCATCTCTTCGACCTCACGTCGCCCTCAAAGCATGGGGATGTGCTGGGCCACCACGAGCTCCCCAACCCCGATGATCCAAAAATGGCATTTAAGCAGCACATACCAGCCAACACCAAAGTTATGCTGATTGATGATATCGGTGAGTGGGTGGTCCCTTTGAACAGAAGCACTACTACTACTACTACTACCACTTCTTCTGATGATGATGATCAGGCAACTCAGCTGGGATCGTCAGAGGCTTTTAAGAGTATTTTTTTTTTCTTCAGCCTCTTCAGCTGCAGAGGTTGCAGAAAAAAATGCTTTTAAAAGCCTCTGACGATCCCAGCTGAGCCGCGCGATCATCAGAGGCTTTTTTTTTACTTTTAAAAGCATTTTTTCAGCCGAAGAGGTTGTAGAAAAAATGCTTTTAAAAGTAAAAAAAAAAAAGCCTCTGACGATCAGGCAACTCAGGTGGGCATGGGGGGGGCAGGAATTTTTGCTATTGGTTCTCCGAACCACTCGCCGCCATTGCTACCGGATTCGGCGATTCGGTCCGAACCGGGAGCATTTCACCCCTGAGCTGAACTCTTGACCACTAGAACAAAACCTACAAATTATAGTTTAGCGATGTAGCTTTTAGTTGACTTTTAAAAGAGGTTAAAGCATCGTTTAATTAATGGCCTTGAGAATTAATTTGAACCAATAGAATTAAGCCTATCAGGTTCAGAAATCGTTTCCTTTTACTAAAAAAAAAAATCTTTATTTTTCGTCCTGTCTTATATTAAGACTTCGGAAACGAATAAGGGTCTTAAGACATTGGTTGAAAAAGAATTGAGATGATTGGAAGGCACATGGTATGATGTTTTGGGAACAAGCAAGATGGATTCCTTTGATTTCTCCTTGATTTTCTGCAATCGGTTCCTCCACGATACAAAGTTTGAGTCCGCTATGCGTTCTCGGCAGATGGAGATGGAAAAAATGAATTGGTGATAGGCTACACGGACCGCGTGGTACGAGCCTTTCGCTGGGAGGACTCGTCGGAGAGTTCCGATAGCCTCTCTGGACAGCTGGTGCTGCTGAAAAAATGGCTGCTGGAAGGACAGGTAGGACATGACGATAGAAAGTCAGCATAGAAGTTTCATAAATCAATAAATCCAGGAAATGAAACGGGGAGTCAAAGTGGGGGGGGAGGCATAGCATAGTTAGCTTTGCAGCTGTTGCCTTCTTAACTTCAACTTCTGTCATATTCGATCTGTAATTCTATCTCAAAAGAAATTCCTAACATCTAGACAGAGGAAGACAAGCAGGATGTCAGGTTTCGAGGTCGTCTCAAATAAATTGCATTTCAAACAAAGTCTTTGATGAAAAACTCCCATTTATTAAGCACGACATTCTAACTCCGACTCCATCGTAGCCAACACTGACTTCCTGACCCAAAACCCTCCCTTTCCTTTCCCCACTCCTCTGCACTCATTGGCCATCTTCCAAGTCACTCTACCCCTAATCTACTGTTCCAGCTCAAAGGAATTTCCCCCCTCCCATCCCATCTCCTAGGGGATATTATCTCCAGGGAAAATAAGTAGGTGAAAAGTCAAACGTCCCTTTCCAGACGCCTCTGCTTTTCCTTCTTATGTCAGCACTAGAGTAAATGCAGCTTGAAGTGCTGACACAGGAGGTATAAAGGCTCTCAACCAACAATTCGATTCAGAATAGAGCAAGAAAGGAGGACTTCCTAGTCCAACCAGATTCCTCAAGCAGGAATCCCTTTACCATTTCATACAAGCGACTGTCCAGTCTCTTCTTAAAGAGGTGACCCTGAGGACACAGATAAACCTCCAAGTGCTTCAAAGACCCTCTAAAAGGATGCAAATGACCAGCACCCACAATTTCTGAAGGCAACTTCTGTTCCACTGGTTAATTGTCCTCACTGTTAGGGAGTTTCTCCTTAATTCAAGGTTGCTTCTCTCCTTGATGAGTTTCCAACCATTGTTTCTTGTCCTGCCTTCTGGTGTTTTGGAGAATAAATTGACCCCTTCTTCTTTGTGGCGGCCAATATCAAAGACATAGACCCAGCAAGAGAAAGGAACAAAAGTTAACCCCTCTCATAATGAGGGTAGTTGAAATCAGGGGTCTCCAACCTTGGAAACTTTAAGACTTGTGGACTTCAACTCCCAGAGTTCCTCAGCCAGCAAAGCTGGGAGTTGAAATCCACAAGTCTTAAAGCTTTGCTAGCTGAGGAATTCTGAGAGTTGAAGTCCACAAGTCTTAAAGTTGCCATGGTTGGAGACCCCTGGTTTAAATGGTTCATAAGAAGAAGGAAGGGAGGGAAAAAAGAGGGAGGGGAAGAAAGGAAGGAAGGAGCTGGAAAGAAGAAAACAATAGGAAGGAGTAAAAATAGAATGAATGAGGGAAAAGATAGAATGAGAAAGAAGGAAAAAGGAGGAAGGAGAAAAAATGAAGGAAAAATGGAAGCAAAATAGATAAAGAAAGGAAAAGATAGAAAGGAGGAAAAATGGATGGATGGATGGACTAAAGTGCAGAGCAGTAGTGAAATCCAAATTTTTTACTACCAGTTCTGTGGGCATGGCTTGGTGGGCATGGTGTGGCTTGATGGGCGTGGCAGGGGAAGGATACCGCAAAATCCCCATTCCCTCCCCACTCCTGGGGAAGGATATTGCAAAATCCCCATTCCCACCCCACTCTGGGGCCAGCCAGAGGTGGTATTTGCCAGTTCTCCAAACTACTCAAAATTTCCGCTACCGGTTCTTCCCGAACCTGTCAGAACCTGCTGGATTTCACCCCTGGTGCAGCGCATGGGACAGTCATGGTGGTAGCTGTGATGGAAATCATTTGAGGTGATGAGTCTTTGATTCTTTCCCCTGGTGAGGACAGGTGGATAGCCTCTCTGTGAACCCAGATGCCGATGGCTCCCCTCAGATGATGGTGTCCCAGCCAGGCTGCGGATATGCAGTCTTGCTCTGCACTTGGAAACAAGAGCAGCAGCCTCCCACAGAGACCGTGGACACTTCTGCATCTAGCAGGTGAGGTAACCCAGAATTCCCGAGGAACAATGCCCAGTGACGTCCAGCTGTTAGCAACCTCTTGTGGTAGTTGGGCAGCCCAAGATCACTTCGCTCTTCCCACACATACTGCATCACACTTTCCCGCGGCGGGCATTTTATTCTCACGCCCCCCCCTCCCTCCCCACAAATCAGACTCGTTGCATGCTGTCGGTGCCCCCTCCACTGAAGCAAGCCAGGACAATGGGTGGCGTCTTTAAGGAGGTGCCAACTGCCCCAGCGGGGATGTCTTGTCTACCCTTCAAATTTTCAACTTTAGGCGAAAAAAATGCTGTGCTTCTCTGTTGTGGCCTCTCGGCCACCGGCCCCTCCGGCAGCCGAATCAGAGGAGGAAAAGGAGGAGGTGTGGGAGTCAGGGTCAGCATGAAGGCAATCTGAGAGCTCCGAGGGGGAAGAGGTAACGGAGCTGGCACAGATAGAGAGAGACAGAGGCGGAGCCTGGGCCGTCCGTCAGCCGTCAGATGGAGAGTCAACAGCCCACAGGTCTGAAGTTGGCTGAGGAGGAACAGCTGGGTCCAGTGCCTGATGCACGGATGTGCAGAAGGCAGAGGAGAGGAGAGCAGTGGAAATCTATGGGCCGGTCCTCGGGACGGAAGAGCCACTGCTGCTAGTGAAGCCCCACCCTAGCTGTGGAGATCAAAGGCAGAGGGTGGAGATGAATAAATGTGGCAGGCAACTATTCATTTTCCAGCTGGATGGATTTGTTAGCCTGCGGTGAAACGTTTTGCTGGGGCTGCCAGCACTTCTAATGAAAGGAATCTTTTGAGTTCACTTCAGAGGGTTTCTCGTGTTTGGGGAGCCGGGTCTCTTTCCACCAAACGAGAAGATTTTCCTGTTGTCCCGCTAGATCTTCATTTCTTGACTACTCTTTAGGGAAGGTCCCGTCCGGGACGTCATTCTTCATCAGACGTCGGGTAGAATTCACAACAAGAATGTTTCCACTCATCTGATTGGAACCATTGGCAGAGGTAAGCGGAAGACGTTTGAGTCATTGGGGGGGGGGATTAGAAAATACTGGATTTCCAGAGAAATCCTAACCTGCCTCTTGCATTTTTTTTTTCTCTGCAGGTTGTTCAAAGGAGCCCAAAGGGCTGGGTCTGTTCGCGCTCTGCACATTAGATGGTAAGACTTGATTTTCTTGGAATGGGGATAGAGTTGAATTCACATTCATTTATATCCACGTTCCCCAACCTGGCGCCGGGAGGGGGGAATGAGGGAGGGGAGGTGGGAATGGTTTCATTTGTGTGAGCGATGGGCTAATGCAAGTAGGGCTGACAGTCTCCGCCACTCGCGCGAGTGGGTTTGTGCGCACGCATGCTTGCCCACCGTCCCTCCACTCGCACAGCCCGGTTGCAAATAGTCCACGGCCCGGCAGTGGGCCACGGCCCACAGGTTGGGGACCCCTGATTTATATAATCTGCCCCTCCCTCAGAATGTCCCTTGGCATTCCCGTAGCAGCCTACAAAGGGTTTAAACACTTCAAGATCCTGGGACGAGCCTCCCCTGGACCTGCTCCTCCGCAGGAACCCTCGGGGAACGGCGGAATTGCTACGCAGCCTTTCTTTCCCCCTTCTAGGGACTCTGAAGCTCATGGAGGGAGCAGACAAGCTGCTGTGGTCTGTGCAAGTGGACCATCAACTTTTTGCTCTGGAAAAACTGGACGTCACGGTAAGTTTTTACCTAGCTGACCGGCACTTGGGGCGAACAAAATGTATCCAGAAACGGACGGGTTATCAGAGAGCCATCTCTCGGTGAGAAATAGCAACAGCACTTACACTTATATACCGCTTCACGGTGCTTTGCAGCCGTCTCTAAGCAGTTTAGAGTCAGCCTCTTGCCCCCAACAATCTGGGTCCTCCTTTTACCCACCTCGGAAGGATGGAAAGATGAGTCAATCTCAAGTCTGTCAGGATTGAACTCCAGGCTGTGGGCAGGGTTAGCCTGCAATACTGCATTCTAACCACTAATACAGGGAGGGAGGGAAAGAGACACAGGGAGAGAGACACAGGGAAGGGGGAGAGAGACAGGGAAGGAGTGGGAGGGAGAGAGAGGAAGGGAGGGAGGGAGAGAGAGATGGAGAGAGAGAGAGAGAGACAGAGGGAAGGAGGGGGGGAGAGAGAGAGCATGGCTGCCCTTCTGACAGGCAGCTTCTTTCTAAGAAAGTTTCCTACCCTTTCAGGGAAACGGTTACGAGGAGGTGATTGCTTGTGCCTGGGACGGACAGACGTACATCATCGATCACAACCGGACAGTGGCCAGGTTCCAAGTGGATGAAAACGTCAGCGCCTTCTGTGCCGGTGAGCCAAATCCCTAGCCGTTTGTTAACTCACAGGTCCGCAAACCTCCAACACCCCCACCCCCACCCCCCCAAGAACTAGAAGACCTCCAAGGTCCCTTCCGGGTCTATTCCGATTGATTGGAGGATTTGGGGAGCATGACTTCTTAAAGACAGGTTCACCCTTGATTATAAAGGAATGGGCCATTCCCCCTCAAACTTTACATCCTTCCTAGAAATTACTTTCCAGGCCATGGTACACAGTTGAATTATGGGAGATTACCCTGTTTCCCCGAAAATAAGACCCAACCAGAAAATAAGCCCTAGCATGATTTTTTTCAGGATGCTCGTAATCTTAAGCCCTACCCCCCAAAATAAACCCCAGTTAAGATTGTCAGCCAGATGAATGCATTTAGTACTTTATTTCCCCCAAAATAAGACCCAACCGGAAAATAAGCCCTAGCGTGAATTTTCAGGATGCTCGTAATATAAGCCCTACCCCCCAAAATAAGCCCCAGTGAAAATTGTCAGCCAGATGGATGCATTTAATACCGTATTTTCCTCCCCCAAAAAATAAAACCTAACCAGAAAATAAGCCCTAATGCGTCTTTTGGAGCAAAAATTAATATAAGACCCGGTCTTATTTTCGGGGAAACACGGTAATTCTTTCCACTCAAGATTCTTCCCTAAAATGCTGTCACTTTCAAGAGAAGAATAGAGATGCTGTCCCTTGATTTGATGACTCCTGTAGACCACCTATATCCGTGATGGCGAGCCTGTGGTGGCACAAGGAGCCATATTGGTGGGTATGCAAGCTCAGCTCCGCTAGCTGATTTTCGGGCCTTCTGGGCCCACTGGAAGTCGGGAAACAGGTCGTTTCCAGTCTCCGGGGGTTCAGAAGGCTGTTTTCGCCCTCCCCGGGCTCCTAGAAAGTCTCTGGAGCCTGGGGAGGGCGAAAAAACAGGCCTACCAGGCCCACCGTGCCATCGCATGCCAAAAGGGGGGGGTGTCGTGCATGAATGTGGGGGGGGGCGCATAGAATTATGGGCGTGGGAATTATGGGCGTGGGCACACGTGCGGGCAAACCCTCCCCCCCTTTTGGCACGCAATGGCAAAAAGGTTAGCCATCACTGACCTATATATGTTTAGGTTAAATTACACATTTGCTGGTGGCCTCTCGGGATTTGAAATGTCGTTTAGCGGTTTAAAGCAGGCCTCGTGGTCGGATATTTTTTTTGTCACCTCGAATTCTGGCGGTCCTTCTCTTCTCAACAATGGCGTCATCTCTCCCCGCCAGGCTTCTATTCTTGTAAAGGGGACTATAACAGCCCTTGCCTGGTCTACGTCAGTTTCAACCACAAGATCTACATCTATTGGGACGTACAGTTAGAAAGGATGGAGTCCACCAATTTGCTGAAGACGCTGGAGAACAATTCAGAATGCGGAGAACTCCTGCTTCGGCTGGATGTAGGTAGGTTTCCGTGTGGTGGTTTCTACCAAGGTTTCACGTTGGGTTTAAGTTCCTTTGGGGTTGAAAGGTTGGAAGAAATGTCCTTCTGGGTTGAGTTCCAAGTTGGGGAGGAAGACACTGGAAACGTGGTGGGTGACTGGAAAGATGGTTTTTAATGGACGACAGGCAGGGCGTCCATTAAATTTTAGCAAGGGATTCTCCGCCCGGTTGCTGGGTGGGCATGGCCTAGTCACCTTGCTCCACCACGGTGGGGAGGTTGTTTTTGCCCTCCCCAGATTCCGGACGTTTTTCTCGAGCCTCTGGGAGGGCTGCCTTCCAGAGGGAGGGGGGGGACAAGATTTAGGATTATTCCACGTATTAGCAGAGGTGCCCGGAGGATTGTAACATCAGCCATCAAAGCTCTCATGGAAGAGTACCAACATCCCGGCATCGTTCTTGAATGCTGGTTTCCTGGACCATTAAGGTCTCGCCTCTTCGTTTATTCCTCTTGAAAACAGCTGAATCGGTGGGCATGGGAGCATTGCCCTAGTTCAGCTCCGGTGTGCATGCGGGCGCCGGCCAGCTGATTTTTCGACCTTCCAGTCCCACCGGAAGTTGGCAAATGGGCCGTTTCTGGCCTGCAGGGGTGGGGAAGGCTGTTTTCGCCCTCCCCAGACTGCAAGAAATCCTCTGGAGCCTGGGGAGGGCAAAAACCAGAACTACCAGGCCCACCGTTCCATCACGTGCCAAAAGCGGGGTAACACCGGGGGCACACACAGGGGAGTGGGGCACACTGAATTATGGGTGTGGGCACGCATGCACACATACAACCCCCCTGCGCATGAACTCCCCACTTGTGGCACACGACTGCAAAAAGGTTCGCCATCACTGGGCTAAGCCATCATTCGTTTTTGATAGATTAATGCAGTGTGAAGATTCTGTATTTTTAAATGAGAAACACTGGAGCATCATGGGGCAGCGATCTACTAGATTTCTGAATTGATCCGAGCATGGATTTCCATAGCCTGGAGAAACCAGTGGGAATCTGTTCACCTAAAGCCACAAGGAGCCTGCAAATTGTGAATCCCACCATATCCACCCCTGTGCCATCCCACCTTCCCCGTTTGTGCAGAGATGGTTACCACTTACGACCGCAATGGAACCCAAAATGCCTCCTGCTAAGTGAGACAGTTGTTCAGTGAGTTTTGTCCCATTTTTATCACCTCGCCTGCCACGGTTGTTAAGTAAATCACTGCAGTTAATAACATACCGTGTTTCCCCAAAAATAAGACCCTGTCTTATATTATTTTGAACCCTGAAATAAGCGCTTGGCCTTATTGCCATGTGGCTCAAAAGCCCGATTGGGTTTAACATCAGGGGATGTCTTATTTTGGGGGAAACAGGGTAGTTAAGTGAATCCGGTAGTTAACGTGACCCTGGGACACTTGCAACTGTCATAAATACGAGCCAATTTCCAAGCATGTTGACCAAGTGACCATTGGCATTGGGGACGCTGCGAAGGTCGTAACTCGGTCACAAGTCACTTTTTTCAGTGCCGTGGTTAACTTCAAACGGTCACTAAATGAATTGCTGTAAGGTGGGGACTACCAGTGCTTTTCCTAGGTGTCGTTCAGAGTGCCTCTCTTAAGTAACGGTATATTTTCCTCTTTTTTTTCTTTTTCATAGCTAAAAATGATGTTTCGGCTGTCAAAGATCTGATTCACAAGACCTTATACTTTCCCAAGAAAGCAATTAAATAGTCACGGCACGGAAGAAACTCCCATCTCCAGCACTCTTGTTATGCATTTTAGAACTCCGATGTCCTCCGTTCCAGTGCATAATCGGGAACAAAGCAACTCGCAATGGAAGTTTATGAGCCCCGGTGGCACAGTGCGGCATTGCAGGCTGACTCTGCTCGCTGCCAGCAGTTCGATCCCGACTGGTTCAAGGTTGCCTCAGCCTTCCGTGGTCAATAAAATGAAGACCCAGGCGGTTGGGAGGCAAGAGCCCGATTCTGTAAACCGCTTAGAGAGGGCTGCAAAAGCCTTGTGAATTGGTATATAAGCCTTAAGTGCTATTGCTAATGTATCACGCTCCCTCGTTTCTTAAAAGCCGAAAAGTGCAAGGTTGAATATGTAAACATGTATGTGTATATATGTAAATATGTCATCAGGCTGAATCTTGTGTTGTTGTTAACTTATTTTCTTCCCCTTGGTCTTAAGTTACGGGTTTTTAAGGAAAGCTTCAATAAAGAAAAGTCTTGACAAGTCATCCGATTGGTAACGGTCCCGTTATTCAAGATATTGCTTCTATAGCAGAAGCCACTAGAGATGCTTGGCACGCAGGGAAGAATGAATCCGGGAGGCGTTTCAGCAGCTGGATGGGCGCTCCGACGTTTGGCATCTACTTTGGGGGGATTCTGGAGGCCCCTAAACTGGGCTGATGGAGAACCAGGGCTCTTGGAGAGGGTCGATCTAGGTTCGGCAGTTTGGGGCCACCTGGAGCCAGTTGATGTCTGGGGTTCTATTTATTAGTATCCATAAACATAACCGCTCTGATCAGCGCCTTGTATTACGCCAATACAGAATAGCAGAGCTGGATGGGACCTTGGAGGTCATCTAGTCCAGCCTTCCTACTCAAGCAGGAGACCCCTATACCATCTCTTGACAGGTGGCTTGCCCAGTCTCTTCTTGAAACCCTCCAGTGATGAAGCAAGCATCCACAACTTCTGGTGGCAAGTCGTTCCACTGGTTAATTGTTCTAACCATTAGGAAGTTAACTTCTTAATTCCAGGTTCCTTCTCTCCTCGATTAGTTTTCATCCGTTGCTTCTCCTGCCCTCTGGTGCTTTGGAGAATAGGTTGACCCCCTCCTCTTTTTTTGTAGCGGCCCCTCAAATACTGGAAGACTGCTATCATGTCACACCTTAGTCCTCCTTTTCTCTAGACTAACCATTCTCTTCAGTTTTTGAGCCATCTTTCACCTAATCTGTACTTTGTACACCTTTGTTTTTTCCCGCCCAGTTGTAAAACTTTGCTTTTCTCCACACTGTTGGATAGGGCCCATTGTTCAAGTCTGCCAAGGTCTTTTTGGATCCCGATTTCACCAGAGAGCTGCAGAAGAAACTACAGGGACTAGGTTCACCACCGAGTTTTATTCTCCCCTTCTTTCTACAATCAAGTGAAATTCCATTAGCACCCCTCCGTATTTAGCGTAGGTCCCCTGAATCCACGGGAATGCTGCAAGCAGGTGCAACAGCGCCTGAAAAAAGCGTGTTTTTTTCTTTGCGTTTGAATTTACGGAAAACAGGTTTCAAAAGCCACCTTCCCACCGCCAGTAAACCACATACACGCAGCAGAGATTATACAGTTTTAATCTGCATAATGGGCAAAAACAGCAGGGTTGCGGTTAATCGTTTTAAAAAGCCAATCATGAAATGACTCCGCTTTGTGTTCGCTTTCCTTTCAGAAGTCATCGCCACTTATGCACACAGCCTTGAGTCTTGCCTAGCCCACATCTGCCTCCCGACTGCCTTGGCCCAACAGCTCGCTGCCATTCCTAAAATGCACGGCTGGGTTGCAATATGTTCACAGCCGAGAGAGCTCAAGCTCCTCGCAAAAGTTAACGAAGGGAGAGAAATGACAATTTGGAAGATGTCCTTCAAGCCTCCATCGATGACAGGCTCACAAAGGACTTTTAAGTGCTGTGCACGGTGCCATGCTCTCAAGGTTTGACGCCAAATTATCTGTGGCACGCGTGTCCCGTTTTCCAAGTGAGTCCAATTGAGCTGGAAGCGTAAAGCCCTGCTTTCCCACCCATCGATTCAGATCTCTTGTGATCCATTCCTTGGTCTGCATTAGGCTTTTATTCCAATGAGTGATTCCGCCGCGCCCCCCCCCCCCTTAGTGACTTCCGACCTCCCTTTCTCCCACCTGGCTGAACAAGTGGGCAAAAGTTTCAAGCAAAAAAACTTGGAACTGTTGGCGCGAGCTGTGGGCAGGCTTCCGAGGGAGTTGTGGAAACGTAGGCAAATCTCCCGATCTATCTCGGTTACGTCTTTCTGTGCTAAATGGAGGGGTGGGTGGGTGGGAAATAGGGAAGACCCCGAAGGACACAAACTTCAGACCTGCTGGGTTGGTGTAGAAGGATGTTCTCCAACTGGCAGATGTGTTTGAAGGCTTATGGCATGCGGGTGGCCTCTTTCCAAAAACGACTAAGGTCAGTCGGAGCAACTCTTCGTGACCTACAAACCATATCTGGCCAGATGTTGTTTGCCTGCACTTTGGATATTTCCTCTCTTATTCCAAAGCTCCTGCTGGTGGGATGCCCTTGGCAGAGTGAGTCATTTATTGAACTTTGTGTCTTTGCCAAAGGCGACTCTGGTGTTGCTGATGCCGAGTGGGCTCGGGAGGAGGAATATCTGCATTTAACAGTCCTGAGGGCTACTAACCACCTCCAGACTTCACAGTTTGCTGCTCAAGTTTTGGTTTTTTATTTCTTTTCCTCTCCTGCAGGAAGAGGAGCCCTTAACAAGGAAAGTGGCCACCCCTGCCCGGTAAAAATGAGCATCTGTGGTGACAGACCCGAAGAGAGAAATGTTAGGCTGCAGCAGAAAAGGGAGGGTTTTTTTGTGTTTAGGCCTCTCATGCAATAGCTGTGTGCATGTGCAGATAAAACTTTCTTTAAAAATGGAGGGGGGAGAGGGAGTAAAGAAGGGGGAATAAAATGGGATTTGGTTAGGCCAAGCTGGAACCTGAGAAGGATGCCAGGGAGATGAGGAAACTGAAAGAAGGGACCCTAACAGAACTTTTCAAGCTCAACAACAACAGAGTAAGGATGCATGTCCGAATAAATAATACATCAAACGTTACTTGGTTCTTGTGTTCTGCCACCGTTTCCTATTATAGACACTAAACAGCCCCCAGCCGTCGCCCCTTACCGAATCGAGATAGAAAAATAAAGGTTTAGTTCACTGGAAATTCTTCAGTTTTAGAAAACTAACGGGTCAACTTTCAACCCTCAAATCTCTATGTCGACTTCTGTTTTTTCCTCCACCCCGTTCTGTTTGCCGTCTTTCAGATCCGCCTCTTCTTTGCATCCTGCGTCAGCTTCCACCTGGAGAAAAAAGCATGGAGGAGGAGGAGGAGGAGGAGGAGGAGGAGGAGGAGGAGGAGGAGGAGGAGGAGGAGGAGGAGGAGGAGGAGAAAAACCCAAAATGAGAAATCTTTTACACTTGGAGCATGTATGTGTATATGTGTTCATTGACGCCTGCCAGTAGCAACAGAGGCTTATTTCCTGAGACTGGAAAGCTACCATGTTGTGGTCCGCCAGCAGTCTGCAGAGCTAGCAGCGGAGTCGGACAGTGAGGAGGCTGAGGAAGAACAGGGGCCAGTCCTGAAGGCTGGGGAAGGGCCAGATGAGGGCTCTGCGTCGGAGGCAGAGATGGGGCCAGGGCTATCAGAGAGTGATGTGCGGACTCTGGAGCCTCCAGAGGCTGACAGCAGAGAGGCAGAGGAACAGGAGGAGGCTGTTCCTAGTGCACGCATGAGAAGAGCTGCCAGAAGGCAGAAGCAGCTAAAGCAAAAAGGACGACTCAGGAGTAAGGCCAGGAGATGATTGGCCCCTCCCATAAGGCTTAAAAGAGCAGCAACGGCTCCTGGGCTCTTTGTCGGAAAGCAACGTTGATAGTTTTGTTTCTTGTCTTGCTGCATTTATTTCTTGTCAGCGTCTTCTGCTTCTGAACTTTTGCCAAGAAAAGGCTTTGGCAGGTTGCCTAATTAGACCAAGGTCGGTGATAAACTGAGGAATGGTGTTTTGAAGAATTTGCTTTAATTTAGTTTGGACGACGCTGAGAAGGAGTTTAATTCTCAGCTGTTCTAATAAAGTCTGTTTGTTTTCAATACTAACTACTTGGGCCTGGGTCACAACACTACAGGACCAGGAAAATACACAACTTAATTGGGAGAGTGTTAATGTTGCATATTTTCCTGCAGTCCCAGGAAATGAGCCTCTGTTGCGGCAGGTACGCACAACACGCTCCAAGGCAGCGTTTTTGGTTTTGGCTCCTCAAGCAACAGACATTCTTGGGAATGAAGTTACGGTTACAGGAAAGGCCTCTATTTTTCTTTGTACCTCCTGTGTGTGCATCACAGGGCACGGGTGACTGATTAACCGGCTTATTGATTAACCAGTTTGCAGGTGACCTCTGCGACTCACGGCCTCCGATGACAGCCTGGCCCGTTGCAACAAAGGAAGGGCTGAGGAGCAGTTGCCAGGGTAAACACAGAGTGCCTCCAGACTTCGACAGAACACGAAACACAAGGGAAGGCAGCGAAGTCAAACGCCGAGGGGTGGACCGGAAGGAACATTTAAGGTGGCAAAAGCAGGGATCTCCATTAGGGCCAAGATCACGACAGGCCTTAACATGTGAATAGAGTCATGGGACTTTACTAGCTCTTTAAGTTCTACCCAACGTGGCGACTTTTCTCCCTTAGATGGCGGAAGGCCCAAGGGGACAGCCAGGGTGGATTTGGATTTAAATCATGATTTAAATCACTAGTAAAAAGGCTTGATTTAAATCAACTCGATTTAAATCATAATTTTTAAAGAGCAACTGTCATCTCTGCTACTCCTTTGACCCACTGCTGACTCACCGATAGTCCCAGTGTTGCAGAATATACAGCCTCATGCTACCTAACTAAGCTCCATTTCATGCTGAATAAACTAAATTATTGATGTATCTTAAATAGAAAACTATCTTACGATAGATTTTTACCCAAAAGTTTTTTATTAAAATAAATTCGATAAAAATAAAAAAAAATCTGATTTAAATAAAAAAAATCCGATTTAAATAAAAAAAATCTGATTTTTTTTTATTTTTTTTAAAAAAAATCATTGATTTTTATCCACCCTGGGGACAGCTGCCACTCCCTCAGGTAGCAGTCAGTTTGTCTTTGTACAAGTAGTCCTCGGCTTACACCACCAGTTGAGGCCAAAATTGCTAAGTGAGAAAACTGGCTAAGTGAGTTTTGGCCCGTTTTACAGCTTTTCTTGCCAGGTTTGTTAAGGTTGTTCAGAGAATCTGGTCTCGTCCCGTCCCCCCCGCTTGACTTTGCTAGTCAGGACAACACAAAAAAGTGGATTGCGTGACCCAGGGACACTGCTGCAACCGTCGGTCGTGTGAATCGGTTGCTTAAAGCATCCAAATGTAAAGCCACGTGACCACGGGGATACTGCAACGGTCATAAATCTGAAATGAGTCACTTCCTTTCAGTGGCTCTTGTAACTTTGAATAGTCTATTCTATATTCTTTATTCTATTCTGAATTTTATTATTCTATTCTATTAATATTCTATTCTTCATTCCATTATTCTATTCTATTTCTATTCTTATTCTACTCTATATTCTATTTTATTCTGTTATTTCCTATTCCATTCCGTTCCATTCCATTCTATTTCTTCATTCCATTATTCTATTTTATTCTATTCCTTCATTTCATTATTCCATTCCTCTACTCCTCTACTCCATTCCATTCCATATTTTTTCTTTTCTTTTTTTCTTTTCTTTCCTTTCCTTTCTCCTCCCCTCCACTTTTTTTCTTTTTTTTCTTTTCTTTTTTTTTCTTCTCTTCTCTTCTCTCCTTTCTTTTCTTTTCTTCTCATCTTTTCTTTTCTTTTTCTCTTTTTCCTTTCCTTTCCTTCCTTTTTTTCTTTTCTTTCCTTTCCTTTCCTTTCCTTTTCTTTTCTTTTCTTTTCTTTTCTCTTTTCTTTTTTTTTTTTTCTTCTCCTCTCCTCTCCTCTCCTCTCCTTTTCCTATCCTATCCTATCCTATCCTATCCTATCCTATCCTATCCTATCCTATCCTATCCTATCCTATCCTATCCTATCTATCCTATCCTATCCTATCCTATCCCTTCATTCCATCCCATCCCATGGATAGAATAGTACTTTTATTACCTTCGTTTCTTTGTCTGCCAGTCTCTGGAACATGTTGGCGTACATCTTTTTCTCCCTTTCGTGCTGCTGGCGGATCTTTTGCTGGGAGATGAGCAGCTGGGCTTTGGCCGCCTTGTTACTTGGGTAGAGCTGTAGCACCTTCTGGAAATCTGCTCGGGCTAACTCGAAGTCGTTGACAGCCAACCGAGCCTCGCCTCGCCGGAAGAGGCCCTTCTCGTTGTTGCTGTCCAATTCCAGAGCCTGAAAGGATGGAAGGAGAGAGCTTGTTTTGACAAGGACACTCGATGTCCAGGACCCCCATCGCAAATGGTTCAGGGGTTGCTCCAGAAGACAAACTGCAGGGAATTTTAAAAATTTCATCCATCCCAAAGAGCATTCCTCCATTTTTACCTTATTGCAGTTTTCCAAGACCTGAGAGTACTCTTTCAGCTTTAAATGGCACATGGCCAGGTTGAGGTGGGCGGCCAGCCTCAGGTTCCTGGATTGGGTTTTCTCCATATCCGACAGACCGGTTTCATGCTCCAGCCACGATACCGTTTTCTTATACTGTAACGTTGCTCGCTTGTATTTCCCTTCCTGGAAGACAAGCTTGTGGTCAGATTCGAAGGAACCCAAAGCCAAACCCCACCACCCAGTAGGTGCACAAAGGACCCCATTCACCATTCATCACAGATTCAAAGAGGGGCTGGATGAAGAGTTGTGAAAACAAGGCCCACCTGCCTTCAACCCATTGCAAACGGGTTCTAGAACATTTGCTCCTGAAACGCTTCTTCTTTTAAATATTCATAGGCTTGCAACTGAACAAAATACATCCAAACACATACCAGGCACGCAGGGGTGACATGCTCCCGGTTCGGACCGGATCGCCTGATCTGGTAGCGATGGAGGCGGGTGGTTCGGAGAACCGGTAGCAAAAATCACCCCCCCCCCAATGTCCAGCTGAGCCGCACAATTATCAGAGGCTTTTTTTTTTACTTTTAACAGCATTTTTTCTACAACCTCTTCAGCCGAAAAAATGCTTTTAAAAAAAAAGCCTCTGATGATCGCGCGGCTCAGCTGGGATCGTCAAAGGCTTTTAAAAGCATTTTTTAAAATGCTTTTAAATGCCCTGACGATCCCAGCTGAGTTGCCTGATCGGCAGAGGCTTTTTAAAAAAGCCTCTGCCGATCAGGCAACTCAGCTGGGATCGTCAGAGGCATTTAAAAGAAAAAAAGCCTCTGCCGATCAGGAAACTCAGCTGGGATCATCAGAGACATTTAAAAGAAAAAAAGCCTCTGCCGATCAGGCAACTCAGCTGGGATCGTCAGAGGCATTTAAAAGAAAAAAAGCCTCTGCCGATCATGCAACTCAGCTGGGATCGTCGGAGGCATTTAAAAGAAAAAAAGCCTCTGCCGATCAGGCAACTCAGCTGGGATCGTCGAGGCATTTAAAAGAAAAAAAGCCTCTGCCGATCAGGCAACTCAGCTGGGATCGTCGGAGGCATTTAAAAGAAAAAAAGCCTCTGCCGATCAGGCAACTCAGCTGGGATCGTCGGAGGCATTTAAAAGAAAAAAAGCCTCTGCCGATCAGGCAACTCAGCTGGGATCGTCGGAGGCATTTAAAAGAAAAAAAGCCTCTGCCGATCAGGCAACTCAGCTGGGATCGTCGGAGGCATTTAAAAGAAAAAAGCCTCTGCCGATCAGGCAACTCAGCTGGGATCGTCGGAGGCATTTAAAAGAAAAAAAGCCTCTGCCGATCAGGCAACTCAGCTGGGATCGTCGGAGGCATTTAAAAGAAAAAAAAGCCTCTGCCGATCAGGCAACTCAGCTGGGATCGTCAGAGGCATTTAAAAGAAAAAAAGCCTCTGCCGATCAGGCAACTCAGCTGGGGTCGTCAGAGGCCTTTAAAAGAAAAAAAGCCTCTGCTGATCAGGCAACTCAGCTGGAATCGTCAGAGCCTTTTGAAAGCCAAAGAGGTTATAGAAAAAATGGTTTTAAAAGTAAAAAAAAAAAAAAAAATTGGCCACGCCCACCCAGTGACATTACCCCACCAAGCCACTCCCACAGAACCGGTAGTAATAAATTTTAGATTTCACCACTGCAGGCACGCCTATTTTCCTTTTCAACGGTTTACGTCGAAAGCCTAAGGCCGGGATGGCAAACCTGTGGCACGCTCTCTGTGGGCATGTGCGGGCACTGTATCACCGGGAAACGACCTGAAAACACCCTGGAAAACAGCCAAAAAACAGCCAGTTTTTCAGGCTGTTTTTGGGGGGATTTTTCAGGCTGGTTTTAGTCCGTTTTCAAGCCATTCTCCAGGTCCCTTTCAGGCTGTTTTTTTGGGCCCAAAACAGCCCAAAGAACGGCATGCCAGTCAACTAGTCTTCGGGATTCTGGTACTCCGGCGCACGCACATGTATGTGCATGCATGTGCGTTCCGGTTTGGGCACTCGGTGCCGAAAAGTTCGCCATCATGGGCCTAGACAAAAACGACTATATTTATCACTACCTTTGATTTTGTGACCACAGCCTACTAAAGTTTTGCATTTATAGAGGCAAAAAAAAGGCAATTTTTTAATCTTTTTAAGCAGCTGGAGAAAGAACAACATATAAAGGTAGTCCTCGACTTACGACAGTTCATTTAGTGACTGTTCAAAGTTGCAATGACACTGAAAAAAGTGATTTATGGCCATTTTGATTCAGCATCCCCCAGGATCACATGATCCAAAATTCAGGTGCTTGGCAACCGATTCATGCTTGTGACCTTTGCCGCGTCCCGAGGTCACGTGATCCCCTTTTGCGACCGTCTGATCAGCAAAGTCAATGGGGAAACCGTATTCACTTAACAACGGGGTCACTAACGTTATCAGGTGCACGGATTCACTTAACAACAGAGGCTAGGAAGATCCTAACGCAGAGCAAAACTCGCTTAACAAATGTCTCACTTAACAACAGAAATTTTGGGCTTAATTGTGGTCAGAAATTGAGGACTACCTGGACTTGCACAGGCTGCAAATACACAGAGACAGCTAAAGCCACTCAAAAGAGTTTGGAAATCTGCGGCTATACTGCAAAACGCTTTTTCCAAGCCGCCATAATGTTTTTGTCCAGTATATCCTGGAAAGTTCTCATGAGTTCCAGAATATTCTGGAAAGTCTACTTAGCATTGAACGTTCTCAAACACAGATCGGTTTCAAAATATCATTGCCCTGACCCGCAGAAGCAACGTTTTTGTGGAACAATAAGCTATTTTCTATTTATTTTAGGCGTAAGGGATTAGGAAAACACGCCAAAAACTAAAACTGAAAATTTGTTAGCGTAATTTAAAAGCAGGCAAGAATCACGGAAGCCGTTAAATCCAGGCCCCAACCACACCATCCCTCACCCCGAATCCAAATTAAAGCATTTGGGACCGCTGTCTATCAGTGGGAGATCATTTTGTGAGCTCATCTCTCTGGGCCATTCGTTCCCCTGTCAAACTGGCCTTCTTGCCATCAGAATGTTTTTCTTCTAACTTTCCACGGGAAAAATCTGCTTTCCTGGAATTCAGATCCATCGCTCCCGTGTTCTGGACCCAGGAAAAAAAAAACGTTAACTGCCCTCCAAGCAGGCCTATCATCCATCTGTCACTCAAATTCAGCCTCCCTGTGTAGGTCTTTGAAACTAAGCCTCCTCCTTCTCCTCCCCTTTTCCCCGTCTCTGAACCGCTCCCATTTCTCTAAACCCTTCCCCCAAGGCCAGAGAGGCTCAGGACTACATGCAGCAGTCACGACGGGATCGGATTAAACAGAATAAAGAGGAAGAATTACTTCCAGCGATCTGGAAAGTATTTCTGGATGTCCCAGATTGCACCTGGATTTTCTAAGCCACGTGGCTTAGAAAAGTCATCAGCTCCAAGTGATTTTCTGCAGGCTGTGCTACCAGCCCAGGAATACCTTGTCCCGTAACTCTTGCCTTCAAATTCTCTTCCTTAGGCAATTGCCTTTGTGTTTCTCTTGACAATTTCTAGCCAAATCAATCAAAATAAACATGAACTCTACGTCTTTCCTCTAACACGTCACCTATTCCTCCAATACTGCTGTATGCAAATCTGAACTGCCTTTCCTCCAGCCCGTCTTTCAAATCATGAATAAGCACACTGAGCAGGAGAGGCTACAAATTATCAGTCCCTTCTTTCCGAGCCTTGGTAGTACAGTGGTCTAAAGCAGCCTGTTATTAAGACCAGCTGCCTGCAATTACTGCAGGTTCGAATCTCGCCAGGCTCAAGGTTGACTCAGCCTTCCATCCTTTCTAAGGTAGGTAAATTGAGGACCCAGTTTGTGGGGGCAATAAGCTGACTTTGTATAAATATACAAAAGGATGAAGGCTATTGCTTAGCGCATTGTAAGCCGCCCTGAGTCTCCGGAGAAGGGCGGCATATAAATTAAATTTTTTTTAAAAAAAAATTGGATGAGGAACCAGGAAAGCATGTTCACTCGGCTTCTTTTGTGCTCGCCTGGACTTTTTAGCGTTCTGCGGCACTGAAGAAAAATTCCCCGTTTCTACAGGGCCACAAACCCAGAACACCTACTTTGAAATACTGGGTGCCTTTTTCTTTTGCAATGGCGCCTTGTTCCAGCTTCTCTTGGGTGTTCATCTCCCAGGGCTCTTTTGCCTGCAAAAACACACAAAAAAAGAGCCAAATGATGGAAGAATAGGGAGGGAGGAAGGGAAGGGAAATTAGAGTAGGAGAAAAAGTAAGACAGGGGTGAAGAGAGGAGGAGAAGGAGAAGGGAAAGTAGAGAAAAGAAGGTGGGGAAAGAAAGTAGGAAGAAATATGGGAGAGGGAAAGGGTAGGTTTGAGGAGAAAGATTGCTGTACAATAAAAAAAAAGATGAAGTGGAAGAAAGGCAATTCCGAACAAATAAATATATTAAGATAAAGGTTTAAGGTTTATTAAATTTGTATACCGCCCTTCTCCCAAAGGACTCAGGGCGGTGAACAGCCAAAATTAAGATACATACAGTAGAAAAATTAAAATAAATTAAAACAGAATTAAATCAGTTTGGTTTCCCTAAATTTTTAAAACCCTTTACCCATAAAATAACCCATTAAAATTGAGTGAACTGTTTAAGAATAAAAGAGAATAAATATGAATAAATAGTAAAGTTAGAATCTAGGGACAAATGAAGATGGTGTTTATGTATGCAAGTATAGAAATATTGAGATATGTTTTAAAAAAAGGGGGGCGAAAACGATTTTGGCAAAAATTGTAATTAAGTAAAATGTATTTGAATTTGATTAACTGTATAAGATAAGAAACGGTCAACACTCTGTTCAAAAAAAAGATGTGTGTGAATGTGGGAGAGGAGAAAAAGAACCAATAAAACTTCTTTAAAAAAAAAGAAAAGGAAAAAAAAAAGAGCCAAATCAGCAACCTTCTTTGTTGAAGGAAGAAAGGCACGGAATTAAGTGAAGATTTCCAGGGAAGAGGATCTAGGCACGCCTTAGCAATGTTAAAGAAGGACCCGGATTGTGGGGGCAATAAGATGACTTTGTATAAATATACAAAAGGATGAAGGCTATTGCTTAGCGCATTGTAAGCTGCCCTGAGTCTCCGGAGAAGGGCGGCATATAAATCAAATAAAAAATTTTTAAAAAAAGAAGACCCTCCCTCCAGTATGAGAAGTCACACTCCAGTGTCCTTGTTTTGGCTACGCCGGGAGATGGGATCTAAGAATCAAGGGAGATTTCAACCTAAAGGCATTTATTATTGGGAAACCAACTCTGCCCACGATTGCAGACTCTTTGACGACGATTTGACTTTCTGGAAGGGTGAAAAGGGAAGCGGTGCTCCTACATTTGATCTTAGCAACAGAGACCTGATCCGACGGTTAAGAGCCGTGGGAACGCTGGGAGAAAGGAAATCACATCATTTTGGATTGCAACGCGAAACTGGAACAGAGGCTCGGGGAGAACCAGTAACAACAAGTTTGGACGAGTCCTAAGCAGTCTTTCCCATGGACAGAAATCCTCAGGTCAAAGAGAGAAAGGAGAACTTTCAGAAGGTCTTTCCCACCCAGCTTTTCTCCCAAGGAAGGGAGGGGGAGGGAAGGGGGGGGTCAGGCGCAAAATATTGCTGATTGATTATCCTCAGGTGCCCGTTTTTCATTTTATTCCTGTGGGGTTACTTTTCATTTACACTGTGCATTTTTATCTTAGCGTTTTAAGCACGCTCACCGTCCAAAGTCACTTAGGGGAGATGGGCAGTCATATAAATTAAATGAAGTTTAGATAGAACAAGGAAAAGATATAGATGAAGGAAGAGATAAAGATGAGGAGTTAGGCATTTTTTGAATATGTATACTTGAACAATATAATGAGGATTACTTAAATTTTGAGGAATGTAATAGAGATTACTAATATCGTTATTGTGAATTGGATTAATATGATACCCAGAATCAACTCTGTTCACACACAATATAAATGTATAATTTAAAATCATCATCATCATCTGGAACGTAACACGCCAGATATCACGGTTGTTGAGGGCCAAAGCGTACAGTTTATTGATATCGCTGTACCGGGAGACGCCAGAGTCGAAGAAAAAGAACTGGAAAAAATCACGAAATATCGTGACCTGGCCATCGAAACTACACGGCTATGGATGAAACATGTGAGAGTGATACCCATTGTCATCAGGGCACTTGGTACCATGTCCAAGAATTTTACAAAACACATCAAGAAATTGCAGCTACCTGCAGCAACACCAGCCGGAACTGCAAAAAAACTGTGCTACTTGGAACATCGTACATCTTAAGAAGGTACTTGGTTGATCCCTAGGACGCTGGCAGCAACCCGTATCAACCATTAGCACCAGTCAGTGGTATTTGTGACACATTTTTGAATGTTCAGTTGACTGAGTTTCATGTTTAATGAATAAAGTATATAAAGGAGGAGGAGGAGAAGAGGAGGAAGAGGAAGAAGAGGAAGAAGAAGAAGAGGAAGAAGCAGGAGAAGGAGGAGGAGGAGGAGGAGGAGGAAGAGGAGGAGAAGGAGAAGGTACTTGGTTGATCCCTAGGACACTGGCAGTAACCCCTATCAACCATTAGCACCAGTCAATGGTATTTGTGATGCATTTTTAAATGTTCAGTTGACTGAGTTTCATGTTTATTAAGAGGTAATAATAAACAAATTAATTAATTAAAAGAATAAATATGGGCAGTGTGATGATACCAAGCAGAAGTGAGAGAAAAAGAGGAGACAATCCTATTGCGCAAACCATTTGATTTGTCCCAAACTTAAAACTCGATGGGGCAAGGGAAATCAAGACAAACATCTTTAAATATTAAACGTATTTAAAAAACCCGTATTAGATCTCAATCTGTAATTGTACACTTTGAGGTCGAATCAAAGAAATAACGTTCAGTTGTGTGCTGAAATTGCCAAAAAATTAAGCACACACCTGTTACTTAGGACAATTTTCTCCCCATCCCCTCTGCCTTTGTCTAAGTGCTTCCTTACGTACCTTTTCAAAGCTTTTGAGTTTGATTTCGTATTGCAAGTCGGCATCTGGCGGGATTTGAAACTTTGGTTTCCCAAGACTTCCAAAGCCGTAGCTGTAAGAGACACGGGGGGAGTGTTCAGGGTGGATTTGATTTAAATCGAGTTGATTTAAATCACAATTTAAATCATGACTTAAATCCCTAGTAAAAAGGCTTGATTTAAACCAACTCGATTTAAATCATAATTTTTAAAGAGCAACTGTCATCTCTGCTACTCCTTTGACCCACTGCTGACTCACCGATAGTCCCAGTGTTGCAGAATATACAGCCTCATGCTACGTAACTAAGCTCCATTTCATGCTGAATAAACTAAATTATTTATGTATCTTAAGCAGAAAACTATCTTACAATAGATTTTTTTACCCCAAGTTTTTTATTAAAACAAATTCAATAAAAATCAAAAAAATCCGATTTAAATAAAAAAAAAATCATTGATTTTTATCCACCCTGGGAGTGTTTAGGAGCAAAATATTTCTCCCTGAATAGAATCTGATGTACGGACCCCACACCCCATTATTTCATCCCCCCGAGTCAAGCTTCGGGGGCCACCAATGATCCAAACAGCCAAGACCATTTCAAGGCAAAAGGCTCACCTGGGCTTGAGATAAACCACAGCCTCTTCCAGCTTCTCCATTTTCTGTAATGTTTTGTCCACGCCTGGAGGGAGGTCATAGTTTTCTGCCTCTCCGACTTCAAACCGTAACTCCCGTTTGTCAAACACGCGGTCTCCGTGTCGACCTTCAATTTCGACTGGCATTAAAAAAAAAAGCATGTACTTAGAACCGATTGCTGAAGTTCTCTTTGTAGAGCAGGGGTCCCCAATCCCCGGGGGCTGGGCAGGTCGCAGGTAAGTAACTTTGTGCAGAAATGTTTGTGCAAGCGGTGAGTGAGCAAACACCCTCGCCGCTCGCATGGAACCATTTCCTCTCCCCCCAACTCTCACCGGTCCCCAAAAAAGGCTGGGGAGCACTGCTGTAGAGAGCCTGTTGTGACCTAGGCCAAGTAGTTATTACCAGACACAATCAGTCCTAAGCAAACATATTTTATTAGAATAGCTGAGAATTACTTCATTCTCAGCTTAGTCCAAATTAATTCCAAAACAAGCTCTTCAGAAAAAGTCCTTCGGCCTTATCACCAACCTTTGTCTTCTTTGGCACCCTGCCAAAGACCTTTCTTGGCAAAGCCCCATGAAGTTCAGAAACAAAAGATGCCGACAAGAAACAAATGTAGCAACGTTGCTTTCCTATAAAGAGCCCAAGAGCTGTAGCTGCTCTTTTAAGCCTTCTGGGAGGGGCCATCATCTCCTGGCCTTACTCCCGAGTCGTCCCTTTTGCTTTAGTTGCTCTTGCCTTCTGGCAGCTCTGCACATGCATGCACTAGGAATAGGCTCCTCCTGTTCCTCTGCCTCTCTGCTGTCTGACTCTGGAGGCGCATCGCTCCCAGATGGCCCTGGCCCCATCTATGCCTCTGACGCACAGCCCTCATCCGGGCCTTCCCCAGGCTCCAGGACTGGCCATGTTCCTCCCCAGCCTCCTCACTGTCCAACTCCGCTGCCAGGTCCACAGGCTGCTGGTGGACCACAACAGAGCCAAACTCAAAAACAGCAAGGAGTTGCATCTGTGTTTCCCAGCATGCTGTGAGTGCAGGAAGGAAGTAAGCTCCATCTTCTCTTGGGACACCCCAAGACAGATGTGAGTGGGAGAGTAAAAGAATGAATGACTGAGAGGTCAGCTCAGAAAATGACTATGTGTGTGTGTGTGCGACAGAAAAAGGGAACATCTGCATGACAGGCTGTTTCTGGGTAAATCTGGCTGAAAGAGCAAAACGCACGCGTCCGTAGCAGAAACAGAGAAGGTACAGAAAGTCCTTGATTTGCAACAGTTCGTTTAGTGACCGTTCAAAGTTACAATGGCACTGAAAAAAGTCACTTATGACCGTTTTTCAGAGCTACATTTGCAGCATCCCCATGATCACGTGATCCAAAATTCAGACGCCTGACAACTGACCGTTGCTGCGTCCCAAAGTCATGCGACCTTTTTGCGACCTTCCGACAAGCCAAGTCAATGGGGGGAGGCAGATTCGCTTAACAACCAGGTTGCTAACTTATCAACTGGAGGGATTCCATTAACAACGGTGGCAAGGAAGGTCGTAAAATGGGGCAAAATCCGCTTAATGAAAGTCTCACTTAACCACAGAAGTTTTGGGCTCAATTGTGGTTGTTAAGTCGAGGACTACCTGTGTTTCAATACAACACTATACAAAGATGGGGCCCGTAGACTGTCTGGAACCCTTTCACACCCGCCCTGAAATCCAGATTAATAATCCAGCATGTAGTTTAAGTCAGAGGTGAGGAATTACAGCCCCTTCATGACTTGTGGACTTCAACTCCCAGAATTCCTGAGCCAGCAATGCTCAGGAATACAGGCTGAGGAATTCTGGGAGTTGAAGTCCACAAGTCATTCAAGAGCCATCGTTCCCCATCCCTGCAGGCTGAGGAATTCTGGGAGTTGAAGTCCACAAGTCTTAAAATGGCCCCCGTCCCCCACCCCTGTTGTTTAAGTAATCACAGCTCTTCCGCTACTCACCCTCTACCAAGGCTCCCTCGTTGGGTTTGGAATAGCCTTCTCCTTTCTTTCGGATCCGCCGAATTATTCCCCCGTCTTCATCGTCGGTCAAGTCCTTTCCCTTGAACTCAAACAGTTCTACCTAGAGGAAAAAAATGGAGGCTTCTTTAGCACCAACGGGAGGCATCGATCAGAGGAAAAAAAATAAAAGATTTAAGTAGAAGATTCCTTAACACAGAATGGTTTCTTTTTCCGTTGGCTTCCCACCTTCGTACTTGGGAACTGTATGTGGTCCTCGACTTACGACCGCCACAGAGCCCAAAATTTGTGTTAAGCGAGACGTTAGTTCAGCAAACTCTGCCCCGTCACCGTGCTTGTCAAGTTAATAACACGGTTTTCCACTTGACTGTGCTGATCACGGGATAACACGTGACACCCCCACCCACCCGGACACAGCAACCGTCATAAATAGGAGTCGATTGCCAAGCATCTGAATTTTTATCACAATGGCCATGGGGATGCTGCAACGGTCGTCAGTGTGAAAAACAGTCATAAGTCACTTTTTTCAGTGCCGTTGTAACTTTGAACAGTTACTAAACTGTTGTTAAGTCGAGGACGACCTGTATAATGTTAGGCGGGGTCCCTGCAAGGAGACGGCAAGGCTGAGAAAAAGAAACTATTGAACCAAGTTATCCTGGACCCAGGAGGAAGCAGGGGGAAAGGAAGACAGGGAGTCCTCGACTTACGACCACAAAGGAGTCCAAAATTTATGTTGACATTGGTTAAGTGAGTTTTGCCCCATTTTAGGACTTTTCTCGCCACGTTTTGTTAAGCCAGCCACTGCAGTTGTTAAGTCAGTTCCACGGCTGTTAGGCGAATCTGGCTTCTCCATTGATTCTGCTTGTCGCAAAAGGGGATCACGAGACCCCTGGGACACTGCGACTGTCATAAATGTGAGCCAGTTCCCGAGCATCCAAATGTAAATCACGTGACCACGGGGAGGGTGCAACGGTCGTAAGTGTGAAAAACGGTCATCGGTTGCTTTTTCCCCAGTTCCGCTGTAACTTCGAACAAGCTGTCGTAAGTCAAGGACTACCTGTATATCCAGAGTGGCTGTGGAACAGCAAACAGATTGGGGGCAGGGTGTCTGGGGGGGAGGCGGGGTAGAGAGATAGCAGGCAGAGCTTTCCTCCGTCCAATGTGCCCATCTGCCGTGGGTCAAAGCACACGGCCTCAAGCCTACCTCAAAAAACAAGGTGGCGTTAGCAGGTATTTTAGGAGGGCTGCCAGCAGAGCCGTAGGCATATTCCGGTTTGCAGACGATCTGGCAAACTTCTCCAATCTTCATGGTTCCCACGGCGATGTCCCAGGCTTTGATCACCTCACCTAACCACAAAAAGAAAGAGATGACGATGTTACTAGAAGCTTAGCTCCCGAAAGGATTGTTAAAAAGCAATGCAACTATCAAGGCAAGAGTGTCGCCCTTCAGGAATTGTTAGAAGAATATAATCTTTCCCTCCGGAGTTTACTCTTCTTGATAGTTTGATGATGAGAAACTCTGAAAAGTCATGCCTGCCAGCTCTAGGAAGGAGGGGCCATTGTTACTTGTGTACTATTTGCAAGGCGGCAAAACTGTTGTGGGAAGGAGCCCTAAACGCTGGATTCCGTTCAACGAAGGACTGAGACAAAATTCCTTTTTTGCATTCTCTTTTGTCACAATAAGGTAGGTATTATTACTGGCCTGATTTGCACCCCGTCTCTTTAGGCAGCCAAATACAGGTCCTCAACTTACGACCACAACTGAGCCCCAAATTTCTGTGGCTAAGTTGAGGCATTATCTTAAGCAAGTTTTGCCCCGTTTTATGACTTTTCTGCTCGGCACAGCAGTTAAGGGAACCACTGCAGTTGATAAAATTAGTAACCCGGTGGTTACGTGAAATCTGGCTTCCCCATCGACTTTGCTTGACAGGTCGCAAAGAGGATGTGAGCCCAGAACGCTGCAAACGTCATAAATGTGAATCAGTGACCAAGTGTCCTAGTTTTCATCACATGAGCATTCCCCATGAATGCTGCAAGTCGTGTGAAAAATGGCCATGTCACTTTTTTCAGTGACGCTGTGACTTCGAACTGTCACTAAACAAATTTGTTGCAAGTCGAGGGCTTGCATTATGCAAAAGACTTTCAGGATTTTAATTTGGGCAGCCTTCCCAATCTTAAAGGCTGAGCTCACCCTTTGATCTCACATCTCATTATCCAGATAGTTTTTCCTCCGCTTTTAAGAAACCCTACGTTTCCCACAGAATTAATGAGAATTAATGTTTTTACTGGGTTGTGGTTTTTATTATTATTATATTCCACTGGCCCTATCAAATAATACCACAAATTGTGTGCAAGAAAAAATAAGTATCAATCATATGACATTTATTTGTGCAAGTCAGTCCACATTATAGTGGAACAGACGATGGCCACTGCGTTCCCTGTGGAAGTCTGGATGGGAAAACTAGCATTGTAATCTATTATGAAACAGGAATGGGGTGTGTGTTGGCTGCATTGTATGCAAATATACATATATTTGTATAAACATATACAAATATGTATATGTATGTATGCAAAAATGTGTGTGGGCTACAAACAAGTAAAAAATGAGGGGAGAGAGACATTATCCACTTCAAAGGAGCCACTGGAGACGTCACCTTTTCCAAAATCGAAGGAGAACTTGTCCTTTCGGTCCCGGCTGGAGTCAAACTTGGTGCCATCCAGAAGCCATCCGGTGTAGTGGACGGTGACTTTGTCCCCTATCATGGGGCATTCGGTGCCCGTCCCTTCCTTCTTCACCACCTGTCAGGGAAGAGAAGTGGATGCCACTTGAGGGCCTGTCCGAAAACCATGCTCTACCGGCGGGCAAAACCAAAGCCAAGCCAGACAGGAGATTCCCTTTTATGCTAGCCAGGAGAGAGTCTGGTGCTCCCGCTTAGTGACTTTGGCTCGCAAAGCGAGAACTGGCCGTTCCTGAGCAGGAGGAACGCCAAGGGTCACTTTCCTTCTATCCAGGAAGAGAGAAAAGGGGGGGGAGGTGGAGGCTGACAGGCCTGGCCATCTCCTGCTCCCCCACACCTCTAATAGCCCCCCCTCACCGCCCCATAGCCCCACAATAAACCCAACACCCCCAATACTCCTCCCACTGTCTCTAATAGCCCCCACGATCCCCTACCCCTAATAGCCCCACCACCCAATAGCCCCCAACCATCCCCAATAGCCCCCACTACCCCCTAGTAGCTCCCACCACCCCATAATAGCCCATCACCCCAATAGCTCCCACTACCCCAATAGCCCCACTACCCAAGCCTCCAGTGCCCCAATAGTCCCCCACTACCCCTAATAGCCCCCACCACCCTTAATAGCCCCACATCATCCCTAATAGCCCCACTACCCCCTAATAGCCCCCCACCATTCCTAATAGCCCCATCATCACTAATAAACCCCCACTACCCCTAATAGCCCTATCATCCCTTATAGCCCACACTGCCCCAATAGCCCCCACTACCCAATAGCCCCACTACCCCTAATAGCCCCATCATCCCTAATAGTCCCACTACCCCAATAGCCCATTATTCCTAATAGCCCCATCATCCCTAATAAACCCCCACTGCCCCTAAAAGCCCACCACCCCTAATAGCTCATCATCCCTAATAGCCCCCACTGCCCCATAATAGCCCCCCACCACCCCTAATAGCCCCACTACCCAATAGCCCCCACCACCCCAATAGCCCACTAACCCTAATAGCCCCCACCGTCCCTAATAGCCCCCACATCATCCCTAATAGCCCCCACCAGCTCCCCTGCCAACAAACCTTCCACTGCCCAATAGCCCCCCAACATCCCATAGCCCCCACCACCCCCTAATAGCCCCACTACCCAATAGCCCCCACCACCCCCTAATAGCCCATTAACCCTAATAACCCCATAATGCCTAATAGCCCCCACCACTCCTAATAGCCCACTACCCCAATAGCCCCCACCGTCCCTAAGAGCCCCCACTATCCCCATCATCCCTAATAGCCCCCACCAGCTCCCCTGCCAACAAACCTTCCACTGCCCAATACTCCCCCCACCGCCCCCTAATAACCCCACCCCCAAAGCCCCCCCCCACAGCTCCCTATTAGCCCCCCCCACCGCCCCCTCCACAATTCGGCCTTGGGAGGGGGGGGTGTCTCGTGAGGCCTGAAGGCTGAGACCGGCGGGGCCTGCAGGGGGAGGCCGCCCTCGAGGCGGGCGAGGCGAGGCCTTTTCGGGCCCCGCGGGCGCCTCCGCCCACCTTGAGGACGCCGCCGTCGCACTTGGCGGTGATGTCGAGGCCCTCCGCGGCCGCCGCCGCCGCCGCCTCGGCCGCGCTCATCTCCTCGTCCCCGCGCTCCTCCGCCGTCATGTCGCCGCCGCTCTGAGGGAAGTTCGGTGCTCGGTCGGTCGGTCGCGCGCGCGGGACCAGCAGGCGGCGCGTCCAGGGGGGGGAGGGGAGAAACAGAGAGAAAGCTGCGCGCGCAGCAGGGAGAGCGAGAGAGAGGGAGGAAGGAGAGAGAGAGAGCGGCCCCCGGGAAGCGAGGCCGGGAGGAGGCGGCAAGAGAACAAAAGCTGCGCGCGCAGCAGGGAGGGAGAGCGGCCTCCGGGAAGCGAGGCGCCTCCCGAGCGGAGGAGGAAGAGAAGGAGGAGGCGGCAATAGAACAAAAGCTGCGCGCGCAGGAGGGAGAGCGAGAAAGAGGACAGAGCGGCCCCTGGGAAGAGAGGCGCCTCCCGAGCGGAGGAGGAGGAATGAGGAGGAGAAGGCAAGAGAACAAAAGCTGCGCGCGCAGGAGGGAGAGCGGCCCCCTGGGAAGAGAGGCGCCTCTCGAGCGAGGGAGGAGGAGGCGGCAGAGGACAAAAGCTGCGCGCGCAGCAGGGAGAGCGAGAAAAGAGGAGAGAGAGAGAGAGAGAGAGAACGGCCCTCGGGAAGCGAGGGCGGGGTAAAAGGGGAGCAAGCAAAAGCTGCGCGCGCAGCAAGGAGGGAGAAAGCGAGGCAAGAGGGGAGAAGGAGAGAGAGAGAGAGAGCGGCCCGGGAAGCGAGGCGCCTCCCCGAGCGTCCCCTGGCGGATGGCCGATCCGAAGGACTCGCGAAGCTTCTGGAGCGCTTGCAAGGGGGGGGGGGAAAGGCGTGAGTGACCACGCATGCGCGCTGGCCGGCCGCCTGACTGGCGCCTCGCGCGGTTCCTGGCCAGGCCGGACGGAGGCTGAGAAGGGACAGACGCTGGCCTTCAACGTGGTTTGGAGAGAAAGGGATCGCAAAAGAGCAGTGGGCGCGATAGGGTTTCCCACAGCTTTGAGTGGTGGTGTTTGTTTTTGTTTTTTTTACTCTCTTGTGATCCCTTCCTCTCCAAATTCACTTGTCCTTGTGGGCAAGGGAGGGAATGGGTCAGAACCACTGCTGAGCGACTCTTATGACTGAGAGAGGAGCTTCCAGGATAGTCCATACATGCATTGGTCATAAGCTACATCTTCATCACTGTCGTAAGACTAGAGCTGCCGCCATAGCAGAGTTCCACTATTTGAGGACCTGCCGCAAAGAAGGGGGTCAATCATTCTCCAAAGGGAAAACAGAACAAGAAGCAATGGATGGAAACTAATCAAGGAGAGAAGCAACCTAGAACTAAGGAGAAATTTCCTGATTAATCAGTGGAACAACTTGCCTCCAGAAGCTGTGGATGTTCCAACACTGGAAGTTTTTAAGAAGAGTTTGGACAATCGTTTGTCTGAAATCATATAAGGTCTCCTGTTTGTGCAGGGGTTGGACTAGAAGACTTCCAAGGTCCCTTCCAAATCTGTTACTCCTATTATTCTGTTGAACTGTGAACCTGTAAACAAAGACTACTGCAGTGTAATGGTCCATGATCCCCAGCCAGTTATTCAGTTGCTGTTTAATTCCTGTCGGGTTGGAGTTTTCTCAAGGATGCACAAGATACCGAATGGCAATTGTTTTGATAATGCACTACAATAAAAAAAAAGAGTCAAACTACTTCATGTTCTTTTATTTCACAAGTGTTTTAAAAAATGAGCCACAACTACTAAATCTGACACATTCTAATAAATGACCACTACTTATAAGGAGGAAAAAAAAAAACCCTCTCCATACAAAAAGGTTTAAAAACCCAACAAACCTTGGAAATGTTTACAAGTACCAAAATTGGTCTGCAAAGATGAACCGTCTCTGGAAATCCTCTACGGTCACCACATGAATTAATAATAATGGCTTTTCCTAAAGTCGGACGAGAGTTTGACTCGACTGAGAAGATCACAGCCTATTGGCCCCCCTCATTGGGTCGGTAATGAATAAAAATGTACACCAACAAAAAAATTCTACTGCATATTTGTAAGACGTCCATAGGTGTCTTAACGGAACATTGCGCCTTGACCTTGTGTCTAATCCAGGGGTTAGCAACCCGCGGTTCTAGAACCGCATGTGGCTCTTTCATCCCTCTGCTGCGGCTCCCTGTTGCTGATCAGCTCCACAATTGATAGGGCTTTCGGTTAGGACAGGTAGAGGAAAAAGGATGCCGCGCTAGGAGGAGACTCTATGGTAGGGGAACCGACTTCCAGTCAGCAGAGGAAAAAGGACACCTTGCAAGGAGGACACTCTGTGGTGGGGGAACCAGACTTCCAGTCAGCTCCAGAATTGAACAGAGGCTTCCGGTTAGGACCTTTGTGGCTCTTTGAGTGTTTAAGGTTGCTGACCCCTGGTCTAATCCAAAGTGGCAGGCGGCCCTTGCTCTAAAGTAGACGCACAAACCACAACTTGCTTGAGTAACATGCATTGCCTAATCTAGCACAGCTAAGGGAGGAAAGGGGTGGGTAGGTGCAAAGGAAAACCTCTACTGCAAGCAAAGCTACAAACAGCACCGCTGCTCACTGAGCACGGGGAAGGATCATGCTTTTAAGATGGCAAACACAACCAAGGTGATTCATTCCAAGCAAACACATCACACTATGACACTTATTTCCTTAAGACAAACAATTTTTTTTCTCGCATAGCAATGAATGAAACATGAGCTAAGGAGCACGGGAATGTAGAGGAGGACTAAGAGCGTTCATTCTTCATTTCCGACTTCTGTTTACGCTTATCCGAGACTAGTGATGTTGGAACGGCCCCCTGGTGGTGCCACAATACGGTGTCCAGTGCGGCGAGGATTGTGGTCATCTACCTGAGCCCCTGCAAGAGAACATTTCAGAAGCATTAGTGTTCTGACCCAGCTCCCCAAACATAACAAACCCTCTGATGTGAACTCAAAAGATTCCTTTAATTGTGAGTGCCGGCAAAAAGTTTCTCTCTCACCCCAGGCGAACAAGTCTGTCCGGCCAGAAGATGAATAGTCTGCCACATCTATTCACATCTGCTCCCTGCCTTTTATCTCCAGAGCTAGGGTGGGGCCTCACTAGCAGCGGTGGCTCTTCCTTCCCCAGGATCAGCCCACGGATTTCCACTGTTCTCCTCTGCCTTCTGCGCAACCGCACGTCAGGGCACTGGACCCAGCTGTTCCTCCTCTTCCTCATCTGCCACCTCCAGACCTGGGGGCTGTTGACTCTCCATCTGAGGGCTGACGGACAGCTCAGGCTCTGTCTCTCTTTCTGTCTCTCTCTCTCGGTTCCCCTCGCGCATATGTGCTAGTCGTTCCTGACTCTAGGGGTCGGTACTCATCTCCGTTTCAAAGCCAAAGAGCCAGCGCTGTCTGAAGACGTGTCTGTGGTCATGTGGCCAGATGACTAAATGCCAAAGGCGCACGGAACGCTGTTACCTTCCCACCAAAGGTGATCCCTATTTTTCTACTTGCATTTTTTACGTGCTTTCAAATTGCTAGGTTGGCAGAAGCTGGGACAAGTAACGGGAGCTCACCCTGTTATGCGGCACCAGGGATTCGAACTGCTGAACTGCTGACCTTTCGATCGACAAGCTCAGCGTCTTAGCTACTGAGCCACCGCATCCCTTATTGCCAGGTCATATGGGAGTGTAATGAGAGAAATGGCATGGATCCAGCCCTCCTCTCAAGCTGCTTTGGTCTGCGGTCCCTATGCCAGGGTTCAATGGTGACCATCCAATTGGCCTCCTGCTATCGCCTCTATGCTGGAAGTTGGTTTTTGCCTCCCCTTTGGGGAAGGAGACTTTCGCCCCGCCGCCCCCACCCCCGGGTCTGGCTCAATGCAAAAAAGGGGAATCCAGCAAAAACAAGAATCTCGGGCCACTGGTCGGGGTGGAAACTTCAAATGAACTTTAGGAAAAGTTCCCCAAGCAAGTCCGAACTACCAAGCACCCCAAGGTCACTCTGGCTGTCTAAATGGCTGCAGCCTAGCTCTCCTTCCTGCCAAACTGGTACCCCCAGAGAGTGGCAGCCAGCCATCCTCAGTCCTAGAACATCTGTGGAAAGACCCCACCTCTCTAAAGTATGCTTTCTTGCTCCAAATGGGGTGGCAACTCCATCCTAAATATCTCATGCCAGGGCCAATCTTTCCCGCAAGCATTCTGTTTCCAAAAGATTTCAGAATCACCTGATAAACTGAAATTAGATTGATGGAGGTTTCTGATTGGTGGAGGCTGGTTTTTGGCAGGCGATGTTTTAGTTGAAGGGGCAGGAGTTGCATATTTTGCAGGAGTTGCTAAAACTTCATAGACCGGCCCATCATACATTCCTCGGGAAACACCCTGTAATTCTGTTACCTGCAGGGCACAGAAAGAAACACATGTATATGTAGTACAATGCAGTGAGCCATGTGTCAATCTGTATCTTGGGGAAACAAAACAACCACTTCACAAACGCATGGCCCAACATAGGAGAACAAACCCATCAGGACAAGATTCAGTGGTCCATCTGCATTTAAAAGACACATTTGACTCTTGAAGACAGCAAAGTCCACATTTTGGACAGAGAGTATTGCTGGTTTCAAAGAGGGGGTCATAGAGGCCATCTATGTCAAAATTGAACAGCCCTCTCTCAACAGAAGGGGAGGGATACAACATCCTCTATCTCCAGTCTACAACATAGTCCTTTCAGCAGTTCCAAGAAGGCTCCACATCCATTTGCACCACTCAGGTGACCCTGCTGACACAGATGAATCTCCAGGTGGCCTTAACAACTTTCTAAAAGAATACAAATGACCAGCTGTCTACAAAGAGTATAAATCTTCCTATTCCCCACCATCCAGTCAGAGCTGATGAAGCTTCTTGGATGAGAAGTGAAATGTCTTCACAGAAAAACCAGAAAGTCCAGTTGCCTCTTGAAAAAAAGCACCTTTGGGGACAACCATGACCTGGCTGTCGGAGAATCTCCGTAGACAAACCTGTATTCATTCTCAGTGGACAGGTGTTTACTTGTGTCTCTCCAACAACACAACCGTTTTGGCTTCTTACTCTCCTATAGTGATCCTAAGTAAGTGGGAAACAGTGTTCTGGCCGTAAGGCCACTCCACAAGCAAGACCAATGCTGACTTAGTGTTATCAGGATTGCATCCAAGGATAATCTCTTAAGAAGGGAGCATTCTATTCCCTCCTGTAATCAATCAGCCGGACTCGCTGCAAGTTGATACCCCAAGAAGACTTAACCAACCCCAAGGGGCATGGATCCAGTACACAGGTGGCAGAACTCAAAGCCCCAAGTGGGCTTCCTCATGAGTAACCAGCTCCAACTTTTTCCAGGTAACCGATATCCTATTTCCATAGACATTGCCCAGCCACTGTCCACCAACTTTCTCCAACAGATACCGGGAAAATTTCTCACAGTGGCCCACCAAGGATTCCCCCAGGCCTTCCTTGCCCAGAAGGGATCTGGCCATCCTGCCTATCCTCAAAACAATAACAGCAGAGCACCTCTTAGCCACTCTTCTCATCGCAAGGTAAACCTTCACAAAGGCTGCCGCCTGTGCTCAGTAAGCTTAATTCTTTATATGTCTTGGGATATACCAGTGATTTACATGAGTGGTGCGGTGACCTAGAGGTGGAGCTCTCGCCTCACAATCAGGAAGCTGCGAGTTCGATCCTAAGTAGAGGCAGATATTTCTCTCTCTGGGTGTGATGAGAATATATCTGCTGAACAAAACTCTGCATTGGCAATAGGAAGGGCATCCGGCCAGTAAACACTCAGTTCCATTCAATTGCCCAGACTCCATCCCGCAAGGGATTATGGGGTCATTAAAAGATAATGATGATTTACATTCAGATGCTCGACCACTGACTCACATTTATGACAGTTGCAGTGTCCCAGGGTTACGTGATCCCTTTTTGCGACCTTCTGACAAGCAAAATCAGTGGGGGGAAAACTAGATTCACTTAACAACCGTGTCCCTAATTTAACAACTGCAGTGATTCACTTCACGAACCTGGCAAGAAAAGTTGTAAAATGGGGCAAAACTCACTTAACGAACTTCCCACTTGGCAACATAAATGTTACATTAAACTGAGGTCGTACGTTGAGGACTGCTTCTAATTAATGAAAGCAGGTTGTGTACTAAAGTATAATATTGAAAGATGACGACGAAGTGAGTAAACTTACCTTATTCCTAGTTTTGATCCTTTGATAAAGATACTCTGGAAAGGAGTTTCGTACAATGAACGACCCCATTCCTTTCTTCACCGAGAGATTCCCGTCTTCAAACACAATCTTCCCTCGGCTAATAACTATGTAGGGAGCCCCACGGCATTCCATGCCTTCAAAAATGTTATATTCAACAACCTAAACAATGACAACAATATATCGTTGCTAGCTGGACACCCATGCTTCACTATGAAACTATATGCTCGGGCTTGATAAATTGACACTTAAAGCCTGAAACTTAATGTAGAATGTGTAACTCCATAGCATCAGAGCTTGTTAATTAATATAAGGCAACCGACACTTGGAACAGAAGGGGAGGGGGAGTAGAATGCCCCAGCCCACAGACCGGCTGAATCATGCGCTGGCCACACCCATGCCCGGTTTAGCGAAGGGGTAGCATCAGAGCGTGTTAATATAAGGCAAATGGCAGTTGGAACAGAGTTTTTTTCAGATGGGGAGGGGGAGCAGAATGTCTAGCTCCTTAGCATCAGAGCGTGTGAATATAATACTGATCTGATGGTCATTTCGAAAAATCCTTTCTTAGCGAGCACCTAAAAGCCAAGAGGAACATACGTGCCAAATTTCAAGTTTGTAGGGTTTGCGGTTCTGGAGATTTCGTGATTACGGCGTGAGTGGTTTTCGCTTTTATATATATAGATTAATGAACATCTAATTCATGTGCCTGTGTGGGGTTTTAATAACCACTGGGGTCAAACTGCCAAATGTTTTGATTCCTGTTTCTCTTTCCATTGAACGCTTCTAAACGCTGGCTTGATTTATGCTTCTCTTTATTGTCTGTATTCTTTTAAAAGGGCTTTACTTCCTTTCATTAATTAATCCTACCTGATTTTATTTTGATTGGGTAATTTAATCTACAGAAAGAACTCTCTCCTGTCTGTCTATTTTCCATCTGTTTATCTCCTCAAGAATGGCAGACAATGTCTAATAAAATACAGTAAAAATGCTACTAAGGTTGGCAACCGTTTGGTTTTAATAGCTAGGCACTGTATATTTTAAAAAGCAATAATTCTTTACTTGCTTTTTATTCTATCCAGCCAGTCTTGGATGATTCCCTTGTGCACTTCTCTTCCATCATAGACTCAAATCTGTTTCTGACATGATATAAAAAGCAATCACGTTTTTCCCAACTCACTTTTTGAATGGATTTTCAATCAACTTGCTTCACAAAATCTCTCTCTTATATTCTTGCAAACAGTTAAAGTCACACTTATTATTTTTTCAGGTTTATTTCAGTTGAACTCCGAGTGGTGCGGTGGCCTAGAGATGGAGCTCTCGCCTCACAATCAGGAGGCTGTGAGTTCGATCCTAGGTAGAGGCAGATATTTCTCTCTCTGGGAGCAATGAGAATATATCTCCTGGACAAAACTCCGCATTGGCGACAGGAAGGGCATCCGGCCAGTAAATACTCAGCTCCATTCAGTTGCCCAGACTCCACCCCGCAAGAGATTATGGGGTGTTTAAAAGAGGATGATTTCAGTTTAAGTCCAATAAAGACTTTAATTTTTCATATTCTTCACAGCATAGAAAATGGAGATTTAACACTTAATTTTGTGGATAAGTGTGTATTTCACTCCTTTCTAATCATGGAACACGTATGTTTAAACAAAAATCACAGACTGGAAGGGACAAAACAACCCTTTGTAAGTTCAATAAACCTTCCATAATATTCCACTTCCGTAATTCTTGTTGAACATTTTACTGGGGGGAAAAATATATAAGATTTCATCAAGAATCAACATTTTAAAAGCTGAAGCTTTTAAACTTTCCTCCAGAAATTGTGTGTGAATGCTGCAACATTGGAAGTTTTAAAGAAGAGATTAGACAAGCATTTGTCTGGAACGGTATAGGGCTTCCTGCCTGAGCAGGAAGTTGGACTAGAAGACCTCCGAGGCCCCTTCCAACTCTCTTCTGCATTCTATTAATTGAGATGTTCTGTCTTACCGATTTATGGCTTTTTGCTGTGATTGTCTTCTCTTTGTCGGGATCCCAAATAACAAGATCAGCATCGGAACCAACTTCTATCCTGCCTTTTCGTGGATACAGATTGAAGATTTTGGCAGCGTTAGAGCTAGTAATGGCAACAAACTGGTTTTCATCCATTTTACCTGTAGACTAATCAGAAATTAAACCTATAGTAACAGGCATAGATGCATTTTTCAACAGATTAGACAGTGCATACCATGTTTCCCTGAAAATAAAACGGAGTCTTATATTAATCTTAGCTCCAAAAAATGCAATAGGTCTTATTTTTAGGGAAATACGGTACTAAAATGCTTCTAGCTCAGGGGTCAGCAACCTGCGGCTCCGGAGCCATGTGCAGCTCTTTGGGCCCTCTGCTGTGGCTCCCTGTCGGGCGATCCCAAGGACACCGGCGTGGGAACAGAATGTGAATGCCCACCAAAGAGGTGCCAAATTTTAGAACTGTTACCAAAACAACTAATTTGAACTTTACTGGACACCAGCAAGAAGGCTCGGGAAAAGGGGAAAATACCAACTTTATGTGGTAATTTTCATATCTACATTGTAACTGCTTGGCTTTAGTAAAAGTATACCTTTCAATGCAAATGGAATCGAGGGTGTTCCTTTCCTAAATGCCCAAGCTGGGACAGGACTGACACTGTGCATCTTTCTTTTGCTCCACCTTTTGTTTTTCCCCCTCCTTCCCCTTTTATCTTTCCTTATATATTCCACTCACAACACATTTATTCCAGACCAACGTCATTCTTTCTTCAATTCCATTAACCCCTTCTGGGATGAGAGTGAAGTTTTCCTTGCCCAGAGCCTTTTGGGCTGTGTTGTAAGTACAGTGGCCGCTTCCGGTCACTTGCAGGTCTCCACTGAAAGAAAGGAAATACACATAACAGCAGTGAATAGACATTCCGGATCCATGGAGGAATCACTTTCACTTTTCGTTTCTCACAACTGAAGTTGCACGTTAATTGTGATCTATACCAGGGGTCTGCAACCTTAAGCACTCAAAGAGCCATTTGGACTCGTTTCCTGCAGAAAAGAAAACACCGGGAGCCACAAAACCCTTCCCGGAACTGACTATTTCTTGAGCGGCTGCAAAACTAGCATATGTAGTTGAATTAAATGTTCTGTTTTCTTCTGAAACTTTTCTCTTTTTTTGGATTTATCCATGGTTGGCCTACCGGGGGTTGAAAAGCTCAATAAATTGTGTGCTGGTGGATGTTGCAGATTGGCGGTTGTGATGCATATTTTGAGTGACAGGGAGCCGCAGCAAAGGAGTGAAAGAGCCACATGCGGCTCCAGAGCTGCAGGTTGCTGACCCCTGATATATAGAATTAGTTCTCGACTTACAAACACCATTGAGCCCAAAATGTATGTTGTTAAGTGAGACATTTGTTAAGGGAGCTTTGCTCCATTTTACGACTTTCCTTGCTGTGTCTGTTAAGTGAATCACTGCAAGAAGGACGCAAAAGGGGATCAAGTGACACACCCCACCCCCCCCAGACACGGCGACCATCATTTTAAATTTTTGTATTTATGTGTTTTATCTCGTGGCTGTTCACCGCCCTGAGTCCTTCGGGAGAAGGGCAGTATAGAAATTTAATAAAATAAATAAATAAATAAATAAATTCTCTATCTAATCTATCTATATTCTCTCTCTCTACCTCTCTATCCATCTATTCTCTATCCTCTATTCTCTATCTATCTAATCTATCTATATTCTCTCTATCCATCTATTCTCTATCTATCCTCTATCTATCTAATCTATCTAGCTATATTCTCTATTCTCTATCTATCTAATCTATCTAGCTATATTCTCTATATCTATCTGCCTCTATTCTCTATCTGTGTATCTAATCTATATTCTCTATCTATCTATTCTGTCTCTATCTATCTTCTTTATCATTATCTATCTATCTATCTAACCCTAACCCTAACCCTAACTACCCATGTAGCCCTGGAGTCATGACAGCCACCGGACTGCCCGAATCACCCTCTTAGAATGATGGGGTCCCTTGATGAACACATCAATGTCAACTCGCAAAGCATTCCAGGTCTGCTCTCCAGTTGCCATAGGCCGGGGGGGGGGATAGGAAACCGGCAAAATGGCACAGCAGCCAAAGACAGATGCACGTTCCAGACATATCTCTGTCAAGACTGTCTCCCGGGGTTACCCACTGTGGCCGGAGGGGAGTGATCTCTACAACCCGCAAAATTGCTCCTTTGGAAAATGTGATTGATGACACACCCTGGGGGGAGGGGGGAAATGGTCATAATTGGAGCGTAAATTACATAGGGTCAGAGGTGGCTTCACTTGGGAACGTGCCGACATGGAGCTCCTAATAAATAACTGGACTTCTTTTGAAGCTTGGTTCGAGACTCATGATTTAATGAGGGCATCCGTCGGAACCCTGACAGCCACTTTGCAATGGTAAACCTGATTCCCAACTGCTCTTTTAATATCTCCATAATGTCTCGACCATGATGGTTGATACCCATAGTTTGCCAGCATTTGTCTTTTCCTACCAGGCTAAAAGTGAGGTCAGATGATCAGGCGTGGTAGGATCCAGACTCAGAGGTGGTGAGGTCACAAACGCTGCGGCCTTCGCCCAGTTCTTATTCCAGTAATGAGTGCCATCGGTCCCCAGACTGGCTGTGATCGGTTCCCCCAATACCAGAGCACCTTGAGTGGAGAAAAGACAGACCAGGATGGATAAAAATCGATGAGTTTTTTTTAAATAAAAAAAAATCAGATTTAAAAAAGAAAATAATTGGATTTTTTTTATATTTTTATCAAATTTATTTTAATAAAATGCTTTTGGAGTAAAAATCTATCTAACGATAGTTTTCTATTTAAGATGCATTAATAATTTAATTTATTCAGCATGAAACAGAGCTTAGTTACGTAGCATATGAGACTGTATATTCTGCAATATTGGGACTATCGGTGAGTCAACGGCGGGTCAGAGGAGGAGCCGCTGCGGGACGGAGATGACCGTTTGCTCTTTAAAGATTATGATTTAAATTGAGTTGATTTAAATCAAGCCTTTTTACTAGTGATTTAAATCATGATTTAAATCCGGTTGATTTAAATCAAGCCTTTTTACTAGTGATTTAAATCATGATTTAAAACGTGATTGTCAGAGGCTTTTTTTTCTTTTAAAAACATTTTTTCTACAACCACTTCGGCGGAAGAGGTTGTAAAAAGATATTCTTTTAAAAGCCTCTGACAATCAGGCAACTCAGCTGGGATCGTCAGAGCCTTTTAAAAGCATTTTTTTACAACCTCTGCCGCCGGAAAAAAAATGCTTTTAAAAGCATCTGACGATCCCAGCTGAGCCGCGCGATCATCTGAGGGTTTTGTTTTTTTTTTTACTTTTAAAACCATTTTTTCGGCCAAAGAAGTTGTAGAAAAAATGCTTTTAAAAATTAAAAAAAAAAGCCTCTGATGATTGTGCGGCTTAGCTGGGCATGGGGGGGCGGGCAGGGATTTTTGCTACGAGTTCTCCGAACCACCCACCTCCATCGCTACCGGATCGGGCGATCCGGTCTGAACCGGGAGCATTTCACCCCTGGTTTGTAGGCTGGTTGTAGGCCAATGTGTCTGTTGACAGAATTGCATATGGAGTGCCAGGCTCCATTAAAGTTTTCTTAACTCCCGTCATGTCATTTTAACCCGAGACCCGGTGTGTGAAAGAGAAATATACGCATTCGTCAAGAAAACCCTGAATCCCGTACCTTTTTTCCTAGCCAGCGAGATGACGTCGGCTGCGCTCTTACTCATCACTTTAGTGATGTAGACGGGACAGTTGATTCGACTAGCTATAGTGATAGCCCGGAATACGGCTTCTGCTTCCAGCTGAACGGCAAATAGAAAGGAAGACCAAGTGTCATTACCACAAAGAACTTTCACATTGATTAATTAATTTACTTGTTACATTTCTATGGTGACCCATCTCAAGATAATGACTCTGGGTTTCACAGAATCTTTCCTTCCAGATCTCTAAAACGAGGCCTTTTTGCCACTGGCAAGACTTTTATTTTCAATGTTTGACTCTGTAGTTTTTCATAGAAATAATAGAGTTATTTCTGTTTTCTAGTCCAACCCACCACTCAAACAGTAGACCTTCTACCATTTCAGGCAAGCGACTGTCCAGTCTCTTCTGAAAAGCCTCCAGTGATGGAGCACCCAACATCTGAAGGCAAAACATTTCAGTGATAATTTGTTCTCAACGTTATGAAATTTGTATTTAGTTCTAGGTTCCTTCTCTCCTTGATTAGTTTCCATCCATTGTTTCTTTTTTTTTCTTTTTTAAATTTGATTTATATGCCGCCCTTCTCCGGAGACTCAGGGCAGCTTACAATGCGCTAAGCAATAGCCACTCATTTGAAGATAGCAAAGTCCACATTTTGGACAGAGAGGACCTCTGGTTTGGAGGAAAGGACAAAGAGGCCATCTATGTCAAAACTGAACAGTCTTCTCTCAACAGAGGGAAAGGGATACCATATAATTTTTCTCCAGTCTACAACACAGTCCTTTCAACAGTTCCAAGAAGAAGGCTCTCCACACCCATTTGCACCACTCAGGTGAGCCTGAGGACACAGACTAACCTCCAGGTGGCCTCAATGACTCTCTAAAAGGATGCAAATGACCAGCTGTCTGCAAGGAATATCAATCCTTCCATTCCCCACCATCCAATCAGAACTGAGAAGCGAAATGTCTTCAAAGAAAAACCAGAAAGTCCAGTTGCCTCTTGAAAAAAATAACACTTTTGGGTTCCTTTTATGTTCCAGGTATTTCTGGAAGAAATCCTTTGGAAGGCAATGCAGGAATCCTCACCTCTTCAGGCCGGCTCAAAGCATGACCTTCTGGTCCTGTTATTCCCAATGCCAGCACCCTCTTTTGCTCCTGAAACAGAAGAGGCCACGGTCATGCCTTGGGGGCGGAGGGTGGTGGGGGTGTAGAGATCCCCAAATCACAGGGAGCAGGTGGAGGCTTCCTGGGGAAATCAGAACCTACCGTTCTCATTTATGGATGAATGTTTCTCACCTGAGCTATCAAATCCCCATTTTCTGCGTGCACCATGATAACAGCTCCGAGACTTTTCAGGAATGTAAATGCTTCGTAGAGCTGTGTGCAATTGACAAAGAGGAGGAGGAGGAGAAGGAGGAGGAGGAGAAGAAGAGGAAGAGGAAGAGGAAGAAGAGGAGGGGGAGGAGGGGGGGAGGAGGAGGGGGCAGGAGAAGGAGAAAGGAGGAGGAGGAGGGGAGGAGGAAGAGGAAGAGGAGAAGAAGGAGAAGAAGAAGAGGAGGGGGAGGAGAAGGAGAAGAGGAGGAGAAGAAGGAGAAGAAGAGGAAGAGGAAGAAGAGGAGGGAGAGGGGGAGGGAGCAGGAGGGGGAGGAAGGAGAAGGGGAGGAGGGGAGGAGGAGGAGAAGAAGAGGAAGAGGAAGAAGAGGGGAGGAGAAGGAAGAGGGGAGGAGGAGGAGAAGAGGAAGAGGAGGAGGAGGAAGAAGAGGAGGGGGGAGGGACGGAGGAGGGGCAGGAGGGGGGAGGAGAAGGAGAAGGAGAAGAAGAAGAGGGGAGGAGGAGGAGGGGGGAGGAGGAGGAGGAAGAAGGAGAGAAGGGAAGAGGAAGAGAAGAGGAGGAGGAGGATGGGGAGAAGAAGAAGAGGAAGAGAAGAGGAGAAGAGGAAGAAGAAGAAGAAGAAGGAAGAAGAAGAAGAAGAAGAAGAAGAAGAAGAAGAAGAAGAAGAAGAAGAAGAAGAGATTTTACATTCTTATTATTCTCTCAGTTTAAGATAACATGAGATTTTTTTTAAAAGGCTAACTTCATCATGTATATTCATTATCTCCTCACTGGCAAAATGCATCAAGTTCCTGGCTCGTTTGAAAGACAGCTCTCATGCTTGAAATTAACAGTCCAAGCATTCGATTTAGGTCTGTATTCTCCGTTAAAATTGCCCTGATCCTACAACAGGATCCTAAAGAGAGCAGAATCCTAATTCAGGACAAAACGGGGAGGTGTCCAAATTCAACCCACGAACTAAAAAGAGACGGTGGTGGAACAAAAAATAAAACACGGCTGGCCAATTCCATCCCCTCCATCTTAGTTAAAAATCAGATTTCGTAAGGGGCGAAAAAATGGTACATACTTGGGAATCGGTCATTTGGTAGAGATCTTTGTAGCCCATGTAGAGTTGGAAAGAATTGATACCTATTGAAATAGAAATGAAATGAATTAATTCACACACAATACAGGTAATCCTCAATTTATGACCGCAAGAGAGCCCCAAATTTCGGTTGCTAAGTGAAAGATTTGTAAATGTGAGTTTTGCAAACTCACTTTTACAACCTTTCTTGCCACGGCTGTTAAGTGAACCACTGCAGTTGTTAAGTAAGTAACATGGTTGTTAAGTGAATCTGGCTTTCCCCATTGACTTTGGTTGTCAGGAGGTCGTGACAAGCGTGACCCTGGGACGCTGCAACCGTCGTAAATATGAATCAGTTGCCAAGCGTCTGAATTTTGATCATGTGACTACAGGAAGGCCGCAATGTCGTAAGTGTGAAAAACGGCTGTAAATCCCTTTTTTTTCCAGCACCGTTGTAACTTTGAACGGTCACTAAACGAACTGTTGTAAGTCAAGGACCAGCTGTATAAGGGTATTAGTACTACCTGGTGCCATAAGCACAGATTGCAACCAACGATACCCGGAGAGACTGTTTTATTTTGGGATTGATAAAGTATAAATCCACTTCCTACATACGTAATAGGGATAAGCTAATATTTTTTAAAACTAGCATATGTTATATGCTAGAGTGGTGCAGTGGCCTAGAGGGTGGATCTCTCACCTCACAATCAGGAGTCTGTGAGTTCAATCCTAGGTAGAGGCAGATATTTCTCTCTCTGGGCACGATGAGAATATATCTGCCGAACAAAACTCCGTACTGGCAACAGGGAGGGCATCCAGCCAGTAAACACTCAGCTCCATTCAGTTGCCCAGACTCTACCCCGCAAGGGATTATGGGGTCATTAAAAGAGGAGGATGATATGTCCAAACGCTGAAGCATGTAGTGAACACACTCACAAACTGCTCTCCCTGAAAAGCTCTTGGTACAAACCTTTGTCTTGCACCAGACTTTCGAGATCTTCCTGGATCCCATCATACCAGTCGGTGATGTCCACGTGCAGAGAATAATCACAACAGGATTTGCTCTCCGCTGCCTCTTTCCATTTTGCAAACGCCGTTAATAAACTAGAGCCGGGCTCTGGAAGGACATGATCAACTGCAAGAGAAAGAGAAAGAGAGAGAGAGAGAGAGAGAAAGAGAGAGAGAGAAACATGAATAGAGAGAGAAAGAGACAGAAAGAGAGAGAGAGAGATAGAAAGAGAAAGGGAGATAGAAAGAGACACACACAGAGAGAAAGAGAGAAACAGAAAGAGAGAGAGAGAGAGAGAGAGAGAGAGAGAGAGAAAGGGAGAGAGAAAGAGACAGAGAGGGAGAAAGAAAGAGAGAGAGAAACAGAAATAGAGAGAGAAAGAGACAGAGACAGAGAGAGAAAGAGAAAAAAGAAAAATAGAGAGAGGGAGAGAAAGAAAGAAAGAGACACAAACATATATATATATATTTATTAGTTTTCTAACATGTGCTTAATCAGAGTCAATTCGTTTACATAGTAATACTTCTTAAATTCCTAATTTCTACCCCTATTGTCCAACCATTGATAAAACAAGTCCCAAGTTTGAAAATATTCTGTGTCATCTTTTTCTTTTATCTTCAGTGTTAATCTGTCCATTTCTGCACAGTCCAATATTTTTTTAATGATATCTTCTTCCGTGGGTGTTTCCTCGCTTTTCCAATGTTGTGCAAATACAATTCTTGACGCTGTTAAAACATGTAATATCAAATATACATTCCCTTTACCATATTTTTCTGGTACTATGCCTAACAAAAATAATCCTGTTTTAAAATCTATATGCTGTTTTAACATTTTTTCTAACCACATATGCATTTTTGACCCCACCCTTTTTTTTTTTTTTTTGCTTTTGGGCATGTCCACCACAGGTGATTGTATGTGCCTGGTTTTCGATTACATTTCCAGCATTTGGTGGACATATTTTTAAACATTTTTGCTAATCTCACTGGTGGCAAGTCCAATCTATAAAACATTTTATACAAATCTTCTTTATAAGTGGTTGCCATCATCAATTTATAGATTCTTTCCCAGAAAGGGAAAGAACTGAAGAAGCTCCTGGGATGAGAAGCGAAATGTTTTCAATGAAAACAAAAAAAAAAACCCAGAAAGTCTTTTGGAAAAGCACTTTTGGGAGAACCGGGCAGGGTTCTACTTACCTTTACTACCGGTTCGCATTGCGCCCACAGATCAACTTGGATGACATCTGGGTCAGTGGGTGGAGCCTCCCACCGGTTTTACTACCAGTTCTTGCGAACCGGTCCGAACCAGGGGCAACCCACCACTGAACCAGGGCCTGGGTGATAGAAAATTTCTGCAGCCATCCCTGTGGAGAAGTTGAAGTTCAACTGCTCCAACACTTACTGATAGTGGTTGTGCCTCCGGACAACGCAGCCTTCGTTCCTTGATAAAAATCATCAGCTACCGTTAAGCCTTGAACGGATTTCTGCAAAGAAGTGTTGCTGTCGATACCGCCTGGAAGGATCATAAAGCCGGTTGCCTCGATGATTTTCGGATTTCCAGGAATAATCAGATTCTCTCCAATTTGTCTAACAGGAAGAAAGTAGGACTGTTTACTCTTTTATCGAGGGAGGCCCTCAAACACTTCAAATGTACATCCCCCCCCCTTTAAAGCAGGGGTGTCAAACTTGATTTCATTGAGGGCTTCTGTTGTGGCCCGCCAGTTGCCAGCAGAGCTGGTGGCAGAGTCAGACGATGAGGAGGTTGGGGAGAACTTGGGCCAGTTCTGAAGTCTGGGGAAGGCTGTGATGGATGCTCTGCGTCAGATGCAAAGATAGAGCCAGGGCCGTCCAGCATTTCCCAGCCACCGGCGAGGCAGCTGCCTTTGGAGGCTGAGATGAGTGAGGAGGAAGAACAGCTGGGGCCTGTTCCAGATGCATGTATGCACAGAACAGTTAGGAGAGGGGAACAACGGAGGACAAGGAGTCGATTCAGGAAGGAAGGCACATGTGGATGCTGAATGGCCCTTCCCTGGCTGGGGAATAAATAGAAGGAAAAGGGAACGGTGGTCGTAGGAGACAACCGTTCGTATTTCTGAAGATTTTGCTCATTGCATTTCATGCCACAAACACTGCTTGCCAGAACTTAATTTGCAGCCTTTCGCAAGGAACTGATAAGGTCTCGTTACTGCAGTTAACTCCTTGCAGGACTCTTGCTTGGACTTTTCGGTGAGCGAATGCCATTCATTCACAAGAGGTAAATAAAGAGGGGTTTTTTTCACGACAAGGAGTCTGTTTCTTGCTAAGGCTGGATCAGAACAGCCTCATCAGGGTTGTGTGGGCCTTGGAGGGCCAGGGTGGTCGTGACCAGCTCGATGTCACTTGTGTCGGGGGCGCCTGTAGTGGCTTGTGCGCTCTGCCAGCGAAAACGGGCTCCCGAGCTCCGTTTTCGGCTGCAACCACCTCTTGCAAAACCCTCTGCCAATGAAAACCCAAACCTTCCTGAGCTCCGTTTTTGCTGGCGGAGGCACCGCGGGCCGGTCCTTCGCTGTTTCTAAGATCTAAGCACCCCGCGGCCTGGATCTGGCCCCCAGGCCTTGAGTTTGACACCCCTGTGTCACCTGCACCTGTGCTAGGTTCAGCACAGGAGCCGCAAGGGTGAAAATCAGTCGTAAGTCGCTTTTTTCAATACCGTTATAACTCTGAACAGTCACTATAAGAACTGTTGCAATTCGAGGACTACCTGTATAACCGTTTAACCTTATCGCTGTCTGCTTTTTGCCTCTCTGTGCGTCATCTGTTTAATTTGAGCAATTACAGAACCAAGTTAGTCAAAGCATCTAAAAGAAGCCGCATCCGTCGTATCGACCAAATGCGCAAATAAGTTTCAGGTTTCAACACACTAACTTTATAAGTCCGTCTTCCACATAGACATCGGCGTAGAAGGAGTGGTCATCGTTGATAATTCGTCCGTTCTTAATGAATAAACCATCACCCTGAGTGGACAAAAAAAAAACAAATAGTGAGGACAATGTTCAAATAATTAGATCAGGGATCTGCAACCTTAAATATTCAAAGACCCGTTTAGACCCGTTTCCCACAGAAAAGAAAACACCGGGAGCCACAAAACCTGGGTGGGCGTGGCCAACTCGATGTCACTCACTTCCACCAGTCACATGACACCCCCCTAGCCACGCCTACCCAGCAGATCATTAGGGCAGAGAACCAGTTGTTAAAAAACACCGGAACCACAAAATCCTTTTGACATCTCTCTCTCTCCCCTCCCTCTTCTCTCCCTCTTCTCTCCCTCCCTCTCCATATCTCTCTCTGTCTCTCTCTCTCCTCCTCTCTCTGTATCTCTGTGTGTGTCTCTCTCTCCCCCCCTCTCTCTGTATCTCTGTGTGTCTCTCTCTCTCCCCCCCTCTCTCTGTATCTCTCTGTCTCTCTCTCTCCCCCTCTCTCTGTATCTCTCCGTCTCTCTCTCTCTCCTCCTCTCTCTGTATCTCTCTGTCTCTCTCTCTCTCCTCCTCTCTCTGTATCTCTCTATGTCTCTCTCTCTCCCCTTTCTCTGTATCTCTCTATGTCTCTCTCTCTTTCCCTCTCTCTGTATCTCTGTCTCTCTCTCTCTTTCCCTCTCTCTGTATCTCTCTGTCTCTCTCTCTCCTCCTCCTCTCTCTGTATCTCTCTCTCTCTCTCCTCCTCCTCTCTCTGTATCTATGTCTCTCTCTCTCTCCCCCTCTCTCTGTATCTATGTCTCTCTCTCTCTCCCCCTCTCTCTGTATCTCTCTATGTCTCTCTCTCTCCCCTCTCTCTGTATCTCTCTATGTCTCCCTCTCTCTCCCCCTCTCTCTGTATCTCTCTGTCTCTGCCCTGGCCGCTTCTCCATCCCCCACCGTCGCCCTTACCTTCTCAGGCCAGGCGAGGAGTGAGTGGGAGGGGAGGGCAAGGGGCGGGGCCAGCCAGTGGTAGGATCACCTGACAGGGAGCCACAGCAGAGGGCCCAAAGAGCCGCATGTGGCTCTAGAGCTGCAGGTTGCTGACCCCTGAATTATTTTTTTTCCCAGCTGTTTCTCTTCAATTCGTGCATCCCCTGGTATTGCAATATCAATCAACCAGAGTTTTTTTTTCTTCTTCTTAACCACAATAGCGATGCCAGGCGTGTTATGAGGCCAGATAGCGGTCTGTTTGGATTCGAAATTATTGTTATTGTTGTTGTTATTATTATTAAAATTTATGTGCTGCTCATCGCACCATTTTGTGTGACTCTGGATGGCCAGGCACTCCCTTCCAAGTCCCTTGCTCTCAACAATTATTTTGGGTTATGATCTGAACGATGCCTAATGAAAAGAAGCCATGGCTTGTTCTGGTCTCGTTTTGGGAATGCAATTTAGGACTGCTTTTTTCCAGATTGCATCTAGTGACTGATCCCATATCTATCTATCTATCTATCTATCTATCTATCTATCTATCTATCTATCTATCTCCCCTCTCCTCCCCCTCTCTTTCTCTTTCTCTCTCTCTTTCTCTCTTTCTCTCCCTCCCCCTCTATCTCTCTCTCTTTCTTTCTCTCTCCCTTTCTCTTTCTCTCTCTTTCTCTCCCTCCCCCTCTCTCTTCCCCTCCCTCTCTCCCCCTCTCTCTCTTTCCCCCTCTTTCTCTCTCTCCCTCTTTTGCTTTCTCTCTCTCCCTCTTTCTTTCTTTCTCTCTCTTTCTCTCTCCCTCTCTTTCTTTCACTTTCTCTCTCCCTTTCTCTCTCCCTCTCTTTCTTTCTCTTTCTCTCTCTCTCTCTCTCTTTCTCTCTCTCCCTCTTTCTCTCTTCCTTTCTCTTTCTCTCTCTTTCTCTCCCTCTCCCCCCTCTCTCTGCCCTCCTCCCCTTTCTCTCCCTTTCACCCCTCTCTCTTTCTCTCTCTCTCTTTCTCTTTCTTTCTGTCTCTTTTTCTCTCTCTCTTTCTCTCTCCCTTTCTCTCATTCTCTCATTCTCTTTCTCTCTCCCTCTTTCTTTCTCTTTCTTTCTCCCTCTCCCTCTTTCTCTCTCCCTTTCTCTTTCTCTCTTTCTCTCCCTCCTCCTCTCTCTTCCGTTCCCTCTCTCCCCCCTCTCTCCCTTTCCCCCTCTTTCTCTCCCTCTTTTGCTTTCCCTCTCTCTTTCTCTCTCTCGCCCTCTTTCTCCCTCCCTCTTTCTTTCTCTCTCTCTCATTCACACACACACATCCCACTACTGTAAAATAACCAATTTTTTTGCCCCTCGCTCTATCTTGTCAAAAAGACCCCCTCCTCCCTCCCTCCCTCCCTCCCTTCCTTCCATCCATCCTTCTAAGCTCTTCGCTCAACAAATCATAGCGGTTTGCAAAAAAACAGTGAAACCCTCTTTTCTGGCCCTCCAATCAAGGCGGGTTCGAAACACGCTTCAAAGCCCCCAAAACGCTGGGCATCTTTCTACATTTTGAGCAATAGAAACCGATGGAGCCCAATTCAATGCCTTCTACCAGAGGGGGGGTTCAATAAAGCAGAATATTTGTGGGTCCTTGATGCTCTCAGTGCTTGGAGTGGGAGGGGGAGGTTTCTTGCAAGACGTTTCCTGACCCAAAATAGGGAAGAGCATCAGTAGTCTCTCCCCCCCCCCATTCCCTTCCTGACCCGGGAAGAAAGCGAGGAGCTCGGATCCAGCCTTCCAGCCTTCCTTCCTTCCTTCCTTCCTTCCTTCCTTCCTTCCCTCCCTCCCACTATGAAACATTATATAAGTCTACATGCTATTGCTTGTCCTTCCTTCCTTCCTTCCTTCCCTCCCTCCCACCCTCCCTCCCTCCTTCCTTCTTTTTCTCCTTCCTTCCTTCCCTCCCTCCCTCCCACTATGAAACATTATATAAATCTACATGCTATTGCTTGTCCTTCCTTCCTTCCTTCCTTCCTTCCTTCCCTCCCTCCCTCCTTCCCTCCTTCCATCCCTCCTTCCTTCCTTCCTTTCTCCTTCCTTCCTTCCTTCCCTCCCTCCCTCCCACTATGAAACCTTATATAAGTCTATTGCTTGTCCTTCCTTCCTTCCTTCCTCCCTTCCTTCCCTCCCTCCCTCCCTCCCTCCCTCTCCTTCCTTCCCTCCCTCCCTCCCTCCCTCCATGAAACATTATATAAGTCTACATGCTATTGCTTGTCCTTCCTTCCTTCCTTCCTTCCTTCCTTCCCTCCCTCCCTCCTTCCCTCCCTCCATCCCTCCTTCCTTCCTTCTTTTCTCCTTCCTTCCTTCCCTCCCTCCCTCCCACTATGAAACATTATATAAGTCTACATGCTATTGCTTGTCTGTCCTTCCTTCCTTCCTTCCTTCCTTCCTTCCTTCTCCATCCATTCCTTCCTTCCTTCCTTCCTTTCTGCCCGGAGCTGCCAGCCTTCCCTCCGTGCCGTTGGACCGAGCCTTCCCTTCCCACCGGTTCTCCCGGCCGCGCCCGCTTCCCCTTCCCACGGCGGAGCCGAGCCAAGCGAGCAGCCAGACAAAGCCGCCTCTGCCAGAGAGACCCCCACCCCCAATCCCACATCCTCCCGTCTCTCCCAGCCCACCCTCTCCCCCCCCCCCTCCTTCCAACCCCGCTCACCTGCCGGGGAAGCCCCTCGGGGTCCGGGGCGCGAGCCATGCCGAGGAAGGGGGTCTCTCGGGGCGGGGAGGTGGGGTTGAGAGAGGCGGCGGGCGCCCCTTCCCCACGACGAAGCGAGGGGCGGGCTGGCTGGCTGGGGTGGGGGGGGGACTGGCGACCCCGCCCTGCGCAGCCCAGGAAGCGGAAAAGGCTGAGCCCCCCCCCCCCAATCTCCTTCCCTACCCGCACCGGCACGTTCTCCGGTATAGGTCTGCCTGCCCACCCACCCCCCCAAAAAGCCCCCCCCCTGGCACCAGATGGGTCCCTCGCCTTCCGACCCTTCCCCGGACGGTGCACCTGCCTCTATGCAGAAGGAAGGACCCCCCCCTCTCTCCCGCAAGGGGCTTGCCCAGAGACCCCCTTTCCACCCCCCATCCCCAAATATCACCTGGGTCTCGCCGGGACCCCCACCCTATCCCACCCCCTGGACCCCCGTAACTCAAGGAGCCTCTTCCCACGCTCTCTTAGCCTTCCCGCAAAGGGCTCCCGTGATTTGGGATGGTGGGTGGGTGGGGAATGCAAAGCGTTAGCTGAGACCCCCGACTCTTGGACAGAGAAAAGTTTCGGGGAGGGGGTCTCCAGCAGCCAAAAGACCGAGAAGAGGTTGACACCTGCTCGGCTTCCTTGCGAACAAGAACGGGACCCCAACCAGGGGTGAAATCCAACAGGTTCTGACCGGTTCTGGAGAACCGGTAGCGGAAATTTTGAGCGGTTGGGAGAACCGGCAAATACCACCTCTGGCTGATCCCAGAGTGGGGTGGGAATGGGGATTTTTGCAGTATCCTTCCCCCAGGAGTGGGGAGGGAATGGGGATTTTGCAATATCCTTCCCCCAGGAGTGGGGTGGGAATGGGGATTTTGCAGTATCCTTCCCCCAGGAATGGGGAGGGAATGGGGATTTTGCAATATCCTTCCCCCAGGAGTGGGGAGGGAATGGGGATTTTGCAGTATCCTTCCCCCGGAGTGGGGAGGGAATGGGGATTTTGCAATATCCTTCCCCCAGGAGTGGGGTGGGAATGGGGATTTTGCAGTATCCTTCCCCCAGGAGTGGGGTGGGAATGGGGATTTTGCAGTATCCTTCCCCCAGGAGTGGGGAGGGAATGAGGATTTTGCAGTATCCTTCCCCTGCCATGCATACCAAGCCACGTCCACAAAACCGGTAGTAAAAAAATTTGGATTTCACCACTGACCCCAACCCCCTCTAACCTCTGCTTTCGCCCCACCCCATCTCTCCCTCCTCTGGCTTTCTTCTGCCCAGAAGCAATGGGGGTGGGGAGATTCTCCTCCACCACCAGCCCCCCATCTTCCCACTGCCTCCATTACACTCAGCCCTCGGTCTCTTCGACACACACAGAGCCCCCCCCCCGAGGCCCCTCCCCCCCACGGTCTTGGCCATTCTGGTTGTGGGGAAGCCACCTTAATCTGAACTGCCTTTCTGGGGGTCCAACATAGATATTTGTATTTCTACCTAGATACAAGGCGGTCCTTGGTGCTCTCTGAGTTTGGTGGCTTTCTTGAAGATGGTTCACGACCCAGCTAGGTAACAGCATCAGTGCTAGAGCGGGGTGGGATTTTTCAGGGAGGGGAAGGGGGAGAGGAGGAGGGAGGACTGCAGGGTCCTTGGTGCTCTCTGAGCTCGGTGGCTTTCTTGCAAGACGTTTCACGACCCAACTCGGTAACGGCATCAACAGCTAGTAAGGAGTGATGTTTGCTGTCAGTTTATATTCTGTTGTCTTGCCTGTCTGTGGGGGTCGGGGTGGTTTTAGAAATTGTTTGGTTGGGATGAATCTCTAAGACACACACAGACACACACAAACCAACCACACAGACAAGCAAGTCACCAGAATATAAACTGACAGTAAACATCACTTCGTACTAGCACTGATGCTGTTACCTAGTTTGGTCATGGAATGTCTGCAGGAAAACAGCCAAGCTCAGAGAGCACCAAGGACCCCACAGTCCTTGTCCTCCTCCTCTACTTCCTTCTCTACCACCTCCTCCTCCTCCTCCTCCTCCTCCTCCTCCTCCTCCTCCTCCTCCTCCTCCTCCTCCTCCTCCTCCCTTCTAGCACTGATGTTCCCTAGATGGGTAATGAAACTTCTGCAGGAAAACAGCCAAGCTCAGAGAGCACCAAGGACCCCACAGTTCTCCTCCTCCTCCTCCTCCTCCTCCTCCTCCTCCTCCTCCTCCTCCTCCTCCTCGCATCAATGATATTCCCTAGTTGGGTTATGAAACGTCTGGAGGAAAACAGCTAAGCTCAGAAAGCACCAAGGACCCCCCTCATATGTCAACCCTGAGCTACAAATATTCTCCTTTATTGCTACCTAGATATGTATGCAATCATTTAATCAATTAATGACCCAGCGAGGGAACATCAAGAGCCTTGGTGGCGCAGCAGACTAAAGTGCTGTTAACTAGCACCAGCTGCCTGCAATTACTGCGAGTTCAAATCTCCCCAGGCTCAAGGTTGACTCAGCGTTCCATTCTTCTGAGGTAGGTAAAATGAGGACCCGGATTGTGGGGGCAATAAGCTGACTTTGTATTAAAAAAAAGAACACCGCTTGGGGGGGCCGAAAGCCCTACTAAGCAGGTGTATACAAAAAGTATGAAGGCTATTGCTTAACGCATTGTAAGCCGCCCTGAGTCTCCGGAGAAGGGCGGCATATAAATCGAACCAATAAATCAATCAATCAATGAATGAATCAATCAATCAATCAATCAATCAATGAATAAATAAATAAATAAATTAGAACAATGTATATTGCCACTTACTCGCCCATGGCGACTCAAGGATCTAAAAACACCACTTAAAAGAAAGAAAAAAAATAAAAAGAATAAAATAATCCAATAATAACCTCCCATCACAGCATTTTCCCCCTCCTGGGTAAGTTAAGATTTGTGCCAAGCACAGGAAAACGTGGGAAGCAAAGATTTCCAAAGGAATAAAAAGTGGAACAGGAGTGGCCTTTCAACGCATCAAAACGATTTGCAAATCAAACTCATTCCTAAAATTAAAACAGTTTTCACGGTCAAAGGGGAGAACAAACAACAACAAAAGCTCACATTCCCAAGTCAATAAGAGTACTGGACAATCTTGTCTCAAGACTGCAAAGAAATCCCATGCCCTTCTCCAGTAAGTTTTGTAAAATCAGGGATGATCAGGGACCAAGAGCCTTGGTGGCACAGCAGACTAAAGTGCTGTTAAGTAGCACCAGCTGCCTGCAATCACTGCAAGTTTGAATCTCACCAGGCTCAAGGCTGACTCAGCCTTCCATCCTTCCGAGGTAGGTCAAATGAGGACCCGGATTGTGGGGGCAATAAGCTGACTTTGTATAAAAAAAACACCGCTTGGGGGGAGGGGGCGAAAGCCCTACTAAGCAGGTATATACAAAAGTATGAAGGCTATTGCTTAACGCATTGTAAGCCGCCCTGAGTCTCCGGAGAAGGGGCAGCATATAAATCGAACCAATAAATAAATAAATAAATAAGTAAATCATTTAGAAAAATGTATATTACTACTTACTCGCCCGTGGCGACTCAAGGCGGCCGACAAGGATCTAAAAACATCACTTAAAAGAAAGAAAAAGAATAAAAAGAATAAAATAATCCAATAATAACCTCCCATCACAGCATTTTCCCCGCTCCTGGGTAAAGTTAAGATTTGTGCCAAGCACAGAAAAACGTGGGAAGCAAAGATTTCCAAAGGAATTAAAAGTGGAACAGGAGTGGCCTTTCCACGCAGAGCCCTCCGTCATCAAAACGATTTGCAAATCAAACTCATTCCTAAAATTAAAACAGTTTTCCGGAGAAGGGCGGCATATAAATCGAAGAAAGAAAGAAAGAAAGAAAGAAAGAAAGAAAGAAAGAAAGAAAGAAAGAAAGAAAGAAGGAAGGAAGGAAGGAAGGAAGGAAGGAAGGAAGGAAGGAAGGAAGGAAGGAAGGAAGGAAGGAAGGAAAGGAAGAAGGAAGGAAGGAAGGAAGGAAGGAAGGAAGGAAGGAAGGAAGGAAGGAAGGAAGGAAAGAAAGACAGACTGCTAAGATTTCTTGCACTCTTCGCTTCTGGGACTTGCGTGGAAAACGCGCAGGTATGACTGAATGTTGAGCGTTGGTTTAAACGGTTTTAAAGCATTCGTGCCTTCAGCCGGAGAGTAACACAACTGTGCTTGAATAGGTGCTTTCAATAAAGGAGAATATTTGTAGCTCAGAGTTGATCTGTGGGGTCCTTGGTGCTCTCTGAGCTTGGTGGTTTTCCTGCAGATGTTTCATGACCCAGCTAGGGAATGTCATCAGTGCTAGAAGGGAGTGTGGTTGGCAGAGAGGAGGAGGAGGAGGAGGAGGAGGAGGAGGAGGAGAGGAGGAGGAGGAGGAGGAGGAGGAGGAGGAGGAGGAGAGGAGGAGGAGGAGGAGGAGGAGGAGGAGGAGGACGACGACAACTAGAGGATCCTTGGTGCTCTCTAAGCTTGGAGGTTTTCTTGCAGATGTTTCATGACCCAACTAGTAGCATCATCAGTGCTAGAAGGGAGTGAGATTTGCAGAGAGGAGGAGGAGGAGGAGGAGGAGGAGAGGAGGAGGAGGAGGAGGAGGAGGAGGAGGAGGAGGAGGGAGGACGACTGGAGGGTCCTTGGTGCTCTGTGAGCTTGGGGGTTTTCTTGGAGACGTTTCATGACCCAGCTAGGGAACATCATCAGTGCAAGTGGTATCTTCAACTATGTGTGCCCAGTCATGGAGAAAAAAAGGTTAGATCACCGCCAGAGACTGTCTGGGGCTGCAGTTAAAGGCCCTGAGTTAGAACCAGGAGACAAGGAGTTCTGGTCCCGCCTTAGGCACAAAACCAATGGGATGACCTTGGGCCAGTCACTCTCTTTCAGCCCTAGGAAGGAAGCAATGGCCAACCACTCCTGAAAAACCTTGCCAAGGAAGTTGCAAGAACCTTTCCAGGCAAATGCCAAGGAACCGCCCTCTTCGTGCTTTATTACAGGCAGTCCTCGACTTACGACAGCGCATGTCGCGACCATTCGAACGGCACCAAAACGAGGGACTTATATCCGTGTTTCACCCTTACGACCATTGCAGCATCCCCCATGGCCATGGGATTTACATTCGGAGGCTTGACAAGCGACTCGCATTTATGGCGGTTGCAGACTCCCGGTGGGGGGGGAGGTTTGTCACGTGATTCTCCTTTTGCGACTTTCCGAGAAGCAGAGTCCATGGGGAAGCTTTATAAATGCCTGACTTAACATACATTTTGGGCTCAGTTATGGTCGTAAGTGGAGAACTACCTGTATTAGGTGTCAGCTAATTCCCCATCCCTATGTTTTCTCAGTGATTCCATTCTGCTCAGATTAGTAAAGTTGTTGTTGTTGTGAAGTTGTGTCCACCCATCGCAACCCCATGGACAACGTTCCTCCAGGCCTTCCTGTCCTCTACCATCCTCTGGAGTCCATTGAAGCTCACACCGACTTCTTCAGTGACTCCATCCAGCCACCTTGTTCTCTGCCGTCCCCTTCTTCTTTTGCCCTCCATCGTTCCCAGCATTATTAGGCTCTTCTCCAGGGAGTCCTTCCTTCTCATTAGGTGGCCAAAGGATTTGAGTTTCCTCTTCAGGATCTGGCCTTCTAAAGAGCAGTCAGGGTTGATCTCCTCTAGGACCGACCGGTTGGATGGCCTTGCAGTCCAAGGGACTCGCAGGAGTCTTCTCCAGCACCAGAGTTCAAAGGCCTCAAATCTTTGGCGTTCAACCTTTCATATGATCCATCTTTCACAGCCAGACATTGCAACCGGGAAAACCATCGCCTTGACTATACGCTCTTTTGTTGGCAGGTTGATGTCTCTGCTTTTTAGTATGCTCTCTAGATTTGCCATGGCTTTCCTCCCCAGGAGCAAACGTCTTTTAATTTCTTGGCTGCAGTCCCCATCTGCGGTGATCTTGGAGGTGATTGCTACAATTAGTAAGACCCAAATTACTTCTTGTCCTTCGAAATTTGGAACGGAGGCCCCAAATTTAGGAGTGGGCTTGACTGGGGGGGGAGGGGCAGGGGTCCAAACCCAGATTCCCCCATTTCCTCCCAAAGGATGCATTTGCCCCCCATGGAAGAAACCAAGCCACACAACTCGTGGATCACACATTTTTTCTGCATGGAGGAGGAGAAAAACGGGAGGGGGCATGTCAGAAGAAGCGAAACCCCTCCCCCATGGTGGACATGGGATAAAGCCCCCAAAAAATGGAGTATTATTCCTATTTTAATATAGAAAATTTTGAAAACGGAGATAAAGATGAAACTAGAATTTTTCCTTTGGGGCCTCATGGAAAATGACCTGCAGAAAAAAATTGGAACTTTTGACACTATATATGTTGACAATATTGTACGCAGAAAAATGGAAGGACACTTCAGTCCCTACCATGGAAGAAACGGTTGCAGAAGCTGATGAGAGTTGGCCGAAAGGGCAAAATTGACCATTTTGATTGAAGAAAAGAACATAAGTACTTTTGTTCTCACACGGAAACCACTTCTGAATTTTGTGCTTAATGTGGACAAGAATGAAGCTTGGATTTTGGGTTTTACCGAGTCGATCAATAGATCTTTATAGAAATGACTTGTTCATATTATTATGAAAAAACCAAAAAGTTGTGATTTGATGTTAATGCCTTATTTTACTGCCACAGAGAGAGTCAGAAGTCAACGTTACTCTTTCTTTTTTTCTCTTTCTTTCTTTCTTTCTTTCTTTCTTTTTTCTTATCTTTCCTCACTTCTCTTCCCCCCTCTTCCTCCCCACCCTTCTTTGGTATTTTGTATCTTATCTTATAAATCAATAAAAGTGTTAAACCAGAAGAAGGAGGAGGAGGAGAAGGAAGGAGGAGGAGGGGGAGGAGAAAGAAAGGAAGAAGAAGACAAAGGAAGAAGGAGGAGGAAGAAGGAGGAGGAGGAAGAAGAAGAAGAAGAAAGGAAGAAGAAATGGAAGGAGGAGGAGGAGGAAGAAGATGAAAGGGAGGAGGAGGAGGAAGAAGAAAAGAAGAAGATAGAGGGAGGAGATGGAGGAGGAGAAAGAGGGAGGAGGGAGGAGGAGGAAGAAGAAAGGAAGAAGATAGAGGAAGGAGGAGGAGAAGGGAGGAGAAGAAGAAAGGAAGAAGATAGAGGAGGAAGAAGAAGAAAAAAGAAAGAAGAGTTTAGAGGAAGAAGAAGAAGAAGATGATGATGATGATAGAGGAAGAAGAGGAAGGAGGAGGAGGAGGAAGAAAGGAAGAAGATAGAGGAAGGAGGAGGAGAAGGAAGAGAAAGAGGAAGGAGGAGGAGGAGGGAGGAGGAGGAAGAAGAAGAAAGGAAAAAGAAGATAGAGGAAGAAGAGGAAGGAGGCGGAAGAAGAAGAAGAAGAAAGGAAGAAGAAGATAGAGGGAGGAGGAGGAAGGCGATGAAGAAGAAGAAGAGGAAGAATTGGGAGACTTTCTGCCCAACCACCCGCAAAAACCAGGGTGGGATTTGCCCATCACATCGCCATCTGGCCAGAAGACCCCCAGGATTACACTGTGTTCGAGACCCGACACACGGGAGATGGGGGAGGTGGGTGGAAAGGAAGGGAGGGGGGGAAGGGAAGAGCTGGGGAGGGGTCCGTGGGGAAGGCGACCCCGGGCTAAGAAGGGGGAGCCGGCCGCCCAGCTCTGCCCAAAGGCCCTTCCTCGGGGGGGGGGGCACCCAAAACCCCAGACCCAGAGACCCTCCCTCCCCCTCCCCCTCCCCAGGTCTCCCGAAGCCCCCCCCACCCCCAGGCCTTTACCTTGCGTCCCTCGGGCCCCGCCAGAGCTCGTGGGCCAGCGGGGTGCGGAGCTCGAGGCAGAGGGGCCGCCCGCGGTCGGTCTCCCCGCCTGGGGAGCCGACTCCGGAGCCGCACCCTTCGGCTCCGTCGCTCTCGCCGGCTCGGTCGAGGAGCTCGGAGCGGCTGCCGCTGCGCGGGGTGCGGGCTCCCTTCTGGCCCACGCTGTAGGCCTCGAAGTCGATGGTCTTGTTCTCGAAGGCGCCCTCCACGGCCGCGAACACATCCCGCCGTACTTCTGCCGAGGCGTCTGAGCCGCAGTGCCCGGCCGAGCCAGGTAAACCGGCAGGTCCTCGTCCTCGCCGCTCCGACCGCCCTGCCGCTGCCCCCGGCCATGCCTCGCCCTCCGCCCACCCGGCCGCTCCGGGCACCGGGACCATGCAAATGCGCCCGCGGGGGGGGGAGGGAGGGGGGAGGGAGGGGAGGGAAGAGATGACGAGCGCAGCCGCGGCGGGGGCTGCTGGGGGGGGGGCTGGGAGCCTGGCTAGGGGACTGGAGGGGGTGGGTGGGCAAGGGGGCTGGCTGGCTGGAGCCTGGCTGGCCGGGGACTCGGGGTTGGGGGGCAGACTGGCTGGGGGCTGGAAGCCTGGCTGACTGGGGGCTGGGGGGCTGACTGGCTGGGGGCTGGGAGACTGGGGGGTCGGGGAACTGGGGGGATGACTGGGGGACTGGGAGATTGAGGGGCTGGGGAGCTGACTGGGGGCTGCTGGGGGCTGGAGAATTGGGGGTCTGGGGGCCTGGCTAGGGAACTGGGGGCTGGCTGGGGGGCTGGGAGATTGGGGGGCTTGGGGGCCTGGCTAGGAACTGGGGGCTGGCTGGGGGGCTGGGGGGGGGCTGGAGATTGGGTTGGAGTTGGGGGGGTTGGGGGACTTGGTTAGAGATCTTGGGGGTTTAGCTGGGGGCTGGGAGATTGGGGGGCTAGGGGGCTTAGCTTAGGGAACTGGGGGCTGGCTTTGGGGGCTGGGAGATTGGGGGCTGGGGGCCTGGCTAGGGAACTGGGGGGCTGGGAGATTGGGGGGCTGGGAGATTTTTGGGGGGCTGGGCCTGGCTAGAGATTTGGTTGGGGGGCTGGGAGATTGAGGGGCTGGGAGATTGGGGGCTGGGGGCCTGGCTAGGGAACTGGGGGTCTGGCTGGGGGCTGGGGGCTGGGAGATTGGGGGTTGGGGGCTGATTAGAGAACTGGGGGGCTTAATGGGGGGCTGGGGGGCTGGGAGATTGGGGGCTGGGGCCTGACTAGGGAACTGGGGTCTGGCTGGGGGCTGGGAGATTGGGAGGCTGGGGGGCTGACTGGGGGGCTGGGGGGATTGGGGGGCTGGCTGGCTCCGGGGCGTTTCAGCCGCCTCCTCGGGAGGATGGAGCCGGGCGAGTCAGAAACCAGCGAGGCCGAAAGCAGGAAAGCCTCTCCGGGCAGCCTTGAGCTGGGAAGCCCGGTTCGTGGCGCTGGAGAGACGGCGGCCCTCCGGCCTGTCTGTCTTCAAGAAGCGGCGCCTGCCGGCTTGGGCGGCCGAGCGGAGACCGGCCCTTTCTCGGGCCAAGCGGAACGGGCGAGTCCCTGCTCTGGAGCTCCGGGCGCGGCCGAGCGGCAGGCCCCTCCAGCTGAAACGCCCGCAGGGCAGCCCATCCGAGCCGGCGCCGCGATTTAAGGCTGGGGAAGGGTCGGGGGGGGCTTCGGAGGCCGGGAAAGAGCAGGGCCCCCTCCCACGCGCTCAGCCCTCCGCCCCCAACTTTAACTCTTGCAGCTGGGGGGAGGGGTCCAGATGCTGTTGGGAGGGGGTGGGTGGGCGAGGAAAGTGGCAGATGGGAGGGGCGGCCTGGGAAGACCAGTCTCCCCCCCCTCCCCGGTCAGACCCTCGCGGGGGACAATCCCCCGCAGTGGAGGGGCTTTAAACACGTCTGGATGGCCTTGCCTGATCTCAGGAGGTGGGCAAACGCCCCTTGCCCAGCTCCGGTAGCTTCTTGCCGTAGAAAAAGCCCCGTGGCTTTTTGGGGGGGGGACCGAGGGGCGGCTTCGGGACCGAGGAGGCGGCCGTGGAATGCCCGGGGTATCCTGGCTTGTTGTCACCCCGATCCAGGGTACCCAAGGAGAGGCGTTTAGCTGCTTCTGCGGTTGTGCGCGCTGGCTTCCCGGCTGTGCTTCCTTCTCTTTGCTGCTGCTTGAAGGCGTGGAAAAAGGACGCGTGGCTTCTATTGTTTCATCCGGCACATCCCCAGCTTGCCCTTTGGTGCTGGGTTCAAATCCAGCCGAGCAAGGGGGAAGCGGCCCAGGCCCGGGGCAGCCCAAAACGAGACTCGTCTGCTTAGCGCGCCGTTCCCTGGCGAAGGGAGCTGTCCTTCAGCACCACGGGCGGAGAACGCTGGAGCTCAGCTCCGTTCGAGACCCTGCTTTGGTCACCTGGGGGATAGGGCAGTGGGGAAATCCAATTTTTTTTTTACTACCGGTTCTGTGGGCGTGGCTTGGTGGGCGTGGTGCTGCTTGGTGGGCGTGGCAGGGAAAGGATATTGCAAAATCCCCATTCCCACCCCACTCCGAGGCCAGCCAGAGGGTGGTATTTGCCGGTTCTCCCAAACTGCTCAAAATTTCTGCTCCCGGTTCTCCAGAACTTGTCATTTTTATTTATTTTATTTATTGATAATTAAATGTATATACCGCCCTACTCCCAAGGACTCAGGGCGGTGAACAGCCGGAAAGTAAAATATACATAATACAAACGTTAAAAACCATTTAAAATACATTAAATGCTTTGGCCAGATTTAAACACCCCAATTATAAAACCAATTTTTTTTTAAAAAAAAAACCCTCTGGAATAGGGGGAGGGGGGAGAGAGGGAGGGAGAGCCCCCTGCCCTGGCTCGGACCACGTACGGGTAGTCCTCGATTTACAACAGTTCATTTAGTGACCGAAGTTGTGACGGCACTGAAAAAAGGAATTTAGGACCTGTGTTTCACAGTTACGACCTTTGTAGCATCCACACACACTCGTTGTGATTCAAATTCAGACGCTTGGCAACTGGTTTCACATTTATGACGGTTGCAGTGTCCCCAGGGGTCACTTAGGATCATTGTAGCATCCATGTGGTCATGCGATTCCTCCGTCTTCAAACCTGAAGACTGTATTTTATCCCTGCCAATCTGCTAACCGATATGAACCTATGGCATACACAACATATTTTGTCAGTCATACATTATAAGTGTATTATACATTCATCAACTAAAGACAAATTTTAAACTATTTCCTTTCCTTTCCTTCCTTCCTTCCTTCCTTTCTTTTTTTTTTTTATTTTATTTTATTTAGATTTATATGCCGCCCTTCTTCGGAGACTCAGAGCGGCTTACAATGCGTTAAGCAATAGCCTTCATACTTTTGTATATTTATACGAAGTCAGCTTATTGCCCCCACAAACCGGGTCCTCATTTCACCTACCTTAGAAAGGATGGAAGGCTGAGTCGACCTTGAGCCTTGGCGAGATTCGAACCTGCAGTAATTGCAGGCAGCTGGTGTTAATAACAGCTTAATAACAGGGTGCCTTAGACCACTGTACTACCAAGGCTCTTTCTTTTCCTTCCTTCCTTCCTTCTTTTTCTTTCTTTCTTTCTTTCTTCTTTCTCTTTCTTTTTTCTTTCTCTTTCTCTTTCTTTTTTCTTTCTTTCTTCTTTCTTTCTTACTTTCTTTTTTGAGCACTCCATGTAAAGGACTCCTCTAACCACGAAGAAAAATATACTGTTTATCTAAATAATTTCCAATGATATTATCAACACAAACTATGGCTTGAATTTAAAAGTGGCTAGAAACCTTTCAATAGCCTCCTTCAATCTCAACTTGTCCTATATATTTTAAGAAATATACTGTTCGCGGGTGCTTGAATACTAAAGAAAGCGTCTTTTTTATTTCTTGAAGGAACATGGCTTTGCAACAATGTTTACAGATAAAAGAATCAGCACAAACAGCCAGAAAGCAATTTTTGGCACACGCTATTACTATAAGAAATTAAAAGACGCTTGCTCCTAGGGAGGAAAGCTATGGCAAATCTAGATAGCATACTAAAAAGCAGAGACATCACCCTGCCAACAAAAGTGTGTATAGTTGATGGTTTTCCCAGTTGCAATGTCTGGCTGTGAAAGTTGGACCGTAAGAAAGGCTGAGAAGGCCAAAGAATTGAGACCTTTGAACTCTGGTGCTGGAGAAGACTCCTGCGAGTCCCTTGGGCTGCAAGGCCATCCAACCGGTCAGTCCTAGAGGAGATCAACCCTGACTGCTCTTTAGAAGGCCAGATCCTGAAGATGAAACTCAAATCCTTTGGCCACCTAAGGAGAAGGAAGGACTCACTGGAGAAGAGCCCAATGCTGGGAACGATGGAGGGCAAAAGAAGAAGCGGACAACAGAGAAGGAGGTGGCTGGATGGAGTCACTGAAGCAGTCGGCGGAAGCTTCAATGGACTCCAGAGGATGGTAGAGGACAGGAAGGCCTGGAGGAACGTGGTCCATGGGGTCACGATGGGTCGGACACGACTTCGCAACTAACAACAAATTACTATTTCCCAAAATGACTATTCTTCCCTGTATAGAATTCTTTTGTCCGTGCATTAAAATATTCAATCAAACAGAATTGGTGTGCCAAGATGTGTTATATCCGATAGATAATATTTCTCTTTTAACAACAGTGTGTGTTAAAAATTCACCCAAGTCATCCATAAGTTGATTCAGGGCTCCTACATTTTCCGAGAGTATCTTAACTTCCTTATCAAGAGTCAAATTACTCAAATTACTATATCAAGAGTGTTAATGGGCCTCAAAAAAGTAATATTTAGAGTTTATTGAATTCCAGTACACTTATATAGAAAAAGACAATCAAAGACAGCATTTTGTTGAAAATGTGGTACTGATAATGCTTGTTTAAGTATACAGTAGGTTTATAGTATCAGCAAATTGCCACCCAACAATCTGGGTCCTCATTTTACCAACCTCAGAAGGGTGGAAGGCTGAGTCAACCTTGAGCCGGTCAGGATTGAATTCCAGGCTGTGGGCAGGATTAAGACTGTAATCCTGAATTCTAACCACTGTGCCACCATGGAAAGGAGGAAGGAAGGAAGGAAGGAAGGAGGAAGGAAGGAAGGAAGGAAGGAAGGAAGGAAGGAAGGAAGGAAGGAAGGAAGGAAGGAAGGAAGGAAAGGACTAGCAATAGCACTTAGACTTATATACCGCTTCACAGTGTTTTACAGCTCTCTCTAAGCAGTTTACAATATCAGCATATTTTCCCCCCAAGAATCTGGGTCCTCATTT